AGCAAGGTCGAGGCGGTAGAAATGCCAGGGCTGTTGGAACCGAACTATCAGGAGCAGCCTCATGATACTAGCCAGAGAGAGAGCGGATATCAGGATCGACTGGACATGGTCTTCTGATATCATTCTCAATGCATGGGGGACAAATACGCAGGCTAGGCGAGGCAGTCTGTGTTACTTATGTACATTGCGTATAGCACACATGATCCTCCCTGGGTAGTATTTATATCTACGGCCTCCGCATTAAAGAGAGAACTATTTTGTGGCGACGTATCTTTGCACCTGAATTTCGGTAACTCAGATCCGGGATCGTCTTCACGGTTTCTGGAGAGGCCATGGCCGTTCCCAGGATCAGTATCAGTGTCTCCAGGAATGGCACACGGGTTCCCAGAGACAAAAGGGCTCCCAGGATTAGCATCAACCTTTCCCAGCCTGGCAAAGATGATTCTGCCATACGAGAAGCCCTGGGCCCGGTCATACTTGGTAGAGTATGTTCTCGATTGGTGTACTTGAGCGTGTGTTATAAAGCTTCGCCTCCCTTCCTACCAAACTGCATTAGCTTTCATACTACACGGGAAAGATGCTAGACAAACTCCCAACTGAACTTTTACTCTGGATCTGCAAGATCCTTGGTAAAACGGACATCTCTTGCTTGATCGCTTGCTGCCGGAGAATGGCAGCAATCTGCACAGAAGCTCTATTTGATTGCCTCCACTACGATGAGATGCCACCCTTTCACCGAGCCATACTCAACCGACGACTAGACATTGCGCGCCTTTTGTTGACTCATTACCACGCAAGTCCCAACTCCATGTACCGTGGGACGAGCACGCTTCTGCTCGCCATTGAGATGAGCTACCCACAAGCAGTTAACCTCATGCTGGAACATCACCCACGGCTGTCCTATACTTGCGACTTTCAAGGTCAAGGGCCATTGTCAACCGCGGTCGCGAAGGGCAATTTTGCCATCGTTGAACGCCTGTTGCGGTACCCAGCGCTGGATGTCAATGCCCGATGCACCGATGGCATGTCCGCTTTGATGTACGCAGTGGAACACGCTGAGCACGCCATTCTAAGCCATCTTCTGACCGATCCCCGCGTGAACGTCAGCATCGAAGATCGCTTTGGGCAGAACCCGCTACACCTCGCAGTCCGTAAGGAAGACCATATCTCAGTGCAGATCCTAGCCCGAGACCCTCGCTTGGATGTGAATTGGTGCGGCACCCATCGAAATACGGCACTACTTCTCGCGGTCAAAATCCTCAAGGGAAGGTCGGCGCGTGGGATAGTAGAAGCCCTACTACTCAACCCAAGGCTTGACATCAAGCACCAGGATTCTAGAGGGCGCACGGCGCTGTGGCACGCGGTGGACCTGCAGAATGAGGAGCTAGTGCAACTGCTCTTGGACCAGAATGACCTTCATTTGAATGACGCGCATGATGGAGGTCTTACCCCTCTTGCGCGAGCAGCGGGGCGTCAAAGCCCTCGCTTGCTACAGATGCTTCTGAGACAACCCAAAATATGTATCAATGCCACGTCGAGCTTGGTTTCCCCGCTGTGGGCCGCGTGTCGGGCGGGTTCGCTCGGGGCAGTCCAGAACTTGTTGACCCAGAGGTCCATTCAGATCAACGCAAAAGCCCCCTCTGGAACTTCGCCCCTTCACGTAGCTGTCATCAACCAACACTTAGATATTGTGTCTCTTCTTCTCTCGCAAGGTGAAATCGCATTGAATGAGGTTGGGCCCTCGGGCTTCACGGCCCTCATGTTTGCTGCTGCAAGCGGGTATACTGCATGTGTTGAACGGCTGTTGCGCCACCCACAGATTGATCTCCAAGTTCAAGATCCTTATGGATACTGCGCTTTCAGCTTGGCGATACTCAATAGACATGCTCGGGCAATGGATCTTTTAAGCAGTGCATTTGTGCGGCAGAGAGCACAAAAGTTAGGCTGGCCATCGGGCTAGCTTTGCCAAGACTGAGTGGGGGAGAAATAGAAAATTTGAGTAAAGTTACTTTGCCAGACTGCTATACCCCCCATCCTAGAGCCAGATGACTCGGAAATTGCTATGTAGCACAGCTCAGCGAGCATGGACGTTAGCCCAAGCCCACTGGAAAATGCGGCCCGCTCAATCACCGACTTCCCCGCCCTAGGAATTAATACTAGAGTATATCACCCACAGGACTGCCTGTCATAAGACCCCATTGTTCTCTACCGTTTGCGCGTGATATAAGCGTGATCAGCCGCGGCTACAAGACACCAAGCGCCGCATAGAAGCCTCTGTTCTAGCTTCACTGATGGCCCGCCCTCCGTCTAATGCATCGAGTATATACAGTCGCTCGCCAGATACACCAAGACCACACTCCTCGGCGGCTTTGCCTGCCGCCCGGGATGATCTTCCCGGGATTACACCACTGGACCATCGGATCTTTGTGGCGGGGAGAACGACCATGGCATTAGAGACCACAAAGACACACCTCAGTACAGCAAAGAGCGTGGCACAATCCCCACTAGACCCAATCACTGAGAAGCGGAGCCAGCGTGGTCAGCAAGCTCACGAGAATGAGTTCTTCCGCACCTGTTGCGCGAATTTCTACCATCTAGCAACAGCCGTGGTTGACATCACACAAAAGCTTGTATTGGAAGAACACATCCATTCCGACCAATTCATCCCAGTCAATGCACGCTTGTGCCGGGCTACATTGGCTCTCTGGGCAACCTTGGACGCATCAAGGGTGGAAGAGGACAGGGCGGAACGCATTTGGATGCAGGAATTAGATATGCCCACAGTTTTGGAGCCATATTCCGAGTGGATCTAGGGAAATTCTGCGATTGAAGGTCGAGCTGGTCGAGTCTTGGGTATTGGGGTCCTGAGATTTTTCTGTGAGTTGTGAAAGGCGAGGCAACAGCCCTGGATGAGCGTTTCGTATGCGTACATTCGTTTCAGGTATGATGTGAGGGCCAGTTGGGCAGTCAGCTACCCTGGACCAACCCTGACGATGGCAGTTGGCGGGCCAGGCTTTGTTGACGTGGTTCAAGAAGGCGGTGGCAATCACTTCCGGATGGCGGACTGACCAATCATGGTGGCTTTGGGGGTTCAACTCGGCAACTTCAGTTGAACCCCCTGTCGGGTTTTCTAAATCCTGGACCTGGAAATATATCATTCTAATTCTTGTATGTAGTCTGTTTACATCGAAATTCTGATTAGAAAGTACGAATATTCATCCTCATTCAACTCGTTTTCCTAATAAACACAGTTCTGCCCTGTTTATTGGGTTGTAAAATTCCTCAACATTAAGCCATGCGAAATATATATTTCAGACTTCAGGCAATCATAGCGGTATAATACATCACGATTTCTAACAAATGAGAAAACCTCGATCTCCGAATTTGATCGCGACTGCAGATCTTGCAGATCTTCCAGAGCCTCTGAGACACTTGAGTACAAATATCCCCCTGTCATGTATTCTGGTAATCCTAAGGTTGGTCAGGTTGGTGAAAGGCGGGCCACGTGGAGACTCCGTCACTCTGCGGTCGGCCCGCGCCCGGCATCTTCCCAATAATCTCAAACAGCCGAGGGAATTGGCCTTTCAATATAGCACCATGGCCTTCTAGTCTAGTCATATTCCAACTACTTCCGGCTCTGTGAGTGGACGTGGCTTGGTCACTTCATGCCGTGCCTCTGCAGCTCGGCTTTCGTGTTCTGACCTAAGGGGAAAGACCCAAGGCTTCCAGGGCCTTCAATCAAGACAGCTTCACGCCAATTGCGCGATCAGCATCCGGTTCGACGTGAACGTTGCATACTGCAGGAGGGAGCAGCCTTTGGTGTCGCGCTGGCTCACCATCGATTGTGGGTGAGAAACCAACAGCTCAAGGATCGCGTCGCGTCTGGGCTCGAAGCCACCGTATGTCTTGGCAGCGAGAAGTAGTGCGCTATCCCCTGCAAAGTTGGACCGATCGACATCGAGAGATCTGCTTTGCAAGAGAATCTGAACTGCAAGATGATCGTCGTATATCACCGCTAGATGGAGCGCAGTGTGACCTTGGCCATCTGTGATGTGAACATCGATTCGCGGGTCACCCAAGAGGATCTCCAAGATCTCGTGCTGTTGATACTCTAGAGCCGTGAAGAGCGTGGGCTGGCCATTCGGTCCGCTGCTGTTGACATCGATGTCGTGCTGAAGGAGTTGAATCACGGCCTGCACATCTCCCCGAGCAATTGCAAAGAACAGTGCATTCTGAATAAACCGTCTGCAGCAATGAGCAGCGGGACGCTCTTCGTATGACGGCGAAGAGCCTGGTAGAATGGGAAGTCAGCACCCGCACTGACACTGGAATAAGATGACCAACCGATGGTATGGAGGTGGTGCGACATCTCCGACATATAGTGAGAGGCTGTTTCGGATGAAATGATGGAGGCGCCGAACAAACTTGTCGATGGAGGAGCAATGCTCGACCTTGCAGGCCCGGCTGAGTATTTGTAGGAGGTACTATGATTACCATATTCAAGCAATGTCCCTTCTTCTGGCTGATCCGCTCTACTTTACCTTTGAGCATGATGGAATTCGGTTGGGGTAGAACCGCGGAAAATGAGGCCTGTGGAACAGACAGGCTGTTCCCAGGAACTCTTGTGCTCCCAGGAATCTCCATGCTCTTCCTGGAGCCCTGCCTTTGCGCAGAATACCATGAATTCCTCACATTTTTAATAAAGGCTTCTCACATCGGGCCAATCTGTTGGCGTGTGATTTGTAGGCTAGTTGGTGCACTCCGCTGCCTCGATGGACTGGAATACCTGCAGGTAGTCTATTAGAGCAATTTGGACCACGCAACAGGCCCCGCACCTGAATTACCCTCTAGCGTACATTTCTCAATGTGACCACACAAGACAGCGAGCAGGAGGAACTATAAAAAGCTAGAAGGCACTTAGAGAGCCCAGTGATAAATTCTGTGCCTACTACTTGTCTCATCTTTGATTGTCGATCTACATTACATTTAGTCTTTTCGCCATGTCTACCTTTTGGAACCCAGTCAGCGTTTGTGAGATTGGTGAGGGTCTGGCCCACCAGGCTACCTGCTGCGGCATCACAGAGCGAGGTGCTCGCTGTAAGAATAAGGTCTCTGCGAAGGTGCTCAAGCAGGGAAAGGAGAAGCTGAGAAGCCTCGCTCGAGCACCTTTTAATGCGCATACCCTGCAGCCGACATTGCACAACATTGCAACTCATTTCCTGTGCTCCAGATGGCATCGAGATCGGCAAGCTGACCAGGTTAGTCGGCGCTGGTATGATGCCGCTGTTCGCAATCAGCTCGGCAGCAACATTGTGCTGGAACACGCGGCCACGCTAAGCCATGAAGAAAGTGACCTGGGCCAACCTGCAACCCATCAGTTGGACCATGGTGTCTCATATGATACCAGTGAGACTGAGAGCGAGCTCCCGCAAGCAATCCAGCCTTATGTATCCCCCGCGATGCTACGTGCAAACAATGTGCCGTGGGCTGTCTCGCCGTCACAACCCGCCATTGCGTCCGTCGCGAATATTTTGGCAGGAATTCAAGACCTGGAATTACACTGCCTCGCTGTGAGCCATGATGTGAACGACATCCATTGTACCTTTTGCCTGGCGGAAGATGGAGACACGACCGATGAAAATGTGATTCTCCGATGTCAGCAATGCCACGCGCTATCACACCTGTCCTGCATGGAGCTCTGGCTGAGCCAGCGTGACACAGGCTTTGACACCTCTTGCTGTGTTTGGTAAGTTCACTCGCTTCAATGTGATAGAGGGAGGATTCTGACAATCTGTTGAAAGTGTCGTGATGCGAAGTCTTATGTTCGGGATCAATTCCGAACATCCGCGGAACTATCTGTTGATTAGTAATATGAATTGGAGGCTGGAGGTTGTATATAAAACCGAACTCTCAGTCAATAGAAAAGGAGAACGTGGCGACAAGGTTAAGCAATAAGTTACTCGTGTATTCAATTGATCTGCCTGATATTCCTTCCCCCTGACCAATATTTGCAACATTGGTTATGAGCCCGGGCCGCTACGTCTAGTCTAACCAACAGGCCTAGCACCCCGGAGAGCTTGTGCAGGATTCACACCCTACCCAAGCAGATAGCAGTGAACAATTAATTGGAGTGTTATATCCTCAATTCTAGGAAGTGGCCGGGAAAGCGCAACCCGCCCACCAAATAGCATTGGGCTATATAACCACGCATAGACATTGTACCGAGACTTATGCCTGCAGGGCGAGACGCCAGAGGCAGGTTTATATCGTCGAATCAAGAAGACCCTGAATCGGTCGAGGAGAACCGAGAGCCGGAGCAGAGCGATTCCGTGAACGAGAATCGAGAGTCCGAACAGACTGAGGACGACCACCACGACGACGACGCTGCTGAGCAAATCCTGTTCGAGATGGCAGGACAGACAGCAAGAACGACGAATCACCCGGTAGAGGATCCGGAGGAAATAAAACCCGTGAAGCTGTTAGACTTCAAGACATCGATATTGGCGAGAGAAAACGTGCGGACCTGGAGATCCGACGTCGAGGAATTTTGTCAGATTCAGGGAGTCTGGAAAGCAGTACAAAAGACATTGGAGTTGCAAGATAAGCCGGAAGAGCTGGCCAGATTACTTGCCAACCAGAAATGGGCCTCACTTGATGCGACAGCAAAGTATTACATCAAACAGAATTTGAAGCAAGAGGATAAAACGACAGTACGAGATTACAAGAACTCAGGAGCTGTTTGGAAATACCTGATGAGTCGATATGAGCGAACAACTCAATACGACATTGTGATTGCACTCCGAAAAGTGATTCAATGGAAGAAAGATTCGAAGATGGGGATAGAAGATTCCCTGCAACAGTTAGAACAGCTGAATGCAGAGCTATATGAGATCAGCGACAAGAAAAACAGATTTGACGAGCTCATGATCTTGACAATATTCCTGGAAGGATTGCCAATGGAATTTGATTCAATTCGGGACGCGCTATTTGGTAGCGCTAATCTAGAGCGAGGCCTAGCCCTATCCCGACTACATCAGAAAGAGCTAAAATCGACGGTCAATGCTGCAAATGAGACGGCAGGTGAGTCCGCCAGCCGTGCCGAGCAGCGAAAATGTTTCAACTGTGGAAAGGCTGGTCACTTTGCAAGGAGCTGCAAGCTCCCAAGGAAAGAGAAGGATCGAGAATCGGACCATCAAGAGGAAAAGAAAAGAGGACGTGGCAGGAAGCAAGTCCAAAAGCAACTGCGATTCCGAAAAGATAGGGCGCGCGCCGTAGACGAGGACTCGGGCTCGTCAGATAGCGACGGCGAAGGCAGCGGCAAAGAAGCCGTATATCGACTGAATGAGCGAATCAGTGACCGATTTGAGTCCCTCATCCAAAATGAGAAGACGCTGCGAGCAAAGGGGAGAGGTAATCCGGTGATCGATAGTGGTGCAACAAGTCCTTGCTGCCCAGAGATCGATCTATTCGAGTCCCTGGACGAGCGATACTGTGGAATGCTCGGGACTGCTGGAAAATCGACCCTGATTGCAGGAAAAGGCGTCATAAGGTTCCCCTTAAGTGGCGGAAGAAGTGTGAGACTGACAGATGTCTTATATGTGCCCAGCTTGAGCGAGACACTGTTGTCCACCCAAACCTTATATGCTGACGGGATATGGAATGAACACGTCGACAAAGGTTATCGCTTCTTTCGGAAACGTGGAGAAATCCTGGCGAAGGGTTATAATATCGGACGAACCAGCTACCTGGGGTGGGTGCGGCATAAAGACGCCTTGGCTACGGAACCGAGCCACGATACGAACGAGGTTGCCAGACTCGTAAAAGCAACCGATTGGCAGCGATTACATCGGAGACTAGGTCATCCGGGAAATGACCGTCTGAAATTGATAGTGAAGCAATTGGGACTTGACTGGAATAGAACGGAGTGCTCCGAGGCACTACTGCACTGTGAGACATGCATCCAAGCGAAAAGCGTCAAGAACCAGAATCATAAGCCCGCACAGAGGGCATCCAGGCCATTGAAGAGAGTTTATATGGATTTTTGGGGTCCTTACACGCAAACGAGCAACCGGGAAGGTTGGAAGTACTACCTCTCATTGACCGATGACCACACGAGATTTTCGTGGGTCTACTTGACAAAGAATCGAGAAACGACGACTGTTCGAGGCATATTAGAGAGATGGCTTGCCTCGGTCGAACGCGAGAAAGGTGTTCAGTTGCTATGTATTCGCACTGACAATGCGAAAGAGTTCACAGCCTTAACCCCATGGGCAGAGGAGAAAGGCATCAGGATTGAATTCATTGAACCTCACACCCCGTCGCAAAATGGTGTTGCAGAGCGGTTGAACAGGCTTCTGCTGGAAATCACAAGAGCTATCCTCAGTGACGCAGATGTTCCGAAGAATTACTGGCCATATGCGTTGAAAATAGCCGTTTATTTGAAGAATCGGACCATTCAGGTACAGGGGACGAAGAAATCCCCGTTTGAGCTGTGGTTTGGACATGCGCCGGATTTATCCAAACTACGAGTTCCATTTTGCAAAACATGGTTCCATATTGAGACAAATGATAAGCTTGACCCGAGAGCGATCGAGGGAGTGTTTGTGGAGTATGATTCCAGTCGGAATCATTACCTCGTCATGGCATTGAAAGACCGGAAGATCCACCGGGTAACGAATCCTATTTTCTTGGAGAATAGGCGAGGATTCATCAGCAATGAGCCAGGCGAGCGAGAAATTGAGGCCGAAACCCCTCAGATGGCTGATATTGAGATAAGTCAGCAAGAACCCGACGCTATTGAGAGCGAACACAAGGTGCGCAGTGACGCGCATGATGAGATGCGCAATGAGACGCACGAAATTGTTGAAACAGATGACCGACATGACATGGAGGAGATCTTGGAAACCAGTCAGATCGAGCAGAGCGAGCCGGAGTCATCCAACCAAACTAATAACCATGAGAATGAGCTTGATAAGCTTAATTTGGATTCCCAGCCTATACGACAATCGACACGGATTCGGAAGCCTACAAAGGCCGCTATCGAATCTCAAGATACCGAGAGGCTATTGGCTAGGAAGCCGCGAATGCAGCGACGCAGAGAAGCGAGAGAGGAAGCCAGCGCCGAGGCCACTTCTCTACACGCTGCAGAACGAGAAAAGAGGCAGCTGCGAGACGCTGCAAACATGGCTATCACAATAGACCTATACCTGAGCAACGAAGATGATTCTGCTCACCGAAGCGTCAAATGCGATGGTCAAATCCCCATTCCAAATACATATGGCGAGGCTATTCAAGACCCAATTTACGGCACCAAGTGGAGAGAAGCCGTTAGATTGGAGCTAGCCAATCTCATTCAATTCGGGACATGGGAGTATGTGAAGAGACCTAAAGACCACAAGGTAGTATCGACCAAATGGGTATTCCTCGTCAAATATGATGCCGATGGTCGAATCGACAGATTCAAAGCACGCTTAGTGGCCCGCGGATTCTCACAACGAGAAGGTCTCGATTTCGAGGACACATTCGCACCAATTATTCGTCTGGAAAGCCTGAGAATTATATTTGCTATCGCAGCAAGTTTCAGGCTGACTGCTCATCTTCTGGACGCCGTGAATGCGTACGTAGGATCTCAAATCGATAAGGAGATTTACATGGAGATCCCCCAGGGCGTTGATCCACAGACACATGGACCAAAGGATGTTTGCAAGGTCTTGCAATCGTTATATGGGCTCAAACAATCCGCCTATCTCTGGAACCAGAAAGTCAAACGATTTGTCGAATCGATCGGGTTTCGACAGAGTACAGCAGATCCAGGAGTGTTTATCAACAGCCGAGGAGTCATCATAGCACTCTATGTAGACGACATCCTAGTATTCGGCAGAAATATCGATGATATCAATCAGACCAAGGCGAAGCTCCAAGAGTTCCACCCGATGAAAGACTCTGGGCTAGTCAACAAGATCCTTGGAATCCGGGTCACCTGGACGAAAAACTCAATCCGATTAGATCAAGAAACCTATGCCAAGTCGATTCTGGAAGAATTCCAGATGCTTGATGCAAAACCGGCCAGCCTGCCGCTAAGTCCCAGTGTCGACCTAAATGACGGAAGTCCCAAACGACTAAGACGAGATTTGCACGCTGTATTTCGACAAATCCTAGGGCGATTGACCTATCTTGCAGGTGGCACACGTCCAGACATTCAATTCCCAGTCAATCGGCAGAGTCAGCACCTCTCTGAACCCCGGGAAGTTCATCTGAGTGCTGCAAAGCACCTCCTTCGATATATCAAAGGCACTATAACGTACGGAATCATGTACACGTTCGGTGCAAAGGGGAGTGTGACAGGGTATTCCGATTCGTCTTATGGAAATGCGACCAAGCACCGATCAACCAGCGCATACGTCTTTATGATGGCCGGAGGACCAGTGAGCTGGAGCAGTAGGAAGCAACCTATCACAGCAATGTCAACGACGGAAGCTGAGTACGTTGCTGCTGCGGAGGCTGCCAAACATGCAATCTGGATAAGGCACTTCCTCTATTCAATTGGAAAACGTTGCAAAGAATCACTGGACATACGATTCGATGAGGCGATGCCGTTAGGAATTGACAACCAAGGCGCAATGGCACTTGCATCCAACCCTGTCAATCATCTGAGAAGCAAGCACATAAAGGTTCGGTATCACGCGATTCGAGATTTCATCGAGAATGGAGAAATCAAAGCAACGTACGTCCCTACCAAGGAAATGCTCGCGGATGGCCTCACAAAAGCCGTCAGGCCAGAAATCCTGAGTCATTTGGTGAAATCCATGAGATTGGAGGGCTAGGAGCCCCCCCCCCCCCCTGGGAATGGTGAAGAATAGGACCCTAGACTACAACAACTAGGTGATCCCCAAATTGTCAGAAAGGGCGTTCAACACCCCTCACAGTTTATTGATATCTTGTTTCAGTTATTGCTTTGGCTTCATTTTATTCGTGTCGGGGTATTGAACGAAGGGGAGTGTTGAAAGTGTCGTGATGCGAAGTCTTATGTTCGGGATCAATTCCGAACATCCGCGGAACTATCTGTTGATTAGTAATATGAATTGGAGGCTGGAGGTTGTATATAAAACCGAACTCTCAGTCAATAGAAAAGGAGAACGTGGCGACAAGGTTAAGCAATAAGTTACTCGTGTATTCAATTGATCTGCCTGATATTCCTTCCCCTGACCAATATTTGCAACACAATCAGCAGCCGCAGTCAAGGTGCTCTAGATGCCCTCGTCCGTCCAATTAGGCGTCGGACTGGTTCCGCCAGCGCGTTGATGGTAGACCGGGACATAGGTACGGGGCATAATTCGCAGCTAGAAGATACCTTGCCCACCGAGGATAGTACGACTTCTCAGGGCCGCATTGCTCGGTCACCCCATGCACCAGCACGGCACGAACAGCCCCGTCGGTCGGCGCGGCTGACGCGGAATGTCAATAGCACTGCCCCGCTCCGACGTTCGACAAGATTGGAGAATAGCCGACCGCGGGGCCGTGAGTGATAGCTTGACTTGCCGAGATGGTATTGATGGATACCAGATCTGTGTGATCGAAGTATTGGTAATGCTAGTCTACAATTGAATTGATGATTTTCGAGACCGATGCTCAGTTTTCATTAGCCTGACCGCTAGCCGCATGCACATTAGATCGATTACTTGTTTGGAGACTTTTACGCGTTTGAGGCGAGAGTGATTACATTTTGCCTTGTCTGGCCTTATTTAGAATACAAGAGGGCTCCCGGGTAGTCTCCAACGCAACATCCAAAACTGGAAGGATTTTGTTCGACGATTTCATCCAGTAACTCAGGTGCGACAGACTCACATAACAGTGCATATGTGGAGCAAGAAATTCTGTCAGCCGTTCATTTTACATATCAAAGGAGCCTACGAGCTCTCTGCCATAGCATTTATATCTTTAACGGTTTCATGATCAATTGACTGCTTATAAAATGAAGGCCTGAATTCACCCAAAAGACAGCGCAGAATCCTTATTCGCCATCCTCTTGGAAATGCCCCTCAGATGATCTTCAAAAAATTTCCAGTGGAATTATCACAAAGTGCAGAGCACTCAAAACTTCAGTAATCAAAATCATCCACACAGAGGCAAAACACGCAAACCAGAACCGGAGCCGCAACTATCTGGAGAGCAGCTTTCCCTCCCTCATAAGCCGCATTTCCAACCACGTTAACAGGAACTGCAGCAGCCATCACAGTGGCACCAACTGCAAGCTTAAGCCCCTTTGCGACCTTTTGTCTCAGTCTTCTGCTCCGACGAGCATGATGTGGTGTTTCAGGATAGGATGAGGTTGTTGGTGGAGGCACTTGAACAAATCTCTCTCCGGAGGATGGCCTCGACGGGTGGGAAGAAATGTCCAGGGGAGAATCCCTGATGCACTCTGCATAGTCTGGAGGGGCTTCGTTCGGTACACACGCCATCTCGTTCTCGTATGCCTGATGATCAAAGGACAGGCGTGAAATTAGAACTGAGGGGTGTCAAATTTTAAACAGGTCAAAGTCTGGAAAGAGGCTAAAAGTCTAGCTTGGATAGTCGTGGTGAAAAGAGTAGCTAGTGAAGACCTCCCCGGTGTATTTATCACTGACTCGGGTGGTGAAACACAAGCCGAACCAGGTAGACCACAGGGGGACCAAGACTTAGAATACTAGGTGCTCCAATCCCGCTCCTGGGATCCAGATGATAAACTCTGGGAGCTTGTCCGATCCTGGGATTATTCCCGCCGTTCCCACGCGCAGTACTATCGACCGGTTAGGCCCGTATACCAGGCATGGCTGTATGGATAGAATGTAGATCTCAGGAACTATCTGAATATAAATGCTATAAAGGATATCACCTTGCAACCAAGATGATTATAAATAGCAGACAAGAACGTGGTCTCTTGCAAGAAATCTGCCTCTTTTCTCGATTGTCTATCGTGTCCGCCCGCAGCCACGCCATGTCTAACATTCAATGGGATCCTCTGACTACCTGCGAGATGAATATTGCCTCTCAAGAGAGCAGGACTTGCTGCGGTCTCACTATAAAAGACACATCTTGCAAGAGCAAGATCAGATTACCAGTCATTCAAGTGGGCCTCCAAAGGGTGACAAGCCTGGCCAGACGCCCACTTAACTTGGCGACCTTGGAGCTCTCTCTTCGTGATATTGCAAAGTGCTTCTTGTGCGCGAGTTGGCACCAAAGCCAGGAAACCAACGATGTAGCTCAAAGATGGTATCAAGCCGCTGTTCGAAACTCGACGCCATGCAGTGGTACCGGCCGCTCGCCTTCACCGCCGATAGCGCATTCGTCTTCGAGAACCTCAGTCGCTCAGATATCGGAGCTCGATCACACCGTCCAGTCAGGTACGCCCAATACACCACCCCACACGCCTGCTACAAGCGTGCCATCTCCGAGCATGGGGTCGTTTGTCACAGCTGCAACACTCAGATCGAATAATGTCCCCTGGAATATCTCGCCTGACCATCCCGCTTTCCTATCGTGCGTCACCAACACTTGGTCCGGTGTGCAGGGCAGAGAGCTCCATAGTTTGGGCCACAGTGATGGGGTTTCTGATAAATACTGCACCTTTTGTCTAGCCGAATATGGAAAAATGCAAAAGAGTGCGTAGTACTACGTTTTGTGACGTGAAGAACTTTGTAACATTAGAAGCACGGTTGATCTTGCAGTGGTTAAGATCATCATAACGCAATGGCGACTATCATTCCCGCCTTTCTGGAAGCCAATGACTAGAGATATCCCGGCCCACGCCTCTCATCTTGTCTATTTTAATCGTGCCTGGGACTGGCTAAAGTTTGGATTGCCCGCGTCGGTTGCGTATTTACTTGCCATGACCCTTCAATAAACACAAAATTGCGACAATATGACGCTATATTAAAAACCCAACCAACTCTTGCAAGGCCCAATAATTCTCGGATTTCATACCATTTTGAGAAGATTAGCAATGCTACTCAAACCTTAGCAGCATGTGGACTAGAAAAAAACATATTTCATTTGAGACAATCCCTTCCGGGGGCCAATCAGCTTGCCCAATTAAAGAGCTACCAAGCTAATGGATTGAACCAAGCGTGGCGACGGATCTAGCCCGCGCACAAGCTGAGCTGGGTTTCCCCGGAACCCCCATTAGACTTGGTCACCCCAGTCTCCACAGACACTTTGGGAGTTTGTCTACTAACCTGGGGTATGCCTAACAGCGGTTATCGTATATTGCTGGTAGTCCCCTGCTCAGCTGCAGTATGCACTGCTGTGACTGTTCGAGCAAAGGAAGTTTTGTCAGTTTAATTAATTTATCGTCCAACCTTTTTGAATTTTCTTCTTGAATTTTCGACTATCTTGAAACTATTCTTTCTTTAGATCAGTTTCATTTCCTTTATTGCCACTCGGTGCGCAAGGGCACAGAGAGCCTACCGGGATCGAGCCAGCTAGTATGCTCCCCGGGTCTGTCATGCTTCGCATAAATCATGACCCCAAACATTATTGAAGAAATCCAATCTTCTTCCATCGCGGAATACAAAGCCCCGAGTTTTCCGAGTTCGCGATCTTCGCTGATTGCAGCATTGGAGAGACAGGTGTTTTACCGATCATGTGCATCACAACTGACCCATATGACATGAACAAAATTTCTTCTTAAGAATTGACTGAGCTGTTTTGCAGGTCTTGTCGTATCAGTGGTGTCTCCACTGCTCATCATTCGTCTCTGCCAATCTGTATATGGCATGCTAAGGATATTCAGATGCCCTGAAATACGACATGCTAAGTCATGCCAGGACTGGCGAACCGGGTTCTCAAGGTAAGACACCATTCGAGGAGGGGCCGCATCAAGAACTATTTTACTAACTGTGGCTGCGGTGATATCAACTGGCAATCATGAGGCAAACTCCGACATCATTAGCATGGCAAGCAAAAAGAGAAAAAACTGACCCGATTCACTCTATTGAGTTGAGGCAATGCGCCTCGTGCCTAAGAGGCTATGATTGTAGCTGGAAAATACTCCTTCGTATTCCACTGTCCATGTTCCTGGGGTACTGGGATTTATCCGAATCGAACATATGAGAGCTGAAGAGTAGTATCTTGCCCTGCGGCCTGCTCTACGAGCGATTCATGATGATGTTTAGCGTAAGTATAGCCAAAGTCAAGCAGGATACTTGAAGATTTTGTGGGTTCTTCTGATACCGAAAGCGACGGATAAGACACGCCGGTTATTGTCGATTTGTACCACCCACTATCCTCTCATGCAGAATTTGTGTCGGGATCAATCAATAACATCGGGGGATTGCTCCTATGGGTCTGATTCATCACTAGATTTGGAATCAAGTCGCATATCACTTTTTACACCCACGTTCTAGAGCTCTCAACTCTTGATCCGAGCCATTAAGCTCAGCATATGCAGAGTTCTAATGGAGTGTCAAACTCGAGAGATCTGGGAAGTCCATGTGAAGGTGGTCAAGAGCCCTCCCCTACCCCAACATGGGAGAGGCTGACGAGCTCCGACACGGCCCCTTGGCGCGATGCGGCATACTCGAGGTCCGCCAGGCATGAATACAATCCACCTAGCGTGAAAGCACGAGATTGAGGAATGACACTTAGTACGTGGCTTCCTACTACACCAGCAATACCAGACTAAGGGCGGGGTAGCGAAGGTATATTTCATCTACCTTCTCCGTGACTCGCAAATAATCTCGGAACGGTGAGTGATGATTGAGGGGCTACTTAGCCAGGCTTTCACATTCAACCCCCGCCTTGGGCCGGAGAGGGCCGACACCCGCAGGGTGGCCCCGTATACCAAAGGCCCGCTCGAACCAAACGTCACACCCCCGGGGGGGAGGTCTAGAATGATTCCCTCGGGCACATTGGGAGCGAGCGAAGGGAACGGACAACAATAGACATCATTCGATTGGGCCCGGCCTCCCATTCTACCAGGTTATAGAGCAATCTGGGCTTTTTCATCGGACAAAGCTAAGCTCTAAACAACGGCTCAAAATAACCCCCGGTAACTTAATCCGAACCATTTCAGGACAGAAACCTGGAGGATGGGCTCGAAAAATTAACCATCGTTATCAGATCGTTGAAGCGAAATGTTCATTTCATTATGAGTTCGTCGATGAATCACGCCTATCGATGCAGGATGATAATTGAGTTTTGAGGAATTTTGCAGAGGATAGCACGGGACACAAGACCACGATCGCGGGCGGATCTTGCCCGTCGCCTATGGGGGGCACCCCCGGCAATTGGAAATTGCCTCGCCGACCCCCATAAAGGGGGTCTCTCTGGGGGACCCCGCCCCCCGGCTCGAGGGCGCTTGGGGAATGAATCAAATCTGGGCGAGGCCGGAGTTTGGAAAAGTGATTTGATACCAAATCATTGACAGTTGTGCACATGAACAGCCCGTACATTGCGACGATGAGACGAAAAACCGCATTCCTGAAGACCGACTTCAGATATCGACGCGTCAACAGCGGTGGTCAGTAGGGGACGTATGGCGGGGCGACACGTTAACGCGTGATGCATAAATACCACGCGCAACCTCGGTTACTTATTAGCACCACTGTGAAGCCATGAACAGGCCTCGTCGCTCAAACCCAATCATGCGAACACTTGGACTAATTACAATATGTCGCATCCATACTAGTGTTTGATTATCCGCCCTTCACTTGCTCTCGCCTTGTTAGCGCCTTCCATGAAGAATTGAATGTGCGGCGGGAACGTACCACGAACACGTCAAGGGTGGATTGACGGCGTGCTGACCGGAACCCCTTTTAAGGACTCAACACATGATACACCCATTCCAGCGTCAGAGCCCCTCCCGTGTAAGCTTTTTACTCCAAAAAAAGAATCTCCAAAGTCGCGGAATCCTTCGATCATACAACTCCATTCAACGCAGCGATAGTGAGACGATAGATAAGGAGGGTATGACTCACGGGTCTGCATCGCCGATTGACGAAACAGGTGAGAGGAGGTGGGTGGAATAGCAGAGATGATATTCTGGCATTCCAAGTAGAAGGATAGGGAGGGGGGGCATTAACCACACTATTAAAAGGTTTTTTTATCGCGCGAATCCTCGTATTAACCCTCATTCGGTCAATATCTAGTCCATTGCGCAATTTCTGGTGCAATTGCACGTGATATATTGCGAATAACGAATATTAGGGATTCCTGCGAATATTCGTATTCGCAACAGCCCCATTGGGCTTTAGTGATGATGGAATTATCCGTGTTAAAGACGCAAAGCGTAGTATTGCTGCGAGGAAGGCCAAAGAAGCTGAAAGGGAGGAAAAACGGGCTACGAGGGAATGGAAGAGAAAGTACGGTCCTCCTACCACGCCGCGTATTGATGAAGCTCAAATGCAGGCAGAGGCTATGCCTTTGTATAACGAGGGGGGTGAGGTTATTGTTTTTATTGATAAGTTTTGATTTTGCTAGTAGAAATGTATGTAAATGACAATTTATTTCATTACGGTGAGAATTTCATTGCGCTGCGGAACACCAAATCGGGCTTATTCGATTTGGTGTTCCGGTCGATTTGGTGTTCCGCAACGTAGTGCGAGGGCGCGGCTAGTAAGATCCTTCTCCGCTTTGACCGACAATCTTCCTTTGAATTACATCATTAACAATCACGTGCGAGGATACTCACGATCTAGACCGAATTATTCGGCAGTTATGGAAAATAAAAATACCGAGACTAATATTGGTCCTTAGTTGCATAAAGAGTTTACGATTTCTCTTCCTTCTTATCTCAGTATTCCCAAAAATAATCGTCCCTTATATGAGCAGAGACAATCCAAGGCAGAATCCCCGTCGAGCAATGATGATTGTTTGAATTTCTTGCTGGAATCAATTCATTTAGTGACAGGTACTCTACAGCTCTTCGTTGGCATCTCCACTCGATTTTATCGACGGAAACATAGGAGGATTCCACCATTGAATAAGGAAATCGACGGTCGGCAAGGTCCGAAAACTCCCTTCTGCCATAACAGCAAGCGTATTGTTAAGTCCATTGTTGGCCAACCGAAAACTGCGAAAAGGCTAAGCAAATGCCGTTTCTAAACCAACAAGACTTCGATAGCCCGAGCCGGCAGTTCGAGGGCGAATTGGAGCAGCCGCCTTTCTACGCGCATCACCTAGCCGTACCTGGTGCCCCGACCGGGCCGAGGGACGATATAGGTACAACGCAAGAAGTTTCATCCCGCTGTGAAAGGCAACATATCTCTATCCACTGTCCGCGCATCGTGGGCCCTCTTGCTTTGATATCAATAGCCACTATTTCCATGATTGTCGGATTCTACCTAGCAACATCTTTAGGCGGCTATCTTGCCGCAATTTCAAGAAAAGAAAGAACTACACCCTAACCACCCTTACCATCATCACCTGCAGTGAGCTACTTTGTGCGGCTCCCACCCCATGACTGCAGCCCCAGTAAGCCGTGTCTGTTCGTTGAAGCTTCCGCTTCGTACCATCCAGAGCATGGGGTTTGCCCATCTGGTCACGTCCTTGAAACTGGTATAGAGTGACTTCCAGCTGGTGCTTATTCCACAATGAGTACTCCGAGGTCAACTAAATGATATTGTTGATAAGCAACACCTGATTTAAGCACAAGGAACTTTGATTTCTGAGGTTAAACCGAAGACTCACTTTCAGGCGTTGCTTCGATTGTGGAGGATCAGTCGTTCGAGCGATTGCGTGAAAGCTGGCGATGCGAAGCCAAGACCCATCACGCCATCTCCCGGTACTTCTCCCCCACATCGAAATTCGTACCGCAAGGCTAAGGACGTCCCGCGACCTCTGGAATAAATTCCAGGAGCGGTACTGGTGGATGGAACTCGCGAAATTTTGTGAACTGTTCGCTCAGCTATGCCAGCAAAATGGCGAGCGCTGCGGCAGCGCGCGCGAATTCATCGATCATGTGCGGATGATAGTACATCTCTTGAATGCTACCGCCCTGTATCAATTGGCAGCAAGGCTCAAATTGCCATTCTGCTCACGCAGAGTGGACCGGAATATATCTATACTCTAAATGCGATCCATAATGATAAAGATCCCTTCAACCCGGAAACGAGCGCAAATCATCTGGCAAACGCCGAACAGACGGTGCAACGAAAGGACGGGACAACGCTCCTCCATCACCGGTCTTTCCATCGATGCCAGGTTCAGCCAGCGGGTTGCCAATGCCATCTGCATCGCCATTTCGTCCATCAAAGAAGCGATAGAAAACGCCACTTGAGTGTGAAGAGGTGACACCTCCAGTGGTCAAACCAAGCCAAGAAGGACCGACTTGACATCGGATCTTGGATATTCGATCTATGATCGTAGACGAAGACCTTCACGGCGTCTCCTGGGGTCCCTGGGCAAGGTGTACTCGGCAGGCACAATGAACACCGCACAGGTCAGAGAAGTGGACCCGGCGACCTTTCGCGAAGCGGTATTGGGCCCAGACCAGCTGGAATGGTGGGTCGCTTCTTGAACACAGAACATCGGAAAAGGTCCTGCGAGCGGACGGACCAGCAGAAGATCATGGAATTGGCTGCAAATGGGTCTTCAAGACGAAAGCCAACGGAACACGCAAAGCGCGATTGGTCATCAAAGGCTACCGGCAGAAACATGATATCGACTATCACGAGACGTTAGCTGCTGTGTCTAGGATGGACTCCGTCCGCTGCATTTTCGCGAGCGCTGTGTTGCGCGAATGGGAACTCTACCAATTCGACGCAGTCACCGCGTTTCTTCACGGTGATGTCGACTCGTCTATCTATACGGAGTTGCCCGAAGGCTATGAAGAATCAGGGTACGTATGCGGGCTCTGCCACTCACTGTATGGACCGAAGCAGGCCCTGTGAATTTGATACCAACGCGTCCACCGAGGAACGATCGCGGGGTAGCCGTGCACGCCCACAATGAAAACCCTGTTAGAATGAAAATTCTTCACCCACCCCTCAGTTTAATAACAATTTTAACAACAATAACACATCAAATATATTGAATTTATATACAGAATATCAAATTTAACTAGTAAAGAATGTAAAAAAGTAAAAAAAAGTAAAAAGAAATGTCACTGTGGGCCTTCCACCGGGTCACTTGCATATTGGCTTCAGCCATCAACTTCTGCTTCGCCATTTTTCGATCAGCAGCAGCCTTTTCCTTGGCATATCGGGCTGCAATACTAACATGGGCATCTCTCGCATATACCCTTCCTACACGTGTATTTAGAACTGCCCTTTTTGACCTTTTTTTTATATTTCTGCGTGGTAGAACCTCTGATTCAAAGGTCTGTCGGAGCTGCTGTAAAGCTTTAATACTGAAGATATCCTTGCTGTAGGACTCGGTAGACCTGTTTTGATTGGGAATCGAGACGATCAAATAGTTTTCGATCGCTTTTAGCCGCAAATTTAGCTGCAGATCGTATAGTCTTTGGAGGTGTTGTAGGAATTGGGCTACTTGGTAAATCTAGCTCCCGTAGAGGTGATCCATCCCACGTCTGTATAATCGGAATACTCTCATCCCAGAATTGATCATTGGTCATAAATCCATTAATTTGGGTTAGGATATTTAAAGGGTCAAAAGGTATAATGCCTGTATCACGAAAGGCATGTTCGATAGTGCTTTTTTTGAAGGTTTTTTCCCGGATCTTCGGCAGTGAATGTATAAATATCGCAAGATCAATATCCCCCAACCACGAGATATTCTCTGAGTTATCCACTTTAAAGTGGTGTTTATAGGCCAGAAATGGATTCTGATCTAATGGCTGAGTGATATGGGTTGAATGGGACTTAGAACAAAAGGAATAATATAAAATACATCACATAGATTAAGGAACTCTAGGGTAAGATGAGAGTCGTGTCCATCAAAGAGAAGTAACCGTGGATATCCATTGGCAGCTTTAAATGTATAATCTTGGAAATGTCGAAGCCATTCAAGTGCAATTTCTTGTGTAATAAACCCATTTGGTGATGTATCAAAGGCCCAATCACCAGGAATTTTAGATGGGAAGTAGTCCTCGAGAAGCCGGCCTTTACACGCGAAAATGATATAAGGCGGAATAACACTTCCATCTGCTGATACACACTCAATAATTGTAGTCGTTGGTGCTCGTTCTGGTGTTCCTTTTCGAGTATGTTTTTTGGGTGTTACCCCTGAGGGAACATTCTCTTTTCCAATCTGTCCTGATTGGAAGCCAATTTCATCAAAGTTATAGATGTTTTGGTAAGGAATTTTCTCAATATAAGGTTCCAAATAGTCAAACCAAAGACTAATCTCTCCAATGTCTTCAGCTGTAAGCCTTTTTTTTTCGATTGGAACCTCAGTAACGATATTGAGGTTATAATCTTTCTTAACACGAGTGGTAAAGCCATATACCCAATTTTTACCGACCTCCGATTCTCCCGACCGGTGGCAGATTTGATTGGCTGTACGTACAATCATCTTTGTTGTAGGCTTAATTTTTAGTCGAAATATTAAGAATAATAGCCAATCTATTAGGGTATTTTCTTGAATTTCCGATAGTAGACGTCGGTGAGGTCTAGGTGCAGCTGTTGCTGGTATGCCTAGATGGCGGCGACGGAGACGTTGATAATCAACGTTGAATTCCTTCGCAATTTTGGTAAGAACAGGCTTTGAATTTAGGGCCTGGATGTGTGCAATTGCTTGCTAAATCCGAATTTCGGCTTCATTTTTGGTTTGGGGCATTTTTTTGTATGTAAAATTGGTAGTAAAATTGATGTGTGGTGAAGAATTTTCATTCTAACAGGATTTTCATTGTGGGCGGGAGCACCCTTTGGGCGGTGGCCAAAGGGGGCGTGTCTATTTGTGAGGATCGTTGCACTTGCTTGTTTGTTTTTCATGCGCATTTGCCGCAGGGACAAGAAAGTCATCAACATAAACACAAACGACGCAATCCGACTTGACGCAGTTGTTCGATTGGGGCATGGGTAGACCTCGACAAACGTGGGTTTGGGTTGGGTTTTGTTGTGGTTTGAAGGAAGATTTATTCATATTCTTTCAGAGGGAATACATGAAGCTATATATACAGCGAGAAGATCAAGTTGATTTCCAATCAACTTGATGCTACATATAGATATCTCGGGAATTAATTCCGATGGTGCGGATCAGTTCCTGATCTGCATCAGCCTCATATCACAACACCAATCAACTTGATCTTCTCGTTGTATTCCCTCTGAAAGATAAACAATCAATCTTCCTTTGAATTACAACACGACCCAGAAAGTTTGGCCCACTGTTTCTATCACCCAACGATATCTAAAAGGTGGAGGCCCTTCTGAAAACGCAAAGATGTAGATCCTCGCACTTTATGCCCTCATGGAGTCAGAAAGAAACAGCTAAAAAAAGTGTACGCTACAAGAGAATTCAAATTGAAGCCACGAAATCCCAATGCACAAATACAAAACTAATGACACGTCACAACGATTACACATTCTTCAACGCAAGAATATTCGAACTATGGCTGCTTTCCTTTGCTGTACGTTGTCTACTCTTGCCCCCCCCCCGGACCTACCTTATGCAAGAGCATTTAGTTACCGTGTAGCAATTGTGCTTACGTGGTATGCCAAATGGTTTGGCTATTTCTGGTGTTGTCCGGCTTATGAATTTGCGACCCACACGACCAGATCCGGCTCCTGGAAAATCCCATAGGGCCACATCTGGACGCGGTGAATGATTCGTATATTGTGCAGCCTGCATAGCTAGGGGACTAGGCAAGATCGTTTTCACAAACAGTCATACAGGTCGCATAGATGGGCGCAGTCGAATTCTGCCCAGGCTTGGCGTAACCAATTGAGTTACGACAATCTTCAGGCCTTCGAAACCCAATTCTTGGCATCTCGGCTGGAGAACTGAACTCGTCTGGTCGTCCATATAGCGGGAGGAGTCACTTTTTTTAAACTTTCTAGTACTCCGAACAATTTCCAGCTGCCTAATAGGCAATGAAAGTTAACTAGTTGGGACCCGCTAAACAAGAGCCAACATGATTGCGGGTGCACACAGTGCGTATTCCAATTTTTCAAAGATGACAACGGAAATACCAAGACAGGCCAAAAATGAACAGTATGATTTCACTTTCTTTTTGGGAGACGTATAGAGTCTAAGCAATCTATAAAGATGGTCACATGAGCAAACTTTCCAGTTCGTACCCACTCTGTTCAGGTGTTCTTTACCCGTCTTCTCGACCTGATTTTCAATTTCATGTCTACTCGGTGAAGATTTCACGCCAAGATGAAGCGAATAAATAAAAATTTCCCAATCAAGTGGCTCGAAAATTGCGATTCAAAAGATTTAAGCTTTTCCGTAACTTGCGATGTGTACGCTGATATTGGAAATGCTCCTGGTGATGATGACTGCCCCATCCCGGGGACATACGAGGCGGATCAAGACCAGAGGCGATTTTGTAACCAGGGCGCTCCTTTACGCGCCTTTCTTAGGCTCTCTATGCCATCCAGTGTGGTTCATATGACATTTCCTCTGGCCGCTGTACTGGAACCAGGCCATTTAGCATGCGCTGTAGAAGCCAAGAGAAGAGAAGAAACCTTCTTGCTAGTCTACTAGATGCCTGGGGCCATGCATTTTTAGAGATCACATCCCAGAATGTCGGTATGTTTTGACTGGTCTAGGCTTTAATCGACTCAGCCAACCTTCGCTATCAAATTCTAATCCTTATTCAGCAGAAAGGCAAGCCCCTGCCGCTCTCCACATCTGATTCCTGAGGTAGACCTCGAAAGAATCCGTTCTGATCCGGCCCAGAGCCCAACCCGGGCCAAATTACCGCGGGCCCAGAAAGCCCAGAAAGCCCAGAAAAGGCCCAGAAAAAGACCATTTACCCCTGAATCTGTGATATCTGTAATATCTGTGATGCTTTAATATCTCTATTTTAATTTTGAAATAAATGCGACTAGTAGAAATGGAGTTAGAGAAAAATAAGAGACAAAAAGGGGGGAAAGGTTCCACTTCGAAAAAATTCATTTTTGTCCCCTACCCCATCAAAATTAATAAGATCTTTTTTATTAAATATACTGGCCAAACCTCAATAAATTGGCATACACGCTGCCGCAGCCTACCAACGTCAAACTCCGAGACAATTCAGGATGAAACGGGACCGCCAGCTATCTTGTAAATGGAGGGTACTATCAAAGTATATTTGGCACCAGTTCGAGTTCTGTGATTTAGTGCATCAATCTGATATCAGATAAACCAAATTGAACCCTAATACATATCCGCTGATTTGAATATCACTTTGATATCTGCATCCAAAACCGCGCCAAGACCCGATTTTGTCCCCCCCCACCTTCCCTCTGTATAATATAGAAACCACTGCAATACAGACACATTGCCTCCCTACAAGGTAGCGCGGACGGGCCTACCTCTGACGCTAGGGTCTAATTTGTTTCCGTACAATACCACGGTGACTGGTAACCCGTGACGGCCAAAATATACTCTCCTTCTTGACTGTGTGAGGTCGCCAATAGATCCCGAATTATCCCTGTGAACCAAGTTGATTACATACTAACTTGGTCTTCCCACTATATATGTAGCTTCACATATTTTATCTGAAACAATAACACAATCCATTCCTCTGAGCTACAACACAAATGTACTGTGTACTATTAAGCAACAAGTAGCGTTCAACTTGTCAGATCCAGCGTAGTGCTGTCATATACCATGGCCGCACATTTAGCGTTCAACAGTGAAGTAAGGAAGTTAAAGTATTGAATCCAACCCGAGTTATTGGGATGATGCCCTGAAATGTTCCTAGCACGTTCCTTGGGTAGTGTGTTCGAGAATACCCGGTGCCCCCCCTGTATGGACCAATACATGGTTTGTGTAACTCGAAGATACTGCCACTCGCTGGTATGGCCATGGGATACACTCGGCCTCGAATAACCCTAGGCTAAGCTCAACCGAATAATGAAAAATCATAGCCCAGACTTTGCGGTTTCCGCTCTATCTGTATAACCTGTCTATTGGGCGCCTGAACTCCCTTTTGCGACGTGGGTCGATCAGCACAAAACATCAAATTGCAGATTGCCGCGGACCATCCCTGGAGTAGGCAATTACCGACTGACAATCGCAAGCTCCTGATCCCTATGATCGCAATTTCCCGGCTGGCGTGCAAACAGGGATCACCTTGGTCCTTGGCCTAGATTTCCCTGTACAACTGACATGAACCACCTCCCTCCCCTTCCCCCAATATCAACCTATCTCTGCTTCCTTTTATGTTCATTGTACTTTCGGTTATCCAATTTCTTTCCTATTTCTCCCTGGATCGTCGTCCCTTGGGCCTTGTCTTTCTCCTAGTTAGGTAGATGATACAGTGTCAGAACCTTCGATCCAGCGCGTTTGGCATTAACAGCAGACTCTATAGCTATCCCGTTCCAATTCTTCATCACTGTCATAATGGCAAACCAATGCTCTGGTCACGTTTTTATAATCGTCCAGGCCACCAACGGGAACATCCTGACTTGGCGCTGCTCTGGCTGCAACTCGGGCCCCTTCATAGCCATCTGGCGCTGCAAGATCTGTGGCTATTGTCGCTGCAATGCCTGCCACAATGCTAAAACATAGCGGCTCCATGACTTCTGTGTATTCTACCGGGATCATGGGGTGGGACGAGATATATGCATTTTGCACTGGGGGAAACTCTTTGTTGGAAGCTATTCAGGTTTTAGAGGCTCATGATTTTATCGCCGATTATCTGATTAGCCAACTCCAATGCGCGAAATCGGATACATTCACGGAATGGGTCCAAGAGGAAGATTTCATCTATGAGAATGAGACACTGGAAGAGAATTGGGTATTTTTCCTTCATTATCTGCGTTTTTCATTATCCCCGGCCGATATTCTTCAGCTTTTTATTTTGACTCATCACTGGAGAAAGAACAACGGCAAGATGCTAGAGTGGAGTCCCAGCAGAAAGTGTCAATATTTGAGGGAACGCCTATTTTTCGGATATAATTTCCCTGGGATTGTGTGGGTTCGAGACGTGAGAGAAACACCTGATAAGAGTTATACCGCAAGAGACTTTGAATAATCTGTCGAATTAAAGCTTGAAGCACATGCTGCTAATTTTAAGCAGCCATGACAGCAATCTTGGCAGAGCTATCGCAAAAGTCGTTGTGTATCTAATGCGAGAGGGAACGCATTTTCATGGAAATTCCCGGACCATGAGATCGCAGATCGAATGAATAGTATTAAATGTCGTGACAAGAATGATGCTTGAATACGAAATGGTGGGCCCGGTACGAGGAGATACAAAAAGCTAAAACAACAGGCTTCTAGATTTTTACGCCGCTCACATGTCTTCCTCGTCTGCGGTCGCAAATGTGCTAGGCTCGTTGATATTGCGAGGGCGGAATTCGTTGAAGGCTGTGGTAAGGCGAATGGCCTCACATATTGGCCGCCACCGAGGAGGGAATCAAAATCTGAAGGGGGTATTATGGTAGGAATGTGACTGTTGACTGCACATTCGTTGAAAATCCAACTCATGCTCAGTAGTTACGTAGCAAAACAACGTTTATGAAGTGTTAAGTTTCAATGATTTATTCACATTCTTATGTTAATGGTTCAACGTTGACTCAACAGATCACGTAGATATTTATAGAACGGTTCCAGACTCATAGTCTAGTAGAATTGATTGTTAAATGGCTCATCAAACTTCCACTTTCTCTTATTCGTGACTCTAGTTTAATGCCAATTAATTCTTGAGAGCACCAGAGACAGGAGTGTTGACCTGTGGGTCCCTTTGGCTCAACTCGCTCAACGCGAGGGCCCGCATATCGTCGATCACGGAAAGCGGACCCAGAGCTCTGATATGGGCGGTCAGAAGCAGATTGGATGTTGATGCTGTTGAGATAAGCGCCCATTTTCTTGACTCTCTGGGTTGATGAGCAGTTGACAATTGTAACCATTGCGCTTTCAGTAGAACATCAACGAAAGCCTTGAAAAACATCTCGGTATTCAAGGGCGCGTCTCGTGAGACGACTGTTCAATATGGTACCCACCCAAAAAGGATGTGCATGAGGATGCCTTGAGTCCCCCCTTGTTTCCGAGTCTGAGCACAATCAACATCCTGAGATGAAACCTCAGATATCGCATCGTCACTACTCTACTTAGGCAGCGACTGTGAATGTCGAAAGAACCAGGGAGAAAACAATGGCCGTACGTAACTGGCGATCTGCTGTAGCAAATATGCCTCGTCATCGCTGAGCTGTACGGGTGACCAGGCGGCGTCCATTGACTGAAAATATTGCATGCCAACACCGTGCTTCTATTCATAATAACCATATAGGCAGATAAGCACGTTTTCTTTGAAGCATGGCATTGTAACAATGAGAAATTCACCTGCTTCCTTGCGTTCATAGCACTCCATACACGCTATCCGGACTGCAATGATTTCCGCTCGCCGTGCAGTCTCCATGTCAGGTATTGAAAGCAATCCGAGTCTATAACAACCTTGCTCCTGGCTTCTGAACACATGGCCACCAGGAAAGGATATGTTGGTCCTGGGAGCTCTCGTACTCCTGGGATCCATAGTCTTGTGTCTGAATATGAGCCGATACATTCTTATCTCCTGACCATAAGAATCAATCGAGACTTGAATATAGACTGGTGGCAAGATATATAAGCCAGGCAAAGAAGGAGGCTTCTTTGTCGGAGTCTCTACGTGCGGCTCCAGCTCATGTGTCTGAGAATGCGATTCATAGCCACGGTATGATGGAGAACGAGCATGGTCCCGTAGGTCCCATACACCAATCTCGTCGGCCACCACTACGAGCTCGACCACAGTCTTGGCATCCAGATGGCCCAGTTGAGTCTCCGCTGGAAGGTCCCCCCTCGAGATCTATAGGCGTTCATTCTATCTTGAATCCACCGGCTCAGACAATAGAGGCCACTAGCAGTGGTCTAGGCTCACAAAGTGCATCGAGAAAATCTTCTCCGCGACCACGAACGGGCTTTTCACCCGTTATGCGTCCCATGCATTCCATTATGCAGCATCCGCTATCTCCCAGGCCGACCGGTTGGCCATTGGGAAACCCTAGCTCGCCATCAGCGCGATTCGTGGGCAGGGGAAGGAGCGGGCAATCCAGCGTCTCGCATTCTTCTCTGGTTTATCATGAACCTCCGATGGGTCTACGACAAGCTCCAGCGAGCTCTCCTCTCCCAAACCCACCTTTACGACCTCTTGCTGCGTTGCCTGCTATTCAAGCCTCAATGCCAGCAGCACTACACTCCACACCAATTATCCATTCCAGACGCACCAGTGCGGGTCCAGCGCCATTGAAGAATCCTACATCTCAAGAAACCACCCCCGGCGCGCCCCATTCAACATATAGCCGATTGGGACGTGCTTCACCAGCCGTAACAAACATGTCAGCTCCACCGAGTGTAGCCTCATACGCAGCTGCCTCAACACCTTACATGACAATGGAAACCCTGACTCGAGGTATGCCTGCAGTTGCGGGTCCCCGCAGCATTGCAGAAGAACCAGCATCGATCCCTTCCAATCGAGTACCAAGCGTTGGACCCGGCACGCAAGCGAACGCAGTGCCCCCAAGAGCAAGAATACTATGCCATGTAGACTATAAGTCCGGCTCAACCAGCCAAGCCGAAAAGCGTAAAGCAAACAGCGACGCCTCGCGCCGATTCCGCAATCGCAAACGCAACGAAGCGCAAATGGAACAACGACTCACTTCCCAACAAGATGAAATCCTGCGCCAAACCGAGGAAATCCGAGCCTTGACCCAGCAACGCGATCACTATAAGGCTGAGCGCGATTTCTTCCGCGATTATCTTGCTCGCTTCGTTCCTCTAAACCAACTTCCGCCTCGACCTTCATCTCCCCGTTATTCGTCCTCGATCCCCGCCCCGCTTCTCCCTACACCTGCCATGGAGACAGCCCCGACACCAACATGGTCGGGCGGTGATGCCGGACGAACTGCGTCTGGTGCGCAGCCTGTATCAGCAGGATCACCGCGACCGCAGGGTAGTTGGCCTGGAACACCGATCCCGTACGCTGCTGTACCACATGACTCCACGCCACGGGTTCTTGGAAGCGACTCGGCCCCTTCAGCACTACCTGTCTCTGGGGGATCATTACCTCCATTCCACGGGTCCTGGCCCCGGCAATAAGTCCCTTTGTTTAAAAAGCATTTATAGAAGGACAGTGAATCGGGTTTTCATTCTGTTTGCCCTTGTCCCTTCATCCCCTCATACTCATACTATACCTCCTTATTATAATTATCCCTTGTGTCTCCTTTGTCATTTGTCTCTTGCCTTTTATTAGAGCATCTCTGGGGACTGTTACTGGATTGACTGTTACAACTTGTGAACTCCATGGGAAATTAGCGGGTGTCATCATATTGGATATCATTGGTTTTTGGCTTTTTTTTCTCTTTTTTGTCTTCTCAATTACTTGGATGGGTGAAAACTATTTGCATTTGTGGTGGATATAGGCTGATGCATGGTTTGCTTTGTTTTCCTTGATTTTTTTTTCTTTGTCTCTGTTTCTTTTGTCATCTCCTAGATAGAGCTCTTTGTAGCTGACTACCTGTGCCTAGCCGCTCAATCTAGAGTTTAGGACGAGCCTTGCTCCTGTCTAAATGCCAACTAGTATCCAGTCCATTATACATTATGTCTTGGACTCTCCCACCAATACGCATTATAAATTATTTCCCAAGCCCTTGTATCTCAAGGCAGAGTTAGGTTGAAGATCTAAGTAATTCTATGGCTTGGTTTCTGGTACCCTCGAGTATAAAATCCTACGCGAGGAATATCCCTATGCGTGCATCGAACCGGGCTAAATTGCTGCGGGCATGTGTTCTTAACCATATCGTCTTATGTTGGCTAATTGAGTAGGCCCAATCCACATTTCCACCTATCGGGTTACCAGAAGACAGACAAGACAGTGCAGGCGCTCGGTGGCCATATCGATATTATAACAGAAATTTGTGAAGTTGTCGAAAAAGCAGGGACAGAAAATTTACATCGCCAATATTATACACACATGATGCAAGAATGTTAATGATGTATAGTAAATTACTGATCATTATCCACTTGAAATCGTACTAAACGTTTCTACCTACCAGTACTTGAGCTATAATCCAAAGTATATTGCTTGATAATAATTTTTCATTCAGCGTTGTTCTCTGTCCAGAGACATTGCTTTTTGACATACTACTGGCCAACAATTGCAAATGGCATTATGACAAAAATAGAATGTTAACCCTGTTTACTACATCTCCCTGGGCGGTAAGGGCCTGAGGGGGACGAATATCAATTCATGCGCAGGCATTACGAAAGTCTATGGTGTATATCTTATTCACGCTTTGGTATTACACCAATATGCTGATAATATCTGCTATTCCAGGGAAGATAATTGTAGTTGTCAGTCCACAAAGTCGGGCCAGACTTGTGACCCAATAGGAAAAATACTATGTATTATTCCTATAAAAGCAGCAAGATTCGCACTTCAGGGCGTATGACTCTCCTACAAGCTCGCAGAAGTCTCAGCATATCATTTCTCTCCGACCCAAAAGTGGAATTTTCACATTTCACGTCCACAAGCGGACATATACACACTTGGTGTCAGTTCATCTCCCTTACTGAGATATATTTCATGGCTGACTTTCAATAGTTACCTTGATGGATGAGCCTTGTCTTTATATTGAATATAATACTGTCGACGCTTATATTCTCGCATCATGGTCAGAGAACGCCGCACCCGAACTATTTGCATCCTGTGTAGACTCGGTGCGAGATAGTCTTCGCCATGTTGATGGTGAAAAAAAGCCGACAATTATATAAATGCTCTCATCAGCCTGCTTACCATAGGCTTTTTACCACCTCCATACATGTGCCGAGAGATCAAGCGAATGTTATACGCTGATAGTGGGCATGATCTCATAAACCATCTCTTGGAACACGATGACCTTCGTCCGATTTTAGAGAGCCGTCTAGATCAGGTGCACAGAGCAGAAAATTATTGAAATGGCTTATCTGTGATGTGAAGCAAATATTCATTGTGTGCGATGGTAAGAAGGAAAACCAAGCATAGAATTGGATCTATGTATACACACTATTGACCCCAAACCTCCGAGCCTACCAAGAATTTTGATCTATTCATCATCGCTCCGCCTTTCATATAATCGTATTGTTTCTAAACTTATCACATAATATCGGTATTGGAAGATACCCTAGCCTATGTAGAGATGTGTCCTCAAGTACATGAAGTTATGAACAAGTTCGATTCACTGCAGGAGATTTTGGTGTATCATCACCTGCGCGAATTGATAGCCAGGCCATCATGCGACATGTATGACAGGCTGAGTATATGCTTTGATCTGCTTGCAAAGCAAGCATGACAACGCCCTTATGTCGCGTTGGCTCCAAATCTATGGGCAACCGAGACCGATTGAACATTAATACACAGGGAAATCGAGGGTAGCATTTAAGTTTTCCCTATTCATAAACAGACCAATAGCTAGACACCATTTATGTTTTCTTTATTGGTCGGGAAATCTTCTCTTGCCGCTTTACCTTCAGGCCATTCAGTGATGTTCACCTGAACGCCCTGAACGCCCTGAACGCCCGCCCCCATGCTGACGTGTCCTTCCCCTCTCATACTGAGATTGCCTTCGACATGTGTTGTCACAAGAGTGTAGTGATTTATTCCGCTGAGTACGCGGATCATTCGATGGATATCGCACTCGTTTTTGTATTCCGTCACTAGGTTCTCTTCGGTTCGAGTGTTTGTGACTGGACTTGTTTGAGTCGCCTGTCTTTTGCGAGGATGCTGTCGGGACTGGTGAGGCAGATCTGTTGCCCAAAGCTTCAATTGTTCTCTCGAAATTCGCAATTCCCGTGCGAGCACGTTCGGCAGACGACGGATCCAACTGTGCCATGATGAGGCAGGGATTGTTGATGTCAAGCGATGGGGAGATGTCGATTCCCTGAAGGTACTTATGATGGAATCGCAAAGGAGCAAACTTGGATCTACGAGAATTCTTGGAGAGGATGTATACCTGGGGCGCCCATGGGACAATAGCGAGTGGACGCGCGAAGTGGGTCGAGGGCAGATCAGCCACTGTGAACCTGAGCAATGAGTGCCGTTCACCGCTTCACCGCATGTTTGTAGCCCGACGAGTCAACGTCAACACTCACCCATCAAGAATCACTCCCATCAAGAATCACTCCCATCAAGAATCACTCCCATCAAGAATCACTCCCATCAAGAATCACTCCCATCAAGAATCGCATCACCTCAAAGTCGCTCTCAGCACCATTTCCCACTTTTCAAGGCCGGACGATCTTTGACGGCTCAGGTCACCTTATTGGTCAGCGTCACGAAGATCCTGCCTGGACGGGGTCCTGGCATTGGGTTCGCGAATGAGGGAATCATTCAGACAAACTGCCTACTTTTAACATATGTCTCGTGCAGTTCGAGACGACCGCTTTGAATTGGCTCATCAGTGGGCATGTCGAGAAACCTATTGCGTAAAGCGATTTTACTAAATACGACACTAGGTATGGCCTACGAGAGAGCTTTGAATCGACTGAACTGATAATTTGATGATTGCATTTCCCAGTGGGCTGCCATGGCTCATGCTTTAGTCTATCTACTGTGCAAGTCTTGGCTTCTTCAGTCCCCATGGGAGTTGCAGTCCCCAGGGGAGATGAATACTGGTCCCTAGCACCACGCAGAGGTGCTTGCACATTGCTAGAGGGGCTTGATTTCGCAGCTCTCTCCTGCGGAGCCTCTTGGTGTCGCAGATGTCCCTGCGGATCCTCTTGGTAACGCATTTTTCCTTACGGAGAACTTATTTGACACAGCGGTCTCCTGCGGAGAACTTGGTAACGCAGCGCCCCCCTGCGAAGCACTGTTCTTATGTCACTGGGCTTGGATCAGCAACAGCCGTCGTCACGGAAACCTCAGGCCCGAAGGCCAGAGGCGACACACCGCGGCCGCGATGTGTGAAGAAAGACAAATGGATCGGGGGAGGAGCCTGCTTTTATGGACTTCAGCTACGCTTTCTCGCAGATACCAGCAGTGCAAATTTCTCACCGAGGACGGTTCTGGCGGTCGATACAATGTCTTCACCGGTCTTGACCCATGAGCTGGACGATGCTGGCGAATGGATCGCCAATCATGTCGCGACAGACAGCACCGGGACCGTTCATTCTATCTGGGTGTGTAGTATTCCTGACTCACAGAAAGTGCTGGTCGAATCACAAAATTGGCGCAGTTGCAATCGGAGGGCAAAGAGCTGGCTCGTCCATGGTTCACAGTAGTGGTACGGTGACCTCAGAGACGTGAGTCAGAATGAAGGTCCTCAGCATTATGCTGCGCGTGCGAAAGTGCCATGGGGGAGGATTGTGGTCAGGCAATTGGTCTACTTTGGAGAGGCCCGTCGAATTGCGTGCGGCTTCCATGTCACCTCCGCTTGACTACAGTATGCCCAAGTTCTGGCGGCTTATTGTGAAGAGGTACGCGGCTTGACAGGTTTTGTATTTGCTGCACATTGAGAGAAGGCATGCCTACATGATTGCTATTCAAGGGTATTCCTCCATACATCCATTACTGGACTTGTGCAGAGTCCCATGTGTCCACATATTCTACTTAAGGGCTGGTATCAACTGACCTAGATTGGAAGCGGAGGCTGCAGAGAGCTCTGCGTTCTTGGTGATTGTCAATATACTCTGATTATGGTATTACTATCAAAAGCCCCATGGCATATCAACTTAGTGAATAACTGTCTCCAATTCTCAACTTTTGGCGGGACGCACTTTTGCGTCTTTCGTAGAGTAGTGTATGCCCAACACCCCCCTTTTGCTGGAACGGCCGAAATGTAATGGAGCGATTCCAAGGACGATGTGGAGAGTTTTCGGGGGTAGCACAAAACTGAGCAATCTCTCATTCACCATCATTCTCTGAGGGCTTCTGGCTTTCCTCGCTGATCATTCACTGTCGTCCACTCAACGTTGAAGCACCAGAGCGGATATGGTGGCTCCACCTCGACCCACGGGCCGCACCGGTGCGGATTCAAGGTACCCGTGTTGGCTCAACTTAATGACCATGCATTGTTATGGTCTTGCCAATTTGGGCTGCCCACGGTTCACATTATGCTTGAGGGTGAATGATAGCTTTCACGTTCCCTTCAGGGCGTGTGTTTTTCCGCCAGTTAATGGGTGAGAGAAAAGTCACGAAAGTAGTCAAGTCAGGAATTAAAACGAGGGCCTCATGGTGCTCGCCTCAACTTTCACTTTGCCACAAATGTCTGCCGTTCCATATACTGTTGGGAGAATTTTCCTCTGCTCATGCTCGTTGAGTCAACTGATTCGCGAGTGAATAAAGTTTACGACCTCGTTTTCTACATGCCCAATTAGTCTTACCCGCACTAGAACTCTCCCTCGATGATTCCTCCTTGACAACTATTTGTCATTGCGCATATTCTTGGGACACCTCATCTTTGCCCATCGCTGTTGATTCAACCGAATCTGCTGGTGAATGAACTCTGGTGTCTCAATTAGCCGCAATTTTATTCTGCTGGGGGGCCTCCTCTGGCCTCGTAGTCTACCTGAACCTTGACTACTTGCCAACTATTTGTCATTCGGTCTTTGCTGCTCCTGTTTGCTCATCGCTGGTAAGTAAAAAAATTTTCTCTAGGGCATTTCCTCTTGCCCATAAATAATCAGAAAGTCTCACAATCTGCCGCTTTTGATCCAAGCGAAAGACGAGAAACTCCGCCCTGAAGGGTATAAATATGCCCCCATCCGTCTTTCTTGACTTTCTTCTTGCATCTCTCTTCGCACATCTCATTTGCGAAGGTTGAATTCTGATCATCTCCTTTTGTCTATACTTGTAAGTGTACCCAGCCATCAGCTCAAGTGTACCTATCTCTTACTGATGACACTCTTCCTCAAGGCCCAATATACAAAGATTTCAATACGTGAGTACCACCCTTCCTTATTTAAAGCTTACACTAACGCCGTTTATTCCTCGGATTCCACTAGGCTTCCAATCTGTCCACTGGGGCAGCAAGACATGTACCAAGGTGAGGTGTTGATTTCATCCGACCCATGAAAAAGGCACTATGTCATATCTAACGATCTCACAGTAGAGCTTCTTGGGCGGTCTGTGTACAGTCAGATCTGAACACATTCGATGACAACCATGACAGGCTCTCTACCCCTGATAAATTACGGTAAAGCCTTTTTATACGGCAGGCCCAATAACAACTCCATGAGGTCAGTCGCTGATCGAACGAACTTCTATCATAGGGACCTCCTACAGAAATGTGTATGGGTGGATACATCACGAATACCGGCGAACGCTGAGTGTGATCCGTATCCCTTCATCCTTGATTAAGTCTATGTACATAGAGCTGATGTATCTTCTGTGGCAGACATATTCACGGCCCCCTTCCCAAGTCCCGGCGTGGGCTATTCCGGATGCTGGATGGCTCATGAAGCTTTCTACCCTCTCGATCTTTGACTCGGTAGCAAGGGACCAGCTGTCGGACAGAGCACCCATCATGTACCCAAGGCAAGGCCGATTCCACCTCGAATACAAGAGACGCACTCTATATTGAGGCGTCTCTAGCCTTGCGACTTCGTTTGCAAGACCAAAAGACGCTATAAAGAAGAAACAGCTCGTCAACCACATCAACTATGAGGATGTGATGCCATCAAGTACGTAATTCATATCGGCTGATCTCGCTCTTTCCCATCCGGCTCTTTGCGCTACATTGTCCAAATTAATCCGCGCCTCGATGGTTCAAACCTTCACGGTATAGAACGTGGGTGAGTGATGGCACTTCTCAAACAATTCGCTCATGACAGATCATTGACCCTTCACAGAGCCTGTCGATACACCGGCAGCGAGCCAGTGTGTACGCCATACATGGCGCGTGCCACTAAAATGAAACACAAGCCCAGGGCACTGCAAGGCTATATCGATGGTTTCAACATCATCCGCCCACACTCCATCTGATCCGGCTCTCCCAGGATGAATAAACATTCATCTGCCTGCAATCAGCCCTTGCCGATACCATCGTGCTCCATGTGATTGAATGATGGAAATAGCCCCTCGTCAACCTTATTGGCTTCAGCAGGGAATGGGTTGGCCAGTTTCGCCAAGCAAATTCAGTGTCAGCTCTAACTCATCGATCTTTTTTATGTACACTGGGAGAGCGTTCAACTAACAAGAGCGAGCTTCGCACACTCAATGGGCATAGAGCCCGCAGTCACGAAAACCAACCTTCATATCTCAAGCTACGGATTATCGCTCATTTCGGAGCGATGAGGACTGCGGTTAGTTATGCAGCCATATTGAACCACTTCTTAGCTGGCAAGGGTTGCGCTCACGTCTGTTTCCACATGTATCAGCTACTTTCGGCATTGACAAGAGTATCCCCTTTCATGCTGACCTATCCTTATTCCTCCTCTCTGGATGCTAACACTGCCTATCGTGCGACTGGTTACCGCACGCTCCCCACACAGCCACTGCATGATTGTATCAGCTCAAAATACCCTTCCACACCTGCTCTGGAGACGAATTCCCAATCGCACTACGAGTCTACTATAAGAAGCGCATTACCCACATTACCCACCAGGTGGCTTTTTATCGCATCCGCCCCCCCTGCATTTACATTAGTATATCTGACTATTGTTCCAGCAGACCTCTCACATAGATCGAAAGATTTATTACCTGACCCCCGCTCATTGGTAATGCCGTCGTCTCTTGTCAAGAGCTTGGTTTTAAGCGGCATTAGACGCGAAGCCTGCTGCAGTCAGGCTCTGGAGGTTAACAGTGGACGGCTAGCGTGGCTCCCTGTCTCACCTCACCCAAGTCAACACCCACACAAAATGAACAGTTTATGACAAGTCCTACTGTTGGATCCGCATTATGCATTCCGATGGCGGATCTCCATTGTCATTAGACAAGGCCACTTTGCATCAGCGTCTTCCGCCTTGGTCATCTGTAAAGGTGCTGAAGGGACGTGCTCTTGTCACGCTGTGAGCTAAGCCTGTTCAACGTGGGCCTCACATTTATCTAGAGGCAGAGCTATTCAAGAGTACTACTTATAGGCCTATGGTGGCCATCTCGCTGTCGGCATGGCCACTTATGATGCGTCTGCGGTACGATTGATTGTCGGTTGGAAGGGGTGATACCCGATCATACATACTCCGAGAGGATCAAGTTGATTGAAACTTGACTCTACATATGGAGATCTGAGGAGCCAATTCCAATGATGCGGCTCTGTTCCAGCACCGGCATCAAATCGCGACATCGTGTGCACGTGGCTGTGCGGGCTTTCTGATGGGCCGAATTACGAAGCAACTTCAAACATGAAGAGAGTGCCAACCTTTCCAGTGCCTTGTGAATGTTCAGGACGGCATACGCCGACGGAAGCAGACTTGGGTCGCTGTTTTTAAATGGTCCGACGCGTCGCTGACTACTTGCCGCAGCTAACTTCGCGTGACGTCATTTCCCAAACACTTCTCCGCTGGGCTTCTTCGCGATGAGTTCATCTCACAAGTGAGCATCGATACACGAGCGTTGAATTTCCACGAAAATTGGATCGTTCTACTTTGCGCTTTTCCAACGGCTGATTCTTCTTTATATTCTCTTCTCGCTGGGGCTACACCAGCTCACGCTCTTGACAATCCAACCGTCTGTGAGCGGGAAACCGTGTCGGACAAATAGAAAGGAGGCCAGCAGGGAGCTCCAATGGTCCGAATAGTGCTCTATGGATGGCAAATTAGGCTTTACACACCCAAGCTAATTGTGCAATCAGACTTGCAACCAATCTTGAGAGCGCTGCGTTGACAGGGATGCGACGTTCAACAGTGAGATAAGCAGCAAGGTCAACCGAAAATTTGACTTCATGAGGGGGCTTCCATACATTACAGGGGCATATTACGGCAGCATAGCCTTGTGGGCGCTCACCGCGTCCCCGAAGCTAAAGGCCAACTAGTCCGACTTGAATCGGAGTAGCTCCCAATCACAGCTTCGCCCTGATAGGGCTTTGGTGGTGTGGTATTTGAATGAAGCTACTCGCTCATCGTCGAGGGACAAGAGGGATTAGGCTCTACCAGATACACATCCACTATCGCGAATCATAATCGTTGGCACGAACACTGCCGAGTAGGCTCAAGTGGGATATTCCGAGGTTGCTTCCATGAATGGTATTGACCGCGACCTCAAAGCTTGAAGTCACGGATTTGACACTAGAGACTTCTCTAACGGAAGCTGTCTGACCATGCTGAGTGCCTGTATCAGTCAGATATTACTTGTTTACTATACTTCAAAATGACCTCGGTGGTGGTTTCACTGCGGCAAATATCGCTCGGAGGAGAGGCCAGGCAAGAAAGTGGCTTTTCTACTCATGGCGGGTGATTCTACTATGAGGGATGCATGATTTTCCCAGGCAGGTCTACAGAGGGACCTATTGCCAGATATTTAGTCCCATTCTGGCGTGTTTGCGAGATGTCCTTGTGGCCAGACGGCTCTCAGTGCATGTTATGTCACAACAAGAGGTTATTGGGGAAATCGCCTGCCCTTTCCTAAGGTTAAAATGGAACATCTTTCGGTCTATTTGCCATCATCGAACACTAGATCTTCCGTACAACGCCACCTTTCGCCGTCTGGTTTCTGATCAAGATCATTCGAGCCGAAAGGGCCAGCCTCAAGCGCCGGGAGCAAGGGTTGCTTTGACGGAAGGCAGCCTAGTTGTCACGACGGGACACAACTCGATGGGGGAAGTGTCATCGAAAGTCGGCATGTATTGCTCTATTCATCGGTACACCTAAAGCACGTTGGAGGCTCACCACGGGTATTTCGCTAGCGCAAGAACGGCTGACTCAATCACCTCAACGATATGTCTCAAGTGTTTCCAAATCCAGAAAGAGGACGAAAGCAGATGTCCGAGACTGACCGAAGCGCCACAAAACACCGAAGCCCTTAACACTGATAGAACCGATTTGGTCATGTGCCCTCCGCTTCAACTCGAAGCCCCTGGTGCATTCCGATCCTTTCTTTTATCCAGGATCAATTCTCCCTATCAAAACCACCCGTTTGATTCCTTCGAAATCTCGGTGATCGACGGAGTGGTGGACGTGGGAATTGTATTCGGACAGACATCAAATGCCGAGCTAATAGCCTCACTACTCTAGACAGCCAGGAAAGCCTAAGTTGTCTTTTCAACTCACCCATGGTAAGCTGCCAGTGAGTGTCTCAGAGGATCAACTATCGAAACACAAGCAGTGATTGCCAGTGACCAAGATGCAAAGACCAGCCCACGATCAGGGACCAAGGGCATATAGACATATATGACTTCCAACTAGAATTTCATCTATTGGGCAAATGCAATGGGCAGACATTATGCTGTCTCACAGTTGCCACATGGTGAAGCATGTAGAACCACTACAGAGCGGCAAGACATATCTGCGATGTTCATCAGTATTGAAAAGTTCTCATTCATTTCCCTTCGTCTTGACTGCGGACACCAAACAACCAATGCTGACTGAGCCCAGATCCGAAACACTGCGTTGTATGTCGAGAGGAGGTGCATGGAATTTTCGAGGCCATTGTCACCGAAAGAGACGTGTCAAATGTGGTGCTGTCGTCTCAGCCTTCTCAGTCTGGTTATATGCACTCGCTCCGGCGAGCAAGTCAGGCCAACAGCCCTATCCTGTGGGTTCAATACTTTCTCCAAGCGAGGTTGTGCGACCGGAGTGGGCCGTGACTTTGGAGATTGTCCTTTTGCGAAAATCGGCTTATGCAAGTCGACTTTCCGTGCTGGAATCAACTCACCGTGTGCTTAGTCCTTGGAGAAGAATCAATTCAGTAAGCGTTCATTTCAGTTGAAAAGTGCTCGTGGTATGTCCCCGTAGCTCATTCAATTCTTCATACAAGGCGCTTACACGGCGAGGGCAAGTGAAAGGCAGAAGGTGTCAAACACTAGTCCAGATGCGGAACATCTTGATCGGCCCAAATGTTCGCTGGACTTCGTAGGACTGATAAGGCCTCTTCGTGGCTTTACGGTGGTGCTAACAGCTAGCTGAGGTTGCGGGTGGTAAATATGCACCACGCGCTCACGCGTTGCCCCGTCATTCTCCCCCTACTGACCACCGCTTTTGACGCCTGGATATCTGAAGTCGGCCTTCTGGAATGCGATATTTCGTCTAACTGTCGCAATACACGCTCTTTTCACGACGGGCGGGGGATGCCTGCGCCACGTGTGCACAACTGCTGATGACTTGGTATTACATCACTTTTCCAGAAAAATCGACCTCGCCCATTAGGAGGATGTTCATCGCCCATGCCCGTATTTGATTCATTTTCCAAGCGCCCTCGAGCCGGGGGGCGGGGTCCCCCCAGAGACCCCCTTTATGGGGGTCGACAAGGCAATTTCCAATTGCCGGGGGTGCCCCCCCAAGGCGACGGGCAAGACGCCCACACTACTGCGGCCCCGTCATACCTCTGCATCCATTACATCTATTATCCAGCCATCATCAATTTGTGCAGCGCATAGAATTCAAGAGCATTCGCGCTTCAGCTTCGGATTTGTCGACCACTCCCCTTCCCATACTGGTGGTTGGTAAATAGACAACAGTCGCCTTTGGCCTCAGCCATGCAGCCAAGTTAATTCAGACACTTCACATCACCTATCAAGCTCTCAACAATGAATGCTCCACTTCGGAATCAGCAACGCAATTTCCTCTTGTGCCTCTGAAAGATTCTTGGTTATCAATGTTCAAATCCTGGGGATGATGCGACCTTGACAGCGATGGCTCAGCGAGCGGAAGACTAAGGCCCTTTCTCGATCATCTGCTTGCACACGGCTAGGATCGATACGGACGTCTTCACGTCATAAGTCGTTGATATCGTACCGAGAAGTTGGAGTGGAGCCCCGACATCCCTTCGAGTAGTCGGCTACAAGAAGACGACGGAACCGGGAATAGAGAGTAGGTCCAAGGGCATCTTCAGAATGATAGAATGCTTAGGCTCAGTCTGCAACTTCCCATATATTGAGCTCAATCACTTGGGCAGAGCAGTGAGTATGGCTACAGGACAGGCTGAAAAGGTGATATGCGACTTGGTTTCAAGTGCCTTGATGAAAGACACGCTTGGGAACAGTGGCCCAACATTATTGATTGACGCGTGATTTTTGCTCCACTTGAGAGCATGAAAGATGGGTGCAAATGGAGAATGGCCGGCAAATCTTACCCGTCGCCTTGGGGGGCACCCCCGGCAATTGGAAATTGCCTCGCCGACCCCCATAAAGGAGGTCTCTGGGGGACCCCGCCCCCCGGCTCGAGGGCGCTTGGAAAATGAATCAAATATGGGCATTTAGTACATGCATCATAGTTTTAAGGGTGGGTCTGATCAAACCAATAAACGTATCCCACAAGTTCAATCCGTTGCCATTTCGTTTCACTTGGGATGCGGAAGGATCTACCCGACGACTTTACGACAGACCGTTGAACACCACTGGGGACCAGCGTTCGAAAAGGCGCAATTAATAATCTAGGTTCACGCTCGAGACATTTGAAAAGCCACTACGACGTCACTATCAAGAAGTATTTACCAATGGGCTTACATCTTATAGCACCAAATATCATTGATCACACAGTATGTACTACAAGGAAGGCTTCTTTGTGCTATTTGATCCGTGAGCGGAAGATGCATGGCAGTCTACCTTGCTTCAATGAGCTGGGCTGACAAGGTCCAGGTAAGGATCAGTATCATTTGTATCTAAAACAGTCAGCAGCTGGACGATTTTCGCGGGAAGACATAATTACCTCCAGCGCAATGTCCCAAGTCTTCCATAGCGTGCCTAGCGCTGCAACTGCCAGTGGGATCGCAAACAAGGCTGACACGCAGAAAGAAATAATTTGAAGGCGAGTTCGGGCTTAAGTTGCCTGACCAAGAAGCCACAGATACCAGATCGTCACCATCAAGTAGTCAACGGCGAGAACGAACAGACACACCGGGTGAGATGCGGTCGGGCAAAAGGCTCCAACGATAGGACTTGCTATCTTTGCCAGGCTGGAGACCACGGCGTATGATGCATATGTTCTAAGTAAGACAGCCGGAATGAACGGGTTCTCGCATTGTTGGAAATGGATCCGAAGAAACTGAAGAGTCAGCTGATTGCGCCAGAATGGTAACTTCTAGACATACCACTTGTCCGGTAAGAAAAGCCGATGTCATCCACAACAGTGTGCGACACCAGACTGCATAGATTTCGCCCCAGCGAAGACCGGAAAGTAGAACGAAGGAAATACTAGACGCAGCCGATAAAGTAATGTCGAGGTGGTAGAAATGCCAAGGCTGTTGGAAACGAACTATCAGAGACAGCCTCATGATACTAGTTAGAGAGAGAGCGGATATCAGGATCGACTGGACATGGTCTTCCGATGTCATTTTTTATGCATGGCGGACAAATGTGTCGGCTGGGGGAGGCAGTCTGTATTACTTATGTACGTTGCGTATAGCACACACGATCCTGCCTGGGTAGGATGTATATCTACGGTTTCCGAGTGAAAGAGGAAGAAAATTTTTGGCGCTGAATTTCGGTAACTCAGATCCGGGATCGTCTTCACGGTTTCTGGGGAGGCCATGGCCGTTCCCAGGATCAGTATCAGTGTCTCCAGGAATGGCACACGGGTTCCCAGAGACAAATGGGCTCCCAGGATTAGCATCAACCTTTCCCAGCCTGGCAAAGACTATTTTGCCATACGCGAAGCCCTGGGCTCGGTCAGACTTGGTAGAGTATGTTCTTGATTGGTGTATTTGAGCGTGTGTTATAAAGCTTCGCCTCCCTTCCTACCAAACTGCATCAGCTTTAATACTACACAGGAAAGATGCTAGACAAACTCCCAAATGAACTCTTACTCTGGATCTGCAAGATCCTTGGTAAAACCGACATCGTTTGCTTGATGGCTTGCTGCCGGAGAATGGCAGCAATCTGCACAGAAGCTCTATTTGATTGCCTTCACTACGATGAAATGCCACCCCTTCATCGAGCCATACTCGCAAGACGACTAGACGTTGCGCGCCTTTTGTTGACTCATTACCACGCAAGCCCCAACTCCGAGTACCGTGGGACGAGCACGCTTCTGCTTGCCATTGAGATGAGCTATCCACAAGCAGTTAATCTCATGTTGGAACATCACCCACGGCTGTCTATTTGCGACTTTCAAGGTCGAGGGCCGTTGTCAATCGCTGTCGCAAAGGGCACTTTTGCCATCGTTGAAACCCTGTTGCAGTACCCAGCGCTGGATGTCAATGGCCGATGCACCGATGGCATGTCCGCTTTGATGTACGCAGTGGAATACTCGGAGCATGCCATTCTAAGCCATCTTCTGACCGATCCCCGCGTGAATGTCAGCATCGAAGATCGCCTTGGGCAGAATGCGCTACATTCCGCAGTTCGAAAAGAAGACCATATCTCAGTGCAGATCCTAGCCCGAGACCCTCGCTTGGATGTCAATTGGTGCGGCACCCACCGAAATACGGCACTACTTCTCGCGGTCAAGACCCTCAAAGGGAGGTCGCCCCGACGGGTAGTGGAAGCCCTACTGCTCAACCCAAAGCTTGACATCAATCACCAGGATTCTAGGGGCGCACGGCGCTGTGGCACGCGGTGGACCAGCAGAATGAGGAGCTAGTGCAGCTGCTCTTGGACCAGGATGGCCTCCGTTTGAATGATGCGGACGGCGGGGCTGTTACCCCTCTTGCGCGAGCAGCGGAGCATCAAAGCCCTCGTTTACTGCAGATGCTTCTGAGACAGCCGAAGATATGTATCAATGCCATGCCTGGTCCGGCTGTTCCACCGTTATGGGCAGCGTGTCGGGCGGGTTCGCTCGCCACGGCTCAGAGGTTGCTGACCCAGAAAGCTATTCAGATCAACGAGAAAGCCCCGTCTGGAACGTCACCCCTGCATGTGGCCGTGATCAATCAACACTTGGGTATTGTGTCTCTTCTTCTCTCGCAAGGTGAAATCGCACTGAATGAGGTTGGGCCCTCGGGCTTCACGGCCCTCATGTTTGCTGTTGCAAGCGGGTATACTGCATGTGTTGAACGGCTGTTGCGCCATCCACAGATTGATCTCCAGGTTCGAGATCCTTACGGATACTGCGCTTTCAGCTTGGCGATACTCAATAGACATGCTCGGGCAATGGATCTTTTATGCAGTGCATTTGTGCGGCAAAACGCACGAAATTTAGGTTGGCCATCGGTCTAGCTTTGCCAAGACTGAGTGGGGGAGAAATAGAAAATTTTAGTAATAGTAATATGTCAAACTTAGGAAGCGGTCAATACCGCTATGACCTTTTGGGATAGGTTTGTTCACCCAATTTCCCTGGGTATTGGTATGGTATTAGGACTAAAATACGGTTACGGTATCGTAACACACCAGAGCACGGACAATAGGGCACAGAGATCGCTCAACCGATCGAGAGACCTTTTAATCAATCAATCAACTGGTTCTATTGGACATGCGCAGTACTAGCCAGTACATCAATTCCTAATCTTGACATCCTCAAGAAAATTGAGCCCCCGGTAAAAAACGGCTTGAATATGCAAAATACCGTATAATTGACGTGTAAATGGAATTCGATCTTTGATCGATCTGTTTGGGAGACTGCCATTTGTCCTATCGAAGAAGCGCTACAAACGATCAGCAGGGGCTGGGCCAATGATACACCGTAAAGTGGGCCCTGTTGATAATCTTTTCATTGTTAACGTCAATGATTTCAGTGTGCATACTGTAAACCAGGACACAAGATTAGATTCCATATTGCGCGAGGATCGGCTTGGGTAGGTAACCGTGAGACTTTTCATCTCCATCACTTGCAATATTGACAGATCATGTGTGTCTAACGATGCCACCAATTTTTGGGTGGTGGAAAGGGCAATTTACTAGAATACGGACGTGAAATGTTAGTGACTTGCGCTTTCGCGGTTCTCGCTAGTGATTTCGAACTGCAAGTTCATACATAAGTTGCTGCTTTTTCGGCTGTATACTGTCGCAGGTGACCAAGACATCCTCATATGCAATTGGCTTTTCTTTCATGAGCTCACCGTGTCCCTGGAAACACCAAGAGAGCTTTGTGTCGAACTGAGGGGTGGTATTTTACCACTAAGGACAGGGTTATTCATCAAGTACCCATTTGTCGAAAAAGTGGAGGTCTATTTTACTAGCGTCCATGTATTTTATCCAATACCGCATCATTTTTCATTCCTTCAGCACATTCAACCCCCTTATTTTACACATCATCTTGTATTTAGAAGAACACGTCTCAAGTACGGTTCAAGGAATTCATTGGTCCATCTCAGTACTAGTGCGTACTACTTTTCTCGGAATCGACATATCCTTATCTGATACACTCCCATGGCATGGCAGCTATGCCAAAACCTCTCATGCTGATTTCTCATTTTTGGCTATACATACAAATCACGTTCAACTTATCAGATGCTTCTATTTCGACGCCCTTTTTGTCAATTTCCAAGACGTAAAAGCCGTCTACATCTATCAAATTTCGTAAACAGAACATCAAAATCGCCCCATAAAAGCCGAGTAATATCGCAGAACAGCGGCTTCTGGAAATATTGCTCCTTTTTCTCTGACTGCGCTCTATTTAGGATGACTTTGATTAACATGATCTGCTATAGTACGACGCTCTAGAAGCTGCCTTCAGGAGGGCCAGTTGAGGAGATTGTGTTCCACAGGCTAGACCGAAAGCCTAGCGCAGATATTGAGATCCAGATTCCTTCGATAACAAAACACCAGTGAGATTATTGAGCGGTAATTTATGTAGCCTTTAGCGGGGACTAGCTTCCAGTATCTGTATTTCACACCCTGATTGCTTATAACATTTAGCTCTGACAGGGTACCTCTGAGACATTATTCTTTAAGCATATCAACGGCCATTGAATAAGCCCTTCTCTTAGCCTCCTCCTGTACAGGTCCTCCTTTGGTATTTTTGTCCCAGCCGTGCTCACACTGCTCCATTCTCTGCAAAACGGGTTCATGACCAGTCTGCTTCTTGACGCGCTTGGCAAACTCCTCCGTTTCTGGTGCCATATTATCTCGAGCAGCAGTGACCACCAAAAGCTTCGAAGGGAAGTTTGAGAGGTCCGCAAATAGTGGCGAGATTCGAGGATCGCGTGCATCAACACCCACAGGAATATAACAGCGATGGAAGAAGCGGGCTATCCGCGGAGGAATCAGCTTCCCAGAGTTATCAGGGGCGATCTTTCCAGCCGGGTTAGATGCAAAATTTGTTCCGGGGTAGAATGTGAGAACGGAGTGAAATGTATCCTTGGGAAATAGTACAGCAGCAGCGACGATGGCAAGATTTCCTCCAGAGCTGAAGCCAGAAATGCTCAGCCGTGCCAGGTCATATTTCTCTGGCTGAGCCATGACCCATCGGACAAAATCTTCCACATCATTGATCGCGGCGGGGAATGGATTCTCGGGAGACAATCGATATTTGACGTCGATCACGGCATGGTCAGTGCTTTGGAAAACGTGATGGCAAAATTCTTCATCGTCGCCAAAGGCTGGAAAAATCATTCCGCTCCCGTGAAGATTGATCAAGACTGGCTGTGGACGAGAAGGTGGAGTATTTTTTTTGTATAGATGTGCTGTGATATTTTTGCCAGCATCGCGACTTGGAATTTGCAATGCAGCATGGACATTTTTCGTGGCTATCGCTGGGCGTGTCAATTTGAACAGGATTCGCAGAAGAGTCACGGTAATTCGAAGGTAGAAACTTCTGAAAAATAGTGTTATTCGCCACATCTTGCAAGCCAGCGAAATTATACTAGGTTTCTTCTTGTGTTCGCAGGGATATGATCCAGCTTTATATGAATTTTTGTTGCAGGAGATAAGGGCTGGGAATCGATCGGGGTCCCAAAGGAGAAAGTGCGTGCATTTAAGCCCCCCCGCCACGGCAAAGTTCCGCAACTGCGGAACTATTCATGGTTAGTGAGATCTTTTGGAAGTACGTGTCGAAGCGCATACTTATCCCATTAACCATTAACTAATTGGACTTAGGTTTTGTTCCCCTAGGCTTGCGGCCCTTACAGTTGTCTGGGCTGCTTTCTCATTTCTTAGCACTATCGTCATTTTTTATTAATAGTTGCCCGCCACCATTCAATAAGTTTCTTCTTAGACTGTTCGTTCATCACGTCGTAGAGAACGAATAGCTTCCTCCGGTCGGGGCCACCTCGCTGGAGAGAGGAGGGCGCAGAAATTGGTTGTAGAAACTCAGAATCTACTACAGACGTGGTCTCTTGCAGGCTATCGCGTATATTTTGATCGATATCTGATCAAAAACGTTGTTTGTAACGTAGGAAAGGTCTGGAAAATTGCTAGGGAGGGCTGATGACGGGCCAGCATCTGAGTAGAAGCTAGGCTGAGACATGATTAAGATCAGTGTTAATTAACATTGACAAAGTAAGGGTGGTAGTGAACAAAAGGAAAGAAATAAGAGATGGTTTACCTTTACTGAATTCAACTTGCGACTGTTAGAATAGAAGCCCCCTGGCCTTAGTAGTATAAGGGGTAATGTTTGAAATTAAAGATTATCTATCATAAACTCATATATTGACCCATCATAATATTGTTCCCTGGTTGTTCAGAATGATTGGAAAGCCCATGGACATTGTGGGCTTGCCCATAGGCTGTCCATGGACATTACTAGAATGCCCAACCTCTCAAAATTCAAGGTCACCCTGACCTCCCGCAAGATTTGCCCAAAATATTTCACCTATGCACTATTTTTGATCAAAGGTTTAGATAACTTCCCACTTCAAATTTAATCAGTTCAAACATATTAGTAGGAAAACCTACTAATTTTAAGACTCATTATCTCCTAGGTTACAGTTATTATTTAGCGTAGGCTTCAAATACGAATATATATATATATATTTTTTTTCAAACTCTACGCTGCAACCTTTTCCTCTTCAAAGCCATCTATTTCCTGAAGTTACAAATATAAGTCTTTGACCATATATAACTTGACTTGATGCCATACACTAATAAATTTCAAATAAATTTAATTAGCCGACTAGATAATTGCGATATACGCCGTGTAGTAAACAAAATATGTCCAAAAAAAGGGAAATGTATCTCGATAACTCACAGAGTTATGCATCAATTTTCAGTGATTTTATGTAAAATACGGGGCATGGGCAATGCCCAGAGTGGCCGGGCATAACGTTACTTGGATTGCCCAATGCCCGTTATGGACGGGCAATGTCGCAGTCTAGTCTCTTGCACTTCTACAGTGGCGGTGTATCTTGAAATAAGGTGGTCATAATTCTATACATTTGGTTAACTTCATATGGCTAAAAACAATAACGAGATACTTACGCCGCAGGGTACCGAGTACCTTGGATTTTCGTTCGCTCCACCAGAGTCCGAATACCTTGCACGTCTTGGTCACTCAACTGATGTAGCGCAGAGGCCGCATTTTCGTCCATTTTAGCGGTCAACTTTGTGCCCGGGATAGGGATGATATCCTGCCCTTGCGCCAGCAGCCACGCAAGAGCGACCTGTGCCGGCGTGATTCCATGGGCACCAGCCACGTCTTTCAATCCCTGTACTAACTCCAAGATATTGGGGAAATTTTCTTCGGAGAACTTTGGCAACAGGCAGCGCAAGTCGCCCTTGGGAATATCTGCATAAGATCGAAACTGGCCGGTCAGAACACCGCGTCCAATGGGGCTGTAGGCCACGATAGTCACGCCCAGCTCGCGGCAGGTTTTTAGGATCTTCGAGGTCGATGATTCGATGTCTAGTGTAAATAGACTATATTCCATCTGCAGAGCGGCAATAGGGTGGACAATATGCGCCCGACGTAGCGTGTCTGCTGAGACCTCCGACAGACCAAGATACTTAATCTTTCCTTGGCTGTAACAATGGGAGATTAGAAATCGCTTGCTTGTATTTTATTTGCAGATTAGGCCTACTTCTTCAGCTCCATCATGGCTTCGACAGTCTTTTCAATGGGCGTAACCCCATCCACCCGATGGCAGTAATAAAGGTCAATGGTGTCCACCCCGAGTCTCCGGAGGCTCTTTTCACATGCAATTCTCACGTAATCGGGATCAGTTCGAGATTTGTACGCTCTATCAGGCTGGCGCTGGAGCCCAAACTTGGTGGCTAGGAAAATGTCATCGCGCTTGCCAGATCGCCTAATCCATTCACCGACTATATCCTCACTGTCAGCGTAAATGTCGGCCATATCCCAAAAATGCAGTCCGGTGGCATGTGCATGCTCCAAAAGGGCTACTTTCTCATCGAGTGTTCCAGCTGGGCCGTAGAATCCGCCGAGACTTCCGAAACCGAGGCCGACAGCAGTGACTTGGGGACCACCTCGGCCCAGGGCTCGCAGGGGAAGAGGCATTATTAAGTAGAGAGGCGTGGAAAGAAGATAAGGGCAGAGGAGAGAGCTTGTGCTAGTTAGAGCAATACAGATGAGGGTCTAAATATCCATGGGTTCCGAATGCTGGCCATTATACTAGGTGTCCTGAGCTATATCCCTTCGGGTCCCCGACAAGCGTCCTTTTGGGAAATGATATTCAACCAACTGATAATCCAATGATGAAAGTCATAATTAAGACGCAAGATGGGTGATTAGCAAGCTAAACCGCTAGCAAGCTAAACCGCATTGAGTGTGTGCTTGGGCAAGATGAGTGTCCCCACAGTGATCAGCATGCTAAACCGAGTTCAGTATATACTTCGCGAGGGAGCCTGGTCATTGGTCGGAGCATCACGGGACTTGGCACGGACTATTGTATTCCGTTCTAATTTTACGACATGGATTACCGAATGGTCGACGAATACTGGCTGTGCCACATTCCTTTCGACGGGTCTGAGAAAAAACTTAAATAGTACCATGACTCTCATTTCAACTCGTCGCAAAACTAACCCTCTTTCTGGCATCGTCAACGTCATCATGGTTAACCGAGGACGTTCCAAAGGCTTTGTTACCTGCAAACAACGACGCGTCAAATGCGACGAGGCGAAGCCTGAATGCTGGCATTGTCAGCGCCTTGGACTCCGCTGCGAAGGCTACCAAACGAATTATTGCAACCAAAAGTTCAGAGACCAGACCCACAAGTTCTTCAATTCAGTTGTTCAGGGCCGGGATTGCTTGCCTAGCCCTAGGGATCCGAAAGGAATATGATTATTCAAGAATATATGATTAATACATACTTCTTCATATACAGTGACGCGACATATGTTTTAACACCCCTTCTAGACCCACTTTGTTCACCGCCCTTACCACCTACCTAATTCGCGTAAACAAGCTGCAAACCCATTTTAAATCTACCCTCCTAAATACATACTATGGCGCGTTCTTGCGAGCTTACACCTGCTCTACGGGAGCGTATATGTGAACTCTATTCGATTGGGTGGGGACATTAGCGTATTCATAAACGATATCCTTATATCTCACTTTCTACTATCCGATATACTATCAAAAAGGAGTCTAAAAGATATGCAGGTGTTTCTAAACCTCGATCTGGTAGACCAAAAAAGTTTAGTGAGGCCAAAAAAGTCCGCATTTTATACGCAATTCATAGCAACCCAAAAATTAAGGAGGAGGATCTCCTTACAGAAATTGACTATAAGGTCAAGTTACGCTCGATCCAACGTCTTCTAAATACTAAAAATCTATAGAAATGGAGATATAGTTAGCGACCTTATTTAACTAATAAATATACTTCTAAGTGTCTTCGTGTTATGGTTACTAAGTTGTCAGGCTAGAGACCTGTGACTAGGCAAGGATATCGGATAGTAGAGATCAAATAGAACAGTTGATATACAGATCTGATTCTTGCAGGACAAGAATCGTAGCTATTGTTCGTGCGTTTTAATATTGCTAGAGCTTGCTAGGGCTTAGGGCAGTCATGCATTAGCGGGTGTATCGTGGTAGATTCGCCCGCGGAGCGGCCATGAATCGTACTCGAATCGTACCCGAAGGGATTCAGGAATCCCGTGACAATTCATCCTCCCCTTTTTTGACCGAGCGGCCTCGTCCGGTGTGGCTTTTCTTTATCCAGTGTTGATTTGAAGGTGATTCGGGGGGGTTTCGGGGGGTTTTCAGTGTCGTTAGGACACCGTTTTGCGAGCTCGGTTTTTCTCAAATGAAGCTATCGCATCTCTTGCGTTTTCCAAGTGTTCTGCCGGTTCCTATTGGTTATATTCTGAGGGCCATCCTGTCCATTTCACGTAGTAATGTAGTACTCCGTCGAAGACTCTTTTATCTCGAATCTCTTCAACTTCCCATTCTTCTTCGTCTTCGAGTTCTGGCATTGGCATTCGCGAGTCGTTATTGTTTCGGCTGTTCCATGGTTCGAGAAGAGAGACAGAGAAGACGTTATGTAATCTTGAGTATTTTTCTGGTAATGCGACACGATAGGCCTGGGCGCCGATTTTTGCGAGGACACGGAAGGGCCCGATTCGACGGGGGGATAGCTTCTTTTCTTTGGCTTTGAAGCGGAGGTTCTTTGTCGAAAGGGATACAAGGGTTCCTACTTTGAAGTCCTTCGGCTTGTGATTTTTGTTGTAGGATCTCTGTTGTGTTTCCTGTGCGATTCGAAGCTTATTCACGGCCTCTTCACGGATGTTCCGGAGGTGATTCATTCGTTCTTCGGCGTTAGGGGCCTCTTTCTTGAGTATTTCATCAGGAGTTCGGATTTGGAAATTGGGGTTATACCCAAGCAGCATACGAAAAGGGGTCTCGTTGGTTGATGCGTTAATAGCATTGTTACATGCAAATTGTGCCATCTTAAGGAGTCGAGCCCAGTTCGACTGTTCTCCGTCGACAAAACACCTAAGATAATCTTCCAAAACCTGGTTGAGTCTTTCTGTTTGTCCGTCGGTTTGGGGGTGGAAGGCAGTAGAGAACCGTAGTTTGATCTTAGAATAGTAACAGAGTCGTGACCAGAACCTGCTTGTAAAGATAGGCCCTCGATCGGAGACAATCCCCTCTGGGTTTCCATATTCGAGTTCGATTCGATCGAAGAAGAGTTCCGTATGTTCTTCGCGGGTCCTAGAGAAGATAAGAATATCATCCAAATATACGATGCAAATAATATCAAGAAGGCCATAAAGCGCGGTGTGGATGTAGCTTTGAAATGTCGCGGGTGCGTTGGTAAGGCCAAATGGCATGACCATATATTCAAAATGGCCATATCTTGTACGAAAAGCTGTCTTCCATTCCTCTCCTTCTCGAATGCGAATTCGATAGTATGCATCTTGCACGTCGATTTTACTAAGGAATTGAGCCCCGGAAAGGCGGTCAAGAATCTCCGAAATAAGGGGTAGGGGGTACCGATTTTTAACCGAAATCTTATTCAGACCTCGATAATCGACACAGAGCCGTAGCCCTCCGTCCTTTTTGGGCACGAATAGGATAGGTGCGCCGGCTGGGCTCTTTGATGGTCTGATTCGACCATTCGTCAAGTTTTCGTCGAGATACTTCCGTAACTCTGCGAGTTCTGTCTGCGAGAGGGGGTAGATTGGACCGTACGGAGGCGATGTGTCTTCTTTGAGTTCGATCGAGTGGTCGGTCTCTTTTCGTGGCGGCATAATTTTGGAGTTCTGTGCCTCGAATACATCCTGGAACGCTAGTAATTCGGGAGGGATTCGGTCTCGACTTGCTATCGATTCATCTTCTTCTTCTTCCGGGGGGAGCCAGACTTCTTCCGGGGTTTTGATAACTGCAAAGATATGGGCTTGGTTCCTGCATGCTTTCGCAAACTGGTGAGGCTTTAACCATTCCATTGTTTTTCTCTTATGTTCGAACCACCATTGTTTCCGCCATGGGGCTAACACGATTCGCATTTCTTAGATGGTTGTATTCGATAGCAGTACCAGTGATCCTGATAGACGGGGATCTCTGTTGACTGCAACACAGGGACGCGAAAACTTTTGCTTGGTTCCTCGAGAGTCGTACATAGTGATTGGAATAGTCCATACGCCGTAGGTAGGGGCGCCTTGTCGGCCTACTACTTCTAGGATAGGGGCATTGCACTTGGCTTGATCGAAGTGGTATTTCTGAACGAATTCATAACTGACGAGGTCTACCTCTGCGCAGGTATCAATATCCGCATGCGTCTCGATATCGTTTCGGACGCGAATCGGGACATGGAGGCGGGCGACCGTTCCTACTTGAGGCCAGGAGTCGGAATTTGTAGGAGTTAATTCGACCCCGGCGCTTTTCCCGAGTCTCTCGACTGAGTATCGTTACGGTGATACCAGGGTCTCGAGCGAGCTTCCTGGATCTTCGCCCCTGGGGCTCGTGGCGGTAGACGACATTCATTCGCCCAGTGACCCGGTTTGCCGCAATTGAAACAACTATTTGAAGGGGTTCTGGTAGACGGGTTGGATGGGTTGGATAGGTTGGTCCCTCCGACAGGTGTATTATTTGGATTGTTCTCGTTCCGAGGGGAAAACGGTCGAGGTTTACCTCCGAAGCGAGGGGGATTCGGGTATGACTTAGAGTTGTTGTGATTCGGGTTGGGTCTAGGACCGTGAGGACCCTTCGAGTATAGATTTCCAGGACCCTTTTGGTCTCGTTCCATGCCATTGGACCGGTTCGGGAATGAGTCATTGGGTCGTGGGCGTTTCGAGCTCGAATTTGAATCGTTAATGAATAGGTTGCGTTTATGCGTCTTTGCTTTCGTAAATTCCCAGGTACTCTGTGCTTCTTCTACCCATTGTGCTCGAGTTTCAGGAGAAACCTTTGCATATTGGCGAATATGTAGTGTCAACCACGGCTGTAGTTTTGACATATAGCGGCGCGCTTGCTCATCCCGGGAGACCTGAGGAAGATGACGTTCCAGATCTGCGAGGCGGTGGTGAAAGGCCTTCGGTTCCTCATCGGTTCGTTGGCGACAACGCTCCATCTCGTCGCTGACTTCTCCGGTAAAGGTATTTTTGTTATATATCAAGGTAAGAGTCCATTCCTTGAAGTATTCCCAGCTGCCAAAACGATCGTCATTGTTATCTTCGAGGTACCTCTCCTCTGCAGTCCAGTCGTTTTTGCAGTCGGAGTCAAGATATTTGACTCCTGCGAGGATCTTCATCTCTTCATCCTCGTAGACCCCAGGGTTGCCTCGAAAGACATATCCGAGCTGCGAGAGCCAATTTGCTCGTTCTTGAAGACTAAACGATTTCTTGAACTTATCGACCTCGAAACCCTCTACTTTCTTGCGTGTTTTAACCTCGGTTCCTCTGCGAGCCATAGATAGATTGTCTAGGAAAGCCCCAGCGTTAATTCCAGAGACTTGAGCGGAGAGCTCTTTAAGGCGAGTATGAATCGCAAGGAACTCTTCTAGGCGTCCTAGTTCGTGTCTCTTCTCTTCCAGGGCATCCGTAGTAACACTTCCAGGTCCGCTGATACTTTCAGTTGTAAGATCACCAGCGATTTCCCCAATCTGGTCTGGACCAGATTCGGCCGGGTTTGCATGCTGATCCGGGACCGATTCGACCTCGGGTTGTCCAATAATAAGGGGGGGAGGCGTAGCGGGCTCGGATCGAGCGCTATTGCGAGAGGACGCAGGGTTTCGGCGTGTAGAGGGCACCATCGTCAATCCTTGGGTAGTCAAGAGAGAAGAATCAGAATTGTTATGGTTACTAAGTTGTCAGGCTAGAGACCTGTGACTAGGCAAGGATATCGGATAGTAGAGATCAAATAGAACAGTTGATATACAGAACTGATTCTTGCAGGACAAGAATCGTAGCTATTGTTCGTGCGTTTTAATATTGCTAGAGCTTGCTAGGGCTTAGGGCAGTCATGCATTAGCGGGTGTATCGTGGTAGATTCGCCCGCGGAGCGGCCATGAATCGTACTCGAATCGTACCCGAAGGGATTCAGGAATCCCGTGACACTTCGCTAGGCTATTCGTTATCAACACTTTACATCTAATAATTGGACACAAGTATTTTGGTTAGATAAGTATATAGTAAAGCAAGATATCGGGATTTAACATGAGTGGATATTTATATATCCTTAAGACTAACTATATCTTAGCTAGTATCAGGGACTTCCTCACCGTAGAAAATAAGTTAAACAAATATTCTGGGTAGCTTTTTCAGATGCTGAAAGATATACTGGACTAATCTATCTTTTTAGAGATCCAAATTCTTAATGTAGAGGTGTAATCGCTTTGTTATTGAGAAATTATACTGTCGAATTTTGCCAACTTTATTGGCTAATAAAGATACAATTTTCCAGTATAATAATACTTCTATATATACTGTATATATAGTCCGCAGTACTCTTCAAGAGATAGGTATTGAATTTATGAAATGGCCTCCGCACTCCCCTAATTTAAACCCGATTGAAAATCTCTGGGCGTTACTAAAAGCTGAGAAGCCTGAGATATATAAGATACAACCTAATCTTATTTATATGAGGAATAATGATGAGACCTTAGTGTTGTTAGTAGAAACAGCGCAATAGGCCTGGGATCAGCTAGATATTAGGCATTTACAGCATCTATCTGCTACAATGCCTAACAGAGGACAAGCAATTATTGAGTCTCAGGGCTGGTATACACCGTATTAGTTAGAAGAATGAACTTTTTGACCGGCAGAAAATTACATAATCTAGGTGGTGTGGGGCAAGGGGTGTTAAAATATATGTCGCATCACTGTAAGTTATTGTCGATTCCGAAGAAAGCTGTACGCACTAGTACGGAGATAGACCAATGGGATCATTGAACCGTACTTGAGATGTGTTATTCTAAATACAGGATGATTTGCAAAATAAGGGGGTTGAGTGTGCTGATTCAGCAGTTTATGCCTAAGGAATGAAAAAATGATGTGGTGTTGAATAGAACGCGTGGACGCTAGTAGAATAGACCTCCACTTTTCCGACAGTTATGTTTAGCAAAAATTTAAGCTACATATAAGTGTAGAGCAGCTGCCTAGCGTCGTTGAATATCTAGTTTCGCGGTTCCGAATCCTTTATATTTGATGGGTTTAAGGCCCGGTAAGCAAAGCTCGATCGTGCCGGATCATCAAAACAGTGTTTCTACATAGCTCGGTGGGGCACTACAATATTATTACACTAGCCCAATGATGATGGTATATCTGTTACAGTATAGTTCTGCCGAAGCTATAAAAGCGGTGATCAAAATTAGATTAGCGCGTCTCGGATACTTTTTTGGGAATCGAGTGAAAAGAGTTCTTGGTAAAGCTGATTTCGAAAATCACTGTCATTAGCGATCGTCTTTTGTTCTTGATACCCAAATTTCCATTGTCACTTGTAAATAACGAAGATAAATTGCCTTTGCTTATCAACTTAACATAACCATGGCGTTTTGCGTGAAATTAAGCATCCAAGACTTGATCAGCCCTCAATTTTTTTTTAAAAAAAAGACGTGGCGTCTTGTAGCGATCCGTCGAAGGATAGGTTTCCCGATTTCACAATTCTCATAATGTCAGTGTCAGCAACACAGTAGCGCATGCTGCTTGACATGTTCCGAATGCCGAGTTGCACGCAACTATAGAAGCAGGTGCGGATGCTCCCATCGTAGCGCCCCACGTGAAGCCTGCAGCAGAATAACAGGCCATAACTATGCTTGCACAACCAGCCTGGCATATTCCATAAGCGGCAGGACCGGCGATAACGTCAGCGGCGAGGAGAAAAGGGGACCACAATTGTGCCCGATAAAATCTCATCGTGATCTGGTGGGATTGGAGATATATCGAAGTCAGGTCACTCTGAGAAAAATGGATAGTTAATGTTGAGTATACGTGACGCGTAGACGATGTGTGAACTTTTGACCTCAAGTGGAGAAACAAGGGATTTTATTGTTGGTCGGTGGCTGGTTCATGACGTCAACGGATATGCATCAAGGGCCTGCCTCCTAACACCCGAAATCTAGACTTGCTTCAAAAGCTATAGGGAGATGGGCCTCTTGTGGTAAACGCACTCGGAATCTGTAGCGTCGTGACCGTGCTTTCACTAGCCAGAACTTGTATACTGAATGGGGTAATTAAGACTAGAGAGCTCGATTTCATTTTAACGTTCCGGCAATGATCGCATGTATTAGAAGACTTGTGTATTTGAAGCCAATGTGGGAGTGCGGCCTATTGCATTTTATAAGTAGGTACCTGGAATAACGTTTGAACCAACAAGGTTGCGACCTATTAATCCAGAGAAGGAATGAAACTCATGAAATTGGTGAAATTGATTAAGACCTTACTAAAATAGTTTCCCTCAAAAAAGGTATCTTTCGCGTTTATTTTGGCGTGATTGAACAATGAATGGCCGATGTTTTTTTTTCAAGGCTTCCAAATAGGTAAATAGGAATTGGTAGTCTCCTATGGCTAGAAGGTCATCCATGAGTAGGCGATCGCCCACTTACAGTACAGCCTCCAGTTTCTGGTATTCACTCTAGTCATGATTATTAGCTTACAAAGTTCAAAAGGACAAGGTCTGGAAATAGTGCCTAATTTGACTTTAATAGAGAGAGAGGGAACCGAATGTCTTCAAAGAGCAATCCAAACTTCGGTCAAATACACGAGACTGCAGGTAATGGTGATAGGTTGCTACTTCAAACAGCGTCATTTTCATGGAAAATGGGATTAATTGAATGGGATTGATAAACCTTTTCCACCCTTACCATAGGTCCGCGCGTTTTGCTATTACACTCGCACCCCCTGCTCTCTAGCAAGAAATTTACCGTGCTTGCAAGACAGTCCGCTCTATTCTAAGTCCCCGGGCTAACCGTTATCTCCACATGCCAAAAGGCGAAGAACGCAATCTGCTCTATTTGAGATAAATTAACGTTCGCAATAGTGAATAAATATTTCTAGATATAATGAAAACCTAATAGCTCAAAAATTGGAGCCTCATAATGCTCGATTTAAGATTTGAAGCCGCTCGGTCGTTGAAAGATAGCATCAAAGGTTGTAATTTCTCAACAATGGCTTTACTTGCTTTGAATATTCAATTTCAACGACCCTTTCAGTGACTCTGTTGAACGACTCTTGTTTTCGGATTTTATTTTTCAACGGCTCTCTGTATTTTGAGTCTGTTTCAGCGAGGAATCGTTGTTGATTTCAACTTGTTAAATTATCTTGAGGAGAGGGCGGTGAAAAGAGAGGGTGGTGAAAAGGGAAGGTGGTGAAAAGAGAGGGTGGTGAAAAGAGAGGGTGGTGAAAAGGTGATGAAATTGGCGAAAATTCTTAAGTGCGGGGTAATGCCCTGGTGATAGCTCTTTCCCGCAAAGCTTTTACTGCCTAACAAAATATTGAGGTGTCGCAGAATCAGTCCCAGGTATTCACTCGAAGAGTTGCTGCATTCTTTGCCTCCACATGTCGAAAACCATCAAGATCACCATTCCTCACCATTCTCTTTTTCTACTGCGAGCCGATGACTACGGTGACTCTTTCGACGGCTTCTGATTCTTGGTCCATTTCAACGATACTGTACCTGTCCATCAAGTTTAACGATTATCAGTAGTTAAATTTCTACCTTTCAATTATTTACTTTTTCGCTAAATTCTAAGAACATTTGAATTTGAGTCTGGAAGATACGCCAACGATCATTAAATTCCGGGGATGAGTGATTTCAGCATTCAAGCTACTGTTCCAGCCATAATACCATCGTAGGTATGAGGGAAATTGAAACTGGTCAAAAGATTGATCAACTCCACAGCATCATTCTGAGCCTCCTCCGAGCCATAGAAGAACGCCCTAGCTTGACCTTTGTAGTCATAAAAATCGAGGGTGCTACAGAAGTAGTAGTAGTAGTAGTAGTAGTAGTAGTAGTAGTAGTAGTAGATTTCATTTACACTGACCCCTCGCGAAGCGATATGCAGTATACGACAACTATAAATCTGAGTATGAACATGTAGAGTGATCCACTATCTGACAGTAACTTAGAGCCTCGTCACGGCCTATCGTGGCCCATTGCCGCTCCCGTTGTTAGGCTGCCCTCATGGCGCGGCTAGAGTTGAACTGCGAATGCGACGGATAGCAAGTATCCGACTTTGGCTGCATCTCTGTTAGAAACCGCGAGAACGCGGGTAAAGCAGAAGCTAAGAATCTGGACAGTGACTGTGTGGCAGATGCGTTCTTGTTCCGCGTTCGTTTCACTGAGCGCTGGCTTCGCTTCTTCTCGAGCTGGAAAGGCGACGGTTTATTGTGAAAACGGCGCTGAAGATCTTCGATTGTGAGTGTGGGTATGGTGGGAGGGACAGGTTTGTCTGGTTTAGGTGTCGATTGCGGTGAAGAGGTGGGGCGTTGAAGAATAGAGGCGTAGGTTGTTTGTTGGTTATGGGGCGACGAAATAATGATCCGTGTCGGCTGGAGAGGTTGGGGAGAACAGGTTAGTCGTGGTTGTTGCGGTTCTGGGTCTATTGTGGCGGGTAGCGGATTGGAACGGCAGTCGAGGTTGGTATTCAACTGTTCCTTTGCTGTAGTAGATGTAATTGGCGTTGCTTGGGTTCGAGAGTTTGTACCGAGGTCATTGGTGGTTTGTGTACTGGAATCGGCGGTAGGATTTGACCGTTCAGGGGAGGAAATTGCGGTGGTTGAGGAGGGGGCTTTCTTGGTGGTTCCAAGGTGGTATTTTAAATCACAAGAGATTATCTGCCATATGCAGTCTTTCTCGTGTAGTTGTTGTACTTCCTTAAAAGGGGTGCCTTGAAAGGTGGATAGGTGCTTAGTCGATTGGCAGGCAAAACAGCATGCCAAGTCGTTGACACCTGAAGCTCGGTAATAGAAGCCATTCTGGGCCAGTAGAAGCGGAGTAACGCCAGTGAGCACCATTCCTCGGAACGAACGGGCTCTGGCTGTGATGGTGGAGTAGGAGTAGGTGATGGAGACGAGGAAGTCGTCCTCGGCGTCAGAGCTGTCTTCGGCGAGAGAGTCGTCCTCGACGATGAGCGGTTCGGGTGGACTTGCGGGGTTTGCGGTTTTGGGAACGGGAGACGGGTGAGGAGGGGTGGAGATGGGTGTCTTGCTCGCCCCACGGTCTGGAGGCTGAGGGCTCATCCCCATATGCTGGCTCCTTGTGATCATTCCCATCTCGACGCAAAGGTCCTTATGCTACCGGGTGCTACAGAAAGATTCGAAATTGGCTTCCACATTTTACACAGAGAAACTCTCTCAGACCCTAGGTCTAGGCTAATAGTAGAATGGACTATACTTTATTGAGCGATAGCGTGGGGCCTGGTTGCGGATCCGCCACTATTCATTGGATAATATGGCCCCACGCAGGGTTCTGGAACAAAGTTTTTTGTGTAGATCATAGAAGCCAATTTCGAATGTATCTGTAACACTGTCTATGTTGCGAAGGGGTATATCCCAAGAGCTCTTGTACCCATCGGTAATGCCCCAAGGGCATCTGGTCTGACTGTCTGTGGTCTCCACAAGCTCTCCCGTGAGGATAGTGAGGCGGTACAAAAGGAGGGAAGAAGATATGTGATGAAGAAATCCACGAAGCCGGAATTCGGGATTCACTTTTTCTATCGGAAAATGAATGGGGGGGGGGGGGAGCGATAAGGCTTCAGTTCATCTCGCATGTTGGCAGAATCCCATCGTAGGTCGTCATCGTACCAGTGAACTAGACTCCCCGTGTTTCCATCTTCATGTGTCGATGCCGAAACGGGTGACGGAGCCTCACTTAAACTCCATCTCTGTTTGACATTATCTTGTAGAGAGAGACTGAGGCCATCCCAAGAGAGATAGTTATTGTTGTCATAATGCTGAAACACGAACTTGTCAAGCCGAGGACATGATTTTTCGAAAGCTGCCCAACTAGTTGAAGCAGCTCTCAATATGTCAAAGTATCGCATCTTATGCGAAGCTTGGAGAGATTCGAAAGCTTTGTAAGTGAGGGTATCGGATTCGACAATAAGTGGATTACTGTCGAAACCATTTTCGCTTTGTCTGGCGTTCGACTCGTTGATTCTGAAAGTTTCACACTATTTGGAATAGCCGGTAGATCAAAATTGTGTACGGCTTTCCAGAATTCAGGTGAGTCCATCTGGATCGTCTTCGCGTCGTCATTTTCACAGACAGGATCAGGTTCGTCTAGATTTTCCTCGTTGTAATAAGGCATGGCAGCTATAATGGAAGTTAATAAACATTGGCCATGTACAAGTAGCAAGCGGGGTGAATACCTTCAAGTTGTCTTCGAAATATGTAGCAGCCGAGTCGTTAAACCGTGTAGTATCCAAGGAGTAAACGTTACGGAAATATCGGTTGTTCCTTGATTTTTATAGCTTTCCTTCATGATCTTGAAAGCTAATAACAAAGCCCCGAATAATTGCTTCTAGGAAATTACCGGTTTGACTTTGAATATCTAGGAGAGCCCATGTAGTCTCCAAAATCCTATGTGCGGCCTCTTGGAGTACCTCGCGGTATCATAATGCTGGGGCGAAGGACATACCCCCCAGGAGCAAAAAAAAACATCGGGATGATTCATCCAGATTTTATGTCTCCTGGGTGCCCACGCACGCTTTGTCCCCTTCCGAGATTTGCTGAGAGGACGCAAAGACGGACAGTATAGCTTTGACAGAGATCCACCTGGATCCACAGCGCAAAGTGCGGTCTTTGCGACAAAAAGTGCTCTCCCAGAAGCAATAGTCGAAGCTCCTAGGGCTGGTAACCACCGTTCCTAGGGCCTTTCGCATTAGTTCCTGGCGACAAATAGGCCCTGGGAGCGCTGTAAACTGCTCATAGGACCGCAGCGAGGGCTCCTAGGAATGCTGACCCAAGCACCTAGGAGCCACAAGGTTTCTCCTAGGGGCCCTTTTATACCCAGGAGGCATAAATTCTAGTCCTAGGAAGTATTATACCCCTAATGCAGGACCATTAATTTCTGAATGGAGTTGTAACGAGAACTGCAAAGCCTCTTCAGAAGCACTGGTGTTGCCTGGATCTGGATGGGAAGCTCCACTCATAGGCGTTACCGGGAATATATAAGATGCATTAAGAGACTTCGAAGGACCTTCTGTGACACTGAGTCACAATATCTCTACCCTGATATGAAATTTGAATCAAGGCACCACCTGAATAGCTTCAACATAGTCTACTCATAATGACAAACTCTCCTACCCGGAACAGGACCCGGATCCGTTTTACCATTAAGGCTTTCTCCATATTGGGCCTGGTGTTAGCTAGTCAAAACTCGGCTATTACGACATTCGTATATAAAAGTAGTATAATATTTTATTAGATATAGTAAATTCAGAGATTTATATGTAATATTTTAAAAGACCCGATCAAAAAATTATCAATATTTGATAGACATGGGGGGGGGAGGATATAGTTAAGCATTTCCACTGGTCACATGTATCATCTGCTTGTATTTTCCTTGAATGAGCATCTATTCAAAGCCTATAGCCGCTGTAAATTCAGTCATACTAAAGTTGATGTAATGCCCTCAATCATAGAAAAAAAAATTAAGGAAGTGTTTATGAAGATATATCGAAGTGTTATTTTCTTCCGTTAAGTACAGAAAACAAACAGCCTAGTACGGCAAAGAGCAAGGTGAGATAACGAACGCAGAACCCGGAATCCGACTATCTCCCTTCGAATTTGAAAATAAAAGGCTGGACTTTAATGGCACTTGAGGACATTCGTATTATCCAGTATGGTCGCAGACAGGTTCGCCACCATAAATTCCACTGCAAGTATAACCCGAGCAGCAGTCGGAGTCTGCTGTGCAAGAGTCAAATTCATAACCACATGCCTAAATAAATGTAAACGATTAGTTATTTATTATCAAGGTATCATGATCAGTGCCAGAGAGCACACGTACTGCGGCTATTCCGGCAATGGCGAGCATGGCAATTATGGAGAACTTCATTGTGACGGGAGAGTGAACTCAAACTTTTGAGACTCAAATGCTTGGGATGAAGAAAAGCTTTGATGGATTGAGTTCGAATATTTAGCCCGATGTGATGCTTTCCAGTATTTATAGGCTTTGTCCGGACTCCTCTCATCTCCCTGTAGGCCTGACGGATCGCTGATTGCCATCGTCTGTTGTCCGTGCTACTTCCTTCTACGCTTGTATGCTTGTATGGAAAACATTATTACTTCATGATCGACGATCCTAAAGCCTAAGTATAGTATGGTTAAGGCGCCTAGGGCGTCCAAGGCGTTCAAAGCGTTCAAAGCGTCCAAGGCGTCCAAGGCGTCCAAGGCGTTCAGGGCGTCCAAGGCGTTCAAGGCGTCGACGGCATCCAAAAGCTTCTATGTTTTATGGATAAGAACCTAACACTTGCAAGTTCTTTTTTCAAAGCAGCAAATCATAGCCATCTATCAATGAGGGAGTACTCCTGGATGTCCTCTTGATAGCCACTTATGGTGGCATATTCTACATATACCCTATAGCCTCAAGGTATTTGTTCTGTCAACGAGTTTGTAGAATTTCCAGGGGAATTGAGCTTGGGATAACCTCCTGATACAAGGTATTTGGCAAGAAGAGATTGAGTTTCTATTCCCGCCTATTACACGGCGGCGCTACGTTAAACACGTGATGGCACATGTCAAGTTTCAACCCACTCTCCGGCAGCAGCTGGACTTCTTTGGCTGGGGAAGAGCTGCCACAGATGACTCATATCTATTTCGTAATTGGTATCATTCAATATCAAAGAAGTTGATTGATAACAGCGATATTCGATAGCGTAGTATAAAATGTCCTCTGTGTTCAAACGGTAGCCAGCGTCCAAGATGATGCGAAGTCCTGGGGTCCACCCGATGGATAGCCTCGCAAGATAAGTACCGTCTCCGGGGACTTCTCTTGTTGTTGCCATCGAAATCATTTTATGAAGATGTATTTCTGATCTCAATATGATAGATCTCTCCAACTCAGACGAGTGAAATTCGAAATTTTGGGCATGATCAGCTATTGTTTCTGTCGGACTGGCGCGAACGCGTATGCACTAGTACGATTCGATCCAATCATGAGGGTTGTGAATTGATGTCTGGTTCAAGAACTATCTCTGCTTTTCAGGGGGAATACATGGAAAATGCGGGCGGGCGCTGTAGACACTAGTCCTAGAGAGGAATAGTGGTAAACCACTCCTCTCCAGCTTGACAGATGGGTTTTTCCAACGTAACAGTGTTCTACTCTCGCCTTTAAGCATGGTTAGCGAAATCGTGACTTTGTGCAAGTATAAAAATTACTGATCCGCAGCAGAATTGAGACTATTTAGCTAGTTAGCTAGCTCCCTTTAACCAATTTCCTGCACCCTATGTAGCGTTGTGTCTGCTAAGTTTCCTAATTTCAATAGAACTATCTCTGAACAAGCCTCTTGGGTAGCGCCGGCCAATAATTTGAGTATTTTGGCGTTATCTGGCGCCATGTTGATATATTTACATAGAGTTATTCGAAGCGTTTACATGGAAGAAGGCGGCAGGGCGCCGGTAAGGGCGGTGGGAGAGCCTACCGCCCAATCACATAATCAGGACGTGGTTCATTCTTTTCTACGGCAGAAGAGATGGTGATTTTAGGTGCCTAAGGCACCCCTGCATTTACACGCCCCAGATCTCGGAAGATATGGGCAAGCTAACTAACATACGTACAAAAATGCCAAATAAGGTAGACATGAGGTATAAAAGAAGAACACAGCGTAATGTATGAAATGCTACACCACTTGGTGGCGAGAAGTATCCAGAGATATCGAACGGTATAACGACCCTTGCTGCAGCGAAGGGGCCCACCACCCAAAAATGCCGGAAAAAGAAGAAATGTACTGTAACAAGATATACAACGCGCTTAGTGCCCTTTATTCAAGCAGAAGGAGCTATAGAGGTTGGTAAAAAGAGTCGAGATAGGTAGAGATACTCTAGCGGATGCCGTGGCTTAGAAATATACTTCAATAGCAGAGATACAATATCAGCATTGTTACTGTGTGCCAGTATCGTTGCTGAAATCATGCTGAAAGTCTACTGACAACTACTTTGTAAAAGAATAGAGGCACAAGAGAGGCTTACAGAGACGCAAGATGTCCGGAGACACAAGAGTGGCATCAGGAGATACAAGGGAGGTATATAGATAAGGCGTCAGCACTACTTCTATCCTCAGGAAGACGTGGGATTTTAACAGTGAGACTACTAAGGCCAGTAAGATATCTAGAGATCTCTACTGCCGAGGCGTCGATAGGCATGTAATAAACGCACAAAAATATGAGCGTAAGCGTAGGTGCGCTCCTCACCGTCAACAGTAGGATGCCCGAGAGGAAAGACATAAGGATTTCAAGCCTTAATCGTCTATGCTAAAAAGCTCATAACCTGTGGAAGGGGAGGCTACATGGCGAAAGGAGATGGGACGTAACCAACGTGTGTGATGATTAGCGTGATAAGAGATGAACCTAATTAGGCTACAGCAGAAGAGATGGTGATGTTAGGTGCCTAAGATACTCCTGTATCTACAGGTCTTCCTGTATACTCCATAACATGAATGACATTAAATAGAGATGCTAAGGCTTTCGGTTCAGTAAACTTGTCGTCCGTTTGGCCCCATGGTGGGGAGTTCAAGAGTCAGGAGAGAGATGCGAATTCTTTACTTCCCGTCAACACTTTCAACCATTAGCATGAGGCTGAGGCTGTCATATAGGGGCGCAGCCTTGTCGGTCGATCGGTCGTGGTAATAGCGTGCCTTGCTACGGAGAACTGGTTGCCCCAGTTCGGTCACCTTATGGTACTGGCTATTAAATGCATTGGACTATTACGAGGTTGTATTTTCAAGTTTTGATGTGCATCCACGAAGGTATCTTCGACTGGCGCAGCTGTTAAAAAAAGAACCGTGTATTTCGTTATGTAGCCTAAAATCTATTTTGGGAGACACAGCCGGTGCCTGTGCCTCGTAATTAGTCAATTTACATTCAAAGTTTATTTTGGCCCCATATGAGATAGATTCCACTCTAGGAATCGACTAGCTTCACTTCTGCCTGCGTAGAGTCGGGTCAGGGATAAAACGATGCAGGCTTTGCACATAAATAAATCGTATTCCCATGGGCATTCAATATTTTCGATATCATAATTTATTAAATCAACGAGCCGACTTCTTGAACCTTATACTCTATTGCTTTTCTCCCCCAAAAATATCTGTTTCGCTTGCCTTTCTTATATAACCCGTCGCTACTTTGCCAACATGACTTCAAAGAAGGAATTTAAGGAGCAACTTAAGGAAGGGTGCCATGCCTATGTTCCAAGCATGGAGACATCCTATGGATATATTCCATCAGAGGCAGCCGGAATTGCATTTGTTGTTTTGTTCGGTCTGTCGGGGCTCATCCACATTATTCAGTTTTCTTGGAAGCGAACATGGTGGTGCTCGGTATTCACCATTGGATGCTTAGGTATGTCAAATATGTGCTCCGAAATCGTCTCATATATACTAATCTAGGGCCAGTCGAGGTCCTTGGCTGGGTTGGTCGCCTATGGTCCTCCCAATGTCCTTATAACTCCACGGCCTATATGATTCAAATCTCCACACTGATTATTGGCGAGTCTCCAATTTTCACACTTATATTCTATTCTAATGTATTCTTCCTACAGCGCCAACATTTTACACTGCCGGGATCTACATTCTCCTCGGTCGATTTATTCAGCTGCTCGGTCGCGAATCATCGATACTTAGTCCGAAGCAATACCTTTGGATTTTCTGCACCTGCGATTTTATCTCCCTCGTTGTTCAAGCCGCAGGTGGCGGCATGGCTTCTTCTGAGTCAGACAATGGAAATACTGCTCCAGGGACAAACACTATGGTTGCTGGTATTATCTTCCAACTGGTCTCGATTAGTGTCTTCGTATTCTTCGCCGTGGACTTCTTACGACGAGCATTTCGCATGGGTATGCTCAAGTCGATTATCAAGGGCCCACTGACGCCTCTTCTGGGTGCCACGTGTCTTTCCGTTTTAGTGATCTATATCCGAAGTATCTACCGTACGATCGAGCTTGTACAGGGATGGTCCGGATACCTGATTACTCATGAGATATACTTTGTGATCCTCGACGGTGTCATGATGGTTATTGCTGTCACAGTGTTCAACGTTTGTCATCCAGGATGGCTGGTACCTTCGGACTCTATCTTCGTGCGTCCCAAATATCAGGATCATGTCGAGATGAGTGACGCTGAAACACAAGGGTTGAGGGGAGACACATCATATACGCCTTACAATGAGAGCTACTACGCAGCGTAGGGGCGCTCTGTTCACTTGAATGTTGTTCACTGTTCCTTCCTAGACTTTCAATTTATATTGGAAACCAAATCTGTCTCCCGTCACAGGCTTATATTCGTTGAAAATGTTTGATTGTATTTCAGCTAAATTCATGATAATGTTACATGTCATTGATAAAAACTGTTAAACAGATTTTTGGTAAATATTAATGAGTCATTATTTGACCATTGAAGAAAATAGACCTGTCGCATATCTGAATCAACCAATTGGCGTTGGATCTTGTGCCGTTTCGGGTTGGCAATGTGTGTTAAAACAAGGCTTCATCAGGATAGTTATGAGAATTATTAAAGACGAGCCATGTGGGCCTGTGTTTTCGTTGAAAATAAATAAAATAGTCTAACGCAATCATTATGCGGGGAGTTGCCATTGGAAATCAAGATCTAAGTCAACGCCATCCAAGCAGGCGCCGGTGTCCCATTTACTTGGTCCAAATGGTGCCATGGACGCATCTCATGGGAGAAATAGCCATTCGTTCATGTTTAGCCCATTCATATCACTCGGCTCAAACCCAAAATGTCCCTGATTATCTCCCGCTAGGGGCTTTTCTGTGGGAAGATGTTCATCAAGAACCTGCCGTTCGCAGTTTCCGTAGTTTGCGTCGACAGGATATGATTCAGTGGTGCTACTGATGGGGTGCGAAGAAACAAGGCTGTCACGAAGACCCTTCCTTCACTTGGGCCTTTAAAAGTGTCGCGTACTAGAACTTCAAATGAACATGATTGGCTCTTCTCCTGGAGAGCTACTATGGCTCGATCAAGAATCTGCAGAGCTTCGCGTAGCTTTCCACTTCGTACCCGGAGAGCTAGCACCTTGGTCATTAAGATAGAGAAGCTAATGGTGCGAAAGAGTATTTTCATTGGCGAAAACTATAATAGTTTCTTGTTTCCCAGAGTTACTACGCTTTCAAGAGTTTGACGACAACGATCAAAGACTTCTTCGATAAAGCCATATTCTTGGGTTGTCATGTTGAGCTGTCGAGCCTGTTCAACAAAGAAGCGATCTATAGTAGACTCGGTGATAGACCACTTTGCGACAGAATCCATTGAACAACGAGCTGCATCTCAACCGAATTCGCGAGAACCTGAAGGTGCTGGTATTCTATGAATAGCATATCGCTGAAAGGCATCCCAGAGACTAGGGTGAGTTAGCATAGTGTTTAACCAAAGCAGTAGTTATTTAAGCAGGGTAGTGTATTGGTTAACCCACGAGGACTTGCTGCGATACTGACAGCTGAGATGACATATACTGAAGGTAACCATGTATGAGCTGTAAGGAGCCACGGCATGTAATAGGACATGTACTGTACTGGTGGATTAGTGATAGTTGCCCTTTCGACTTAGCTGCCGGGCGTTAATAAATTGCTTGTGTGTAGGTCAGAAAGACCATACTCAACCCCTTTCAACGGCCACGCCTAATCCATGCCACTTGAATACAATTATATACAGGACATCAACGTTCCCACAATGAGCCGCTTGAATATGCCATGCCAGTTGCTCCAATAAATCCTCCAAAAGGGTGCAAAAGTTGGTCTCGGCAATCCATGCATCTGATAAAGATCGAGAACGCGCCAAATGGCCTATTATCCTGTTATATGTCAATATACGTAAGGACCCGCCAATTTACCATACGGGTTGCGCTACATGACCCCGCACCCTATTCTAATTTCCGAACAATTTTTGAAAAATCTAAAATAATTCCACCAAGCACTTGCAATTGCACTGAGTAATATTGTGCACCGGTGGTTTACGGACAATGAGGCTGCCTTCCCGACGCGGATGCCGCTCGAACGGCATGAGGAAGATTTACTACAGGTATGCCGTCATCCATATCACCCAGAATATGCAAATTCCTTTCAGTAGTTGACTCAAGCAACAGTGGCTATAGAAACATGCTGAAGCGGATCCATAACATGCGTATAAAGGGAACCAGTCAACTTGGAGACCAGATATACTCGTGCCTGCCGATGAGAAGGACGGATTTAGAATGTGCGGAGTCAATGCTAGGCTTGTTAGCTTTACCACTTATATCCCATAGAGCTTTAGCCGCTGAACAGGCCCAGCCAATCTGAGGATTTCCGTGAGGCATGAGGTCGGTCAAGCATAATGGAGGCCTTTTTCGATTGGATAGATGAACGAACTGGAATGCGCCCGACCTCTGTTAGACCGGAACATCTGCGTTTGGTACCGGACGATACTGGATTGCACTCGTTCTACCAATAAATCTTCGTCGCTGTCTTAATGGAGACGAAGTGCTTGAGAGAATTTACCAAGCTGGTCTCCAAGTTGCAGTAGATGAATGTTCAGCTTTGGGCCCCAAAATAAGTCGTTCTATGGCACTTTACGTAGTGAATGGTGCCCGTAGTAGACTGATCGCTCATGATCAGCGTGTCCTTGGCATTATTCATCAGGAACTCGATGATCTAGTTACAAAACATCATGTTCTGTCAAATTATCAGGCTACGCTTCTCCGAACTCGTATCATCCCTACCATTATCCCTGGTTCAGAAGAATCAAAACAGCTTCTCCATTCCTACCTTCGAGGGGCCATTTCGAAAGATACTTTTATCATCAAGCTGGTGCGTGGTGGCTGTGGGCAAGGGATCAAATTTGGCCATGAAATGGAGACTTCGGAGTGGGAACATATTCTGGTAGATTACACAAGCCGAGTCTTGGTCTGGGTAGAGCGACATGTGTCGTCCAGCGAATTTTCAAGCAAGCAGAACATGACTTATTCTTGGACGAGAAAATTGGGCCGCAGAGGTGTCAGCGAGTAGGAACTACTACTCTATGGACGGCTTATTTCTCAGACTGGGCGCTTGGAGGGCCAACGTGGCAGAGGAAAAGTTTGTAACATGTCGCTTGGACGCGCTTGGAAAATGGGAAGTGTTGTTCACGTGGGAGACACGATATGCGAACTACCAAACTAAACAATCTTCAAGAATGAATGAATATATGGCATAGTGTTTCCGGTATCTGTTAATTTAAGTAGTATGTCTGCAATATTTATCCTATATATTACCCTCGACTTGGTACAGGCTGTGGGGCCCAAAGAATGCGTGAGATCGTTAGGTATTTGCTCCTCGGTGATCACATATTGCAGAGCGTTTTCTCCTGTATTCAGCACTGCTCGCTGGCAATGTAGTTTTACATTAAAGTGTTTAGTCCGCTAATGAAACTCAGGATTGCGAAAGTGTGCAGCGGCCGACTGATTATTTGCCACGATATTGGTTGTCGGAGGACGATACAAGTTTGTTTCTGCCAGAAACGTGCGAAGACACTGCATATGTAGAATAGCACTGTATTGGCCAATATATTTAGCATGAAACGTAGAAGTAGCCACTTTACCCTGTCGTTTGGATGATCAGGAGACCGGGGTGCCGGCGAGTTGAAATACGCAGCCAGACGTGGAGTAGGCCCCGTCCGTGACGACGGAGCCACGAGAGTCCGCATCAGTGTACCCAATCACCTGCCCGCTACGATAGCTGATGCGGTGAGATTGCATGACTTTGATGTAGCGAAGCAATTGATGAAGAGCGGCTTGGTGATGTGATTGCGGTCGAGACGTGAAGCGACTCAACGTGCCCAGCGCAAACGTGATATCAGGTCGAGTGCCAACCATTAGATACACCAAGGAGCCGATGGCAGTTTCGACGAATATTCGGATCAATGCGAGCAAAGAAGGCGAAGATGATCCCTTATGGGTCGCGATCCAGAGGCGTTCCACCTCAGTGATCGAGCGTTTGCTAAGTGAAAGGGAGCGACTGGACATTAATTGTCAGAATAACGATAGCCGTGACACCTATCTCCTCGCCGCAGCTCGCAAGGGTGACTTGAGTTTGGTCGACAAAATACTCGAGTTTGACAGTGTTGACCTCCACGCAACAAAGACACAGGGTGAAACCGCACTAGTGGTCTCCACTCATGAGAGCTACCACAATGTCGCGCAAAGATTAATCAGCTAGGGCGCAAAATGGTAAATGAAATCTGTGCCGCTTGTGATCCACGACGGGCTGGGCTGGCAATGGCTCGTAATATTTGATGGGAGAGGCTATCATGAATTTGGTGGTTTGGGCGTAATTGACTTAACAACTAGTATATTGTGTTGGAGTCAAATTCAGATACGGTATTTCTTTCGGCACAAGAACTGTTTGTAGATACATACGTCTGTAACACATCGACTTTCTCTTTTTTCTTCCAAATTTACCATGCAAACGGCCGCATGCGTATCAATTTCATTCTTTAGGTATAATTATAGACTTGAGAGGTTTTGTTCTCATTTAATTTCCTAATTTGACTGTTCCAGAACACTTGGCGATACGGTGAATTCCAGAGTTTATTTGCTTCAAGGCCTACACTGCAGTCGCCAGGCTTTCCAGAAGTTGTGCCTAGGACCTTTCAGGTCAAAGCGCTCTTGTATAAGGCCTTGGTAGCATTTGACAAACCTCCTATGCTTGATGAGCACGGGCCTTTGATAACGAAGGGTGATCTTTCCAATGTGCACCGTGTTAGTGAAGATATGCAATCCCACTCATGTGGCCAGGTCACTAGATAGTGACTACGTTTACCAAACGAACACAGCCCCAGAACCTGCGTGTTAGCAACGGGGTCAACGTCAGACTGGGCTGGAAACGGCGGAACGGCGATTTATCCCCTCAAGCCGGCTTCTCCTTCTATCTCGAAGTCGTGTATGCCAAAAATGCTCCGACGCGTGTAGCAATGTTTTTTTTTAGCAATCGCTGTTCATCTTATTACCTTGATTCACAATTTCAGCACGGTTCTTCACCACGTCAAACCCAACAAAATTCGACCCGTACACGATGTGTTTAACAACCGTTTTGACCTGAAGGCGGTAAGGTGAAGTGGGTCGCAATCAGATCCACCTAGATCGTTGAAACAAGGCCGGATGTTTAGCCTGATATGGCTGGCCGTTGTTCTTTGAGCTACCGACCGTTGAGCCTCAGTTAGAATACTGCGGCGAGCAACCGACTATTCGGGCACGAATCACCACTGTACTTGTCTGAGTGGAATGAAGGAGCCTGTCATTCGTTTTCTACCCCACGTGTTCCACATCGTATTACTTCACTGAGCTATTGAACTGCTACGAAAGATGTCTGCTGTAATTTCCGGTGTCGACTGAGCACATTAACCCCTCTTTGATTAAACAGCCCACTCAGCCTGGGGATGCTGCAATATGTGATTGCTCTCGACAAAGCACACTGACCTTCAAGAGTGTATACCGGTGCTGCGCAAGAATTAAATTGAGTCAGGTGAATTGAAGTGTCATTTATCAAGCTTGCGTGTGGAGAAGATGCTGGGGAAATTTCAATTCGCGAAAGCTAAGACCGTAGCACGGATTTTGATCAAGACTCAATTAAAGATTCGGAACGAATCTCTTCGTAGTGTTCGCAAATAGCCTAAGGCTACGCGTAAGGCACTATAGAATGCACATATGTATTATAACTAAGCAAGCCACGTCGCTCGCAAACGACCTACGCACGGAATTATGCAATACAAAACCCAGCCAACAAAATCGAGTTAGAATGAAAATCCATTATTTTAGCTACGCATTTCGGCCAATCAAAAAATTGATTGATGCATTAGTTCTTCGAAATAGTGAGAGAACTTTCAAGTTTGAATTAATACCATGTCGACCGTTCAGGTATGAAGACCAATACGTACTCGCTCCAGAGTTGGGTATGCATATTTGCTTCGACCCTTCTTCTCAAAAAAAAGAGTACCTTTGGGGAGAAGTATCTTTAAACGATTTACTTCAGAACACAATCAGCACTTTTACACCCACACAACATGTTGTAGTGACAAGCTTTGTTGCGAAGCTACAAGTACGCGGAGGGGCTCGCATTCAGGCTGTTACGTACGCAGTTGAGTTTCCAGAGAATACTGAGAAGCAATTTATGAGGCAACTTGGAAGACCGCTTCGCGGCCGTCCAAAGGTGCTCGTCGATGTTGAACAAACAATGGACTTTGAGTTTGGTAACATCACCCCTGATGGTTCGTTCACTCCATAGAACTCAAGATCTGGCACATGACTGACATCCGTAGAGGCAGGAATTTTGGAAGAGCTAGAAATGCACCCTCAGCTCAATATGCCCTTGACGATTGACTTCGCGAATTTGTGGCAAGAGCGAAACGTGCAAATTCGCATTGCAGTTGAACCAAATGATTTTTTATACGACAATAGTTTCGTCACTATTAGCGAAGTTCAATTGGAAATCCACTATACAGTTTGATTGTCGTCTTCATATTTGTACAAAGTTTCCACCGATTCTCTTATGGATTCAACTGGTGGCTTAATGGAAAAACTAGCTCTTGGGGCCTTTTGAACGGCGTTTCAGGAACTCATAGATGGTACCGAACCTTCTCGTGGGGATAGCTTTTCTTAAGGCATGACGCAGGGAGGTTGTATCATTGATTAATAGACTTGAGCCTTTGACCCATGTGCTTCATAATTATACCTCTCCCGGTCGTCGTATTCGCGTAATTAATTTGACGGATAAGTTACCCATCTTACAAGAATCGGACGTAATGAATGCCATGATTGACAGGTTGAGATTAATCATTGAAATTGATCAGCCAATAGAGACCAACAAGAATCCTACTGTAAATCGGGGCTTTCTAAAAACCAAGAAAGTCATTAAAATAGCAGGGAAAGCCAGACTACGATATGATATCCTGTTGGCAGAACTCGGCTATACTCCGCGGTCGGGATCTGAAAAGGATCTAACACAAGTTACGCAGCAGTATTTCTGAGCCACGTTGAAATCTAATGGGCATGTGAGAAAACAACTGCCTGGCATAAAGTGTCGCTGAAACCGCCACGAAGGACGGGTTGAATAGGCAGTAATATAAAGATCTCACTTAGCTTCAAAAGCTTCGATTGTTTGTCAACTTGGCCTGTTAACAGAATAGGGGAGGGGAAGGGGCGAGGGGTAACGAGGAACGAGCGACCGCCGATATGCGCTGCAATCAGCCCTTAGTAAGGCATTGGGGGCGAAGAGGTGTACCACATAAACGCCCGCCCGCATCAGCGAACGAAGCAACTTGACCAGCTATTGAGCAGATATCGAACTACTTGAAGTACTTGGTCGTATTAGTGGCTTCAGCAACCATCGCGTACTTCAGGTGCTCCCCCCCTCTCCTAGTGCTTCCTAAAACCCAACTACTGGCTCCTAGCAAATGTTGAGTCGTGAGGCTGGCACCTACCTGGAATTGAGTCTAGCTGAAAATTTTCTTACAACTGCAGGACATGTCATCAAGTCAATTTTAGTGTCGTCCTTCAAGCGTGGAGGACCTAAGCGTGGTGAGCCGACATAAAGCTGAGAATGAAGCTCTGCATGACCCCCGGTCTTAGCAACTCATCACCGTTAGTGAAGCACCCAAGCAATTTGGAATACAACAACACAGAAGTCATACACCATGATCGCGCAGAGTATACGGCTGCATCAGATCCCTATCCCATTGAGGATATTGTGAATGTTGGAATTCTAGGACCATTTCATTTTCTATGTAACTGCAGGAGCTGTTAGATCCGCATCCCTGGTGGTTGGGCATTTTCGCGTGTGGCGCTTCGCATTACTCAAAACGGAGAACATTCTGCCACATCCAATGTTAGGACAGGAAAATGGCTTCTCACCAGTGTGAGAACGCCCATGATCATCGAGGTGGGCAGGACGGGAAAAGCGTTTCTCGCATATCATGCATCTATACATAGAATGCTTCCCCAGTTGTTGAAGATCCCCCGTGGGGTTATAAGGTGGATAGCCATGTCGGTTGTATTCTTTAATTAAAGGCAGATATCCATAAGGACGGTCTTGAAACCAGGCTCTGTCATGATGACCGACAGGGGCGACTGAAACGGGGTATTCAGGTGCAGCGAATGAATTTTGATGCCTTGTAACGAAAGCAAATCTTGGATCGGAATGACAGTGCCAGGGGGTGCGGGCGGGATCATTAAGGGATGCTCCTGAAGTCGCGCAGGAAGCCGGCGACAAAGACGAAAAATGAGCTTGAGACACGGAAGTGCCCACAGCAAGCTTAATACCCATTTCTTCTGGCGGGGAGTGTATTGAGTCTGTACTGCCGAACGCTATCTGTGGTGTGCTTTTCTGGCCGACGCTGAGGGCTGCTTATATATATATGAAACAGCTGGAGAGGGCGATGAACGGATGCGTGGGAAGCGTCATGGCGATATGATGCTGATTGAACGAATTGATTGCCTAGGAGAACCTTGTGAGTTTATGAGAAGAATATTCGCTTTCGAGCCGACACACCTTTTTGCTCGGTGTTACTCTCGAAACCTTGCACCAGAGTCGAAAATGATGGGAGCATACTTCCTTTGGCTGGAGGAAACTTAATAATTACTGGAATATTTTTGAGTCGATCTGATATGATGTGTGGGCAGCATTGCATATCATGAGGAGCTTAGCCTCGTAGAAAATGGAAAATCAATCTTCTCGATTCAATCAATCATGGTTGTTGCAAGGAACGCATAGTCAAGTTGGCGTGGTCAGACTTTCGGCAGGTGAATTACATCATGAATCGGAGGGTACCATGGTCTCGTTGTCATCAGGTAGTTGTCCTACAACTAGTTACTTAGACTGAACAAGTCTTTTCCCTATGAAATTACTTACTTGGCTTGGTTAGCGCTGAGAGAGATAGAAAAAGCCCCGTTCACGTGATTGATCTTAGTGTTATAATAATATATGATTCATGGATCGACACTCATGACTCATCAAATCTTCACAGCGTCAACTGATATCGTAGGCAATTGCGAACTTTTTTATTATCAGCTGATTATCGAGGAGATTACAAGGCTCAGCAATCTAAATAGCGTATACCACACTTTTTTCTATGGCCCATCAAAAATAACCGCGCTTCAGAGCACGCTTACTTGTATATGCCTACATCAATCGGTAGAAATGCATACTAGGCGTGGATTTCTCGGCTCCATCCGATTAAAAACGCCGAAAAGCTTGTTCCGTCGATCTTCGTTGCGGCAGGGTTCTGAAATCGATAAGTCTTTGGAATCCGAGAAGAAAATTGTGAAAAAAACTATCAAATTGCTTTTGCTGGGTAATTGAAAACTCGAGTATAGCGCGAATTTCACTGATGAGACAAACAATTAGGCGCTGGCGAGTCGGGGAAGTCAACAATTCTCAAGCAAATGCGCCTTCTGTATATGAATGGGTTTACCGATGAAGAACGCCGCCAAGCGGGCTTGACTATTTTTGCAAATCTGCTTGATGCGTTTAGAATTCTGTTAGATATCATGGCTACGGAGCATATCAATTTCGGCAGCGAAAGTGCTAAGGTGATTGCAGGCTTTCGCCGTCCCACGGATCGCTCTATTTTCTGACAAGGTTTTTGTTGTAGGTATCTGCCGTCATAATCACACAGAAGGTTCCCGAGAGTCTTCTTGATGAAGTTCCACTAGACACAGCTACTGGAGCTGCCATAAGGAATCTTTGGCAAGATTCTGGGGGTGCAGGTAGCCGTCTCATGGAGCCGCAGCCTTCCTTTCCATGACAATCTGATAGAGTAAGTATGATTCCTAAGTAACCTTTATCGTTTCTGAAATAATTCTGTTTTATTCAGCTTTTACAACGCAATTGATCGCATATTTGCGCCCGGGTGGATACCAGAAGATCGAGATATCCTCCAGGCCCGGCTCAGGACCACAGGCATCTCCGAAATACGTTTCAACATTGGTCAGATGACTTGGAAGATGATCGATGTTGGAGGGCAACGATCAGAGCGGAGAAAGTGGATACACTGCTTTGAGAATGTTGACTGCCTGATATTCGTGGCTGCTCTCTCTGGTTACGACCAATGTTTGGCTGAAGACCACAACGCTGTATGTCCGAAGTTGGCCCTATGTGCTTGGTACAGATGAATAACAAGTTTCACATAGAACCAAATGCACGAAGCAATGGAGCTTTTCGACTCGTTGATCAATGGCGTATGGTTCAGGCAGAAGTCTGTCATTCTCTTCTTGAATAAGATTGACGTATTTAAGAAGAAACTATCTTACTCGCCGATATCTGCGTACTTTCCTGATTTCCACGGTACAAGTCTGACCACTGCCGCGAAATACTTTGCCAATCGTTTTCAAGATATCAGCAGAACGCGAGGCCGACAAATCTACATGCATTACACAAACGCCACTGATACGAATTTACTGAAATTAACCATGGATTCAATATTTGACGATATAGTGCGGAAAAACCTCAGTTCCTTGGGTATTCTTTGACGGTGATTGATAATGGCGACAGTAATTTTCCTCCTGGAAATATACTGGAAATTAACCATAGCCCCCATGGAAAGCCCTGAAAATCTTTGTTTCCATCTCGGTAGCATGAGGAAATGCGCTGAATTGCCCTGACCAGATGTGCTTCCGTGGGATTACGACTCGCTTCTAGCCACTAACTTTGAGCTATACCTGAATGTCGCTCTTCATATCGTGTCTGGCAACTCGCATGAATAAAGGCATTTGGGATATTTTGTAGTTCCACTGCAAACGATCATTAAAGGGCGGGGGAGGGTTGTTGGCCCATACTACTTCAGTCTTGTCCGGACGCGGAACTGAGGAAGAAAGTCCAAACCCTGCGCGACGTAGCCCCTGCGCTGAGTTTGAGTGCAGCTGTCGAAGATGGCATACTTTGCAAGTTTGCAGACTAGCTCGACTGTCAAGCTCTTGATGTAGGTCCCATAGTAGTTTAAAGGTATGGCTCCAGACCGTTACCCTCAGGGCTTGGCGCCTAAGGCTGCAGACATGAATGGATATGCGAGTTGAAAGTTGACCAATGGCCAGACTTCAGATACCGCGGGCTTTTGGTCAAATAACGAATGTCAGATCTGGAAATTTGACCAATTCCAATCGGTTCTAGACCAGAGCCGACGAATGGGTGGTCACATCGGGCCAAACACTCAATTTTGCAGAACACATGAACAAAGCCGCCACCAAGCAATACTATTTTAGGCATGTTAACCCCTTGGGTGCTTCGATATCTTCTCACCCTCACTAGAGGATTACGACTCACAATCCAATCCAACTATGGCTGATGGTGGCGCTGTCCTTTGGGGCTCCTTGGCTGCTGAAGCATACCTGCTGGTGAATGGTCGTGTCTACCCGAGGAGTTTCTCAAAGCTAATCACGAGTAGGCGAACTGGGATGATTTATCGACAGTCTCCCGAACAACAGCGATAAAGAATAAATCAGAAATATTTCGACTAAGATATTCCAAGGGAATGGACTGTCGCAACCCCATATCTCGAATCAACAGCCATGCAGATCGATACTATTCTTCGGCCCTGGAGAGCCTATCAGCTTCGATGACGAGCTCAATTCATGTTCACAGAAGAAACACCTATTGTGCTCAGGATTCATTACCAACCAGAGGATGAGGAGAAATTTCGCAATTGGGTCACAGAACCTCTGATTTTCGGGAAGATCCCGTGATGGGCCTTTTTGGACGACAAAAGTCTCTTTGATTTCGGCGCAGACTGGCGACGTGTTTACAATGTAATGCCGGAGATTGCAGGCCCCATGGGCGGCCAGAGCAGACGCTGTCCAGATTAGAGAGAGATCAGTTATTTTCGAAAGGATTTGAAAAGAGATTATCGGCGGCAAATCATTTCGGAACCAAACGTAAAGAAGGATTCGCTTCAGACTATCGAAGACATAGCACTTCGCTCACAACGAGTTGTCACTGCAACGTATATACTTACTGCAGACCGGTAGGCAATTGATACGGGGTGTCTTTAGCTACTATCCCTAGATTGCTACCGCGATATTGTTCGTGAAGCTCGCATTGATGCCAAGGAAGTCGGGATATCTGAGATTATTTTACACTGGGAGCAGACTATGGAACTATGGGAGCAGTCAGACGTGGGGGAGAAATATCGAGTTGGAGGGGAATTGGGAGAAGGCCTATATGAATTGAATGACGAAGGCCCAGATGCGATCTTCAACATGAGTGACTAAGGGAAGCGTTATGAATTTCAACGACTCGCTCACCTTTTCTACCGGATCTCAATCCGCTCTCGTCGTTCAATGGTACCCACTGCTTTGTCAAAATTCTCCGAGATCTCAGAGGGATCGACTCTGCCTTCATCCAGCGGATCCTGGTAGATATATTTAGCATCGTAGGAGGTTTCTGGCCCATGTACAAGGTTCTCATCCGCTCGGAGACGTTTTCGTGGGCTTGGGGGGGTTCTCCAGCTCCGTCAGCTCCGTCTCGTACGTAGCACCACCCTGGTCTGAGTCGCTGGAGGTACTCGTACTTGTGTCTTCCTCGCAAGAGTCGCTTTCCGGCCTTTTATTCCGCTGGAGTGAACGCTTCATCGTTTGACTTGGCGGAAACGACAGGGCTGCCAGGATGAGGTCAGGGCAACGATCATCGAAAACCGCGGTATGACGAGGCGGTTGGTGGCTCACGAGTGGCTTTGCTGGCGACGGGCCCTAGGGGAAGATGCACTAGGAGCTAGGCGAGCAGAAGCGATTGAAGGAAGCACAAGGAATGGAAGAGGGCAGGGCCTGCGGGTAATCTCAAGACGGATTCGTTTTTGGTCTATTTGGATAAACCAACTTGTACTGGGAGAGACTGAGTACGAATGTACGAGGAACCAGCTCATGTGACGTGTAGCATTCTATGCAGTCTGTGCTCGTGCCATACTGTGACTAATTTCATCTTGAGAGAATTCTCCCATGAGCCGGTCCCTCTCAAAACGAAGCTCCTGTTCCTTTAGAATGATCTACCAAGGACAGCCTTCAATTAACGGTTCTCACCATTTACTAGTAATACGCTCTACACGTAACTATGTGTACTTCACACAAGCATCTGCTATTGTTCCTGTCAGTCTCCCAATTTGTCTCTCACCGAGCAATATGGCTTATGTTTTCATGGCCTCCCATTCTGAGTTATACGGTTTTTCTTTGGTATATAAGGGCTCTGTCATCACTCATGATCTCCTAGGCTTTATTGAACAGCCGGTGATGTATCCTCTGCCCTAATCAAGGAAGCCATGATAACAATTCGTCTGTCTTTGACAAGTAGGCATTGGGTGATTAGCTTTTGTTCTTCGTGTTAAGAGGTAATAAAATGACATTCTTGCCCTCGTTCGTGGTTTCCTGTTAACACTGAGCTTGTCTGAGATCTTCACGAGGAGGATCATATAGAGAATACCTTTTCCGAAAATGGTTTTCCGCAACTCGTTCTACCGCCGAGGTATCTGCTGGATTGACGAGAAGACAACCTGGTGAGGCCGATAGATTCTCGGCAGTTGATTCATACTCATAGACAAATAATGATTATTTGATGTCGATCGTTCATTTCTCGGCCCTCATGCCCTTTCTGGGCATATGTGGTGTCATTAATATCCTTGCAATGGGGGCCATATAATCCCCTGTGCGATGTGAAATGCTAGATTTTTTACATACACAAGACACAACAGATAACGTGAAGGGAATAACTATAGATAAATCTCTAATCTCTGGTAAATTCAGTCCTCTCTACGATATGACATTTTCCTGCGCCAAATGTCTTTTGTCATCCTGAATAACCTTCCTAAGTTTAAAGAATTTGAAAAAAACTAGCAAGGCCAAGAAAGTACAGAATGTCAAGCCAGTAATAACAGTGGTGACAATTGACATTATAGACCACTGACCACCCCGAGATATGTATATATTGATAAGCGTAGTGAGCAGCCCTGCTGCCGCATTTAGTACTGCTGGCCTTCCTATGGTGAGCGTCTGGCGTTTCATCAAGCTGAATTTGCGGACCACTTACGTGAATAATTTATTAATGAGCCATGTGTAAGTTCTTCGTAATTTGCGAACTCATAGTAACAGTAAAATACCCGTGATTGCACCCACAAAGAACAGAAAGGCAATGGCGAGCAGAGGAGGGTTTTGTATGGTATTTAAAACTGCTTGACCGGCCTTGTTGCCGCTAAGGGTCTCCTCGATTTGGCTAGAATTTTGCAACGAAGTAAAAGTACCTGGAATGACAAGATATCCGGCTAATAGAGCCCAGTTTGCCGCACTGACGGCGATGTTGTATCTCATTTCCATCTGGGCTTCGTCCCTGAGCATGTTTGCGTAGGCCGTTTCATTGACCCTATGTGTGGTGGAGACAGAGGTCTTTATAGAATTTACGTCATCCTGAGACTCTGCGGTTGAATTTTGTATATGTCTTTTGTGGAGCTGGGTGGACAGTTCACGAATATTCTTGTCATGATGACTGCTGAGTAGGTTCGATATTGGCATTTTTGGTTGCCGTGAGCTCAAGTAGATTCTCGACATAGGTGAGCCTTATTTATAACAGTTATCTATTACCAAAATCAACGATCGATCACAAAGCCACTGAAATTGGCAATTGATACCATGCCTGGGTAATTCAAAAATGTGAGAACACTTTCAATTATGTTAGGAGAATAGTTAATAGATGCACGAGTGTATGAGGCACTCGGCTTCTACGGGAAGTACTGTGATATCGATATCAAGCCTCAATTAACAGAATTTTCAGTAGAAAGTCCTGTCAATCTAGATGTCTTCTTCTTTTCCATTTTCTTGTTTGTTTGCTGCTGGCTTTCCTCATCGCTCATTCGATAGCTGCAGCTCTACTTAAGGCTTTTTGGTTTGTGATATGACAGAAGCTCTGGACTGTTCTTGAAGTCATACTGTAATCGAATCAGGCAGGTAACCTGCCGTATGTTTTGGGTTTAAACAATAACGGAAATGGACACAGGATACGATCTAGCTTTCTGTATCATTACTGATTCAAAAAGGTCCTACTCGCTATGTCGTCCAGACTCAACGTGGCCGTATAATCAATTCTCAGATCATTTCGAGATGGCGGGAAACATGGCTCATTTGCTAGAATGATCATACATATGGTACGCGGCTTTAAAATTTCCCTTCCTCACAAATGTCGAATTGTTAAACATCCTTATTCCGAATCCTCAATCAGGGTGCTATTTGGAGTTGAAATATAGGGGTTTCAAGAGCTTTAGACGCTCTCATTAAGCTAGTCAAATATAAATATGTGAAATGCTGGTTGTAGCTGCGTATCATTTGATTGTTTTGAAGTGAAGCAAATTCACAAACTATATTATTATCAGGACATTTTATTGATGGTATCGCGAGAGAACTTTAGTGCTGGTCGGCGGTTAGAGTACATGGGCAAACTAAGATAGAGTTCGATATTATCGGTTATAGAAGCTAGTAAGTAGTTTTAGAAGCATTCTGTGACGACCCAACGTCCCACTCTGCCCTTAAAAGAGAAAAGTTAAGAATTGGTAGGGTTCAGCTCTGATATATATGTTCGCTCCTCGATGTGTTTGATTGTGGCAATTTATCCCGAAACTCCATCCGCTTCCGTTCTGAGCATTGGTCTACCACATGTAATCAAATATATCGTGCTTAGTATTTCAAATAGAGTCTCGGTGTGAGTTAGGAAGCCTTTCGCAGAACTCATCTCTTTCGGTCTTATGCTAGTTCCCTCACCTGATGGGAATAAGTGGAGTAGAAAATGAATATGTAAATTTGCCCTTTGAAGTTTCAACACGCTCCCAGAAGCCCTTGAGTTATTGAGATGCCAGAGGTTGGGCAAATAAACTCTGTATAACCTTATATCTAGTCTCCTCGGAACTAATTTCGAGTTATTATGTCATAATCTTCTATTCTAATTGGAAAAAGAAAATAAACCAGGCAAGAGTAGTAGCAAATGTCCTTCAAAAAACAGTTTTATACCGTGTAAGCCCATTCAAAGTCCATTGGATGAATGATTTCGTGTGGATCTAGCTGACTCGCCGCCTCAGGATAGCTGCGGTTGTTAACCGCGTTGACCAACCAATATTGACGCCGCTAGATTTTTTTGTTGGTTTTTGTATGGTGGAATACTACTCAGAAGTCGCACAGCCAAACGTTGAGAAGGCTATCCCTAACTAAGGTATATGACTTAGTTCCGTGCCTATCCACACATGCAAGGCGAAAGTGGTGATGGAACTGCTCTGCGCAAATCTTGTCGTACGAGGTCAGCGCTGTGCTACAAGCCTAAGGTTCCTTTCGCGCCTGCCCTCCCGCAGAAACAGGTATCTCTTCGCGGTGCTGGAGACTAGTATTCAGTCCAAAAGGACTGAGAAAGCCAAGGGTCTCGTCAATTTGAACGGATCTGTCCTGCCGCACTCCCGACATCAGCGATTAATTAGATGCAACTGTAAGTGTAATGAAGTTAAAAGTGCGATGGAGAATACGGTGGATAATATCCTTGTATCAGGGATGAACTTTCTTGATATTATTGGGGAGATTCTTTTTCAGTTTGGGAAGATTGACCTTCGACGAGATTTCTGAGTTGTTCAAATTGCATGGGAGAAATATCTGTATCCAATGATCATTTTTATGGTGCTAGCGCAGTTCAATATTTGAAGAATATAAACCAGTGACAATAGATGAAACTAAAGCATGCGAAATGATGCCCTGCATGTAACTTGAGTTCGCAGCCAGTTCTATGAAAGCAACATCACTTGAGTCAATGTGAGAGTAAAATTGGTCTACTTGTCTCCATACTCATCAGGCCTGAATCAATTGAAAATCTTTTTGCTAAGCCGAAAAAATTCGTCAGACGTAATTGGGGCTATTACATAGAAAGTCCTGCTCAGTAATTCAGACTTCTTCTAAAGCGTTGTATCAATCAGGTTGGACCAAGAGAAGAAAGTGCCAGGGTCCGTCTTCAGTACTCAGGCATATATATTTTGTTTGTCTGACCCAGATGTTTGGCTTGCTAGTATCTACCTCAATTCATGCAGCAGGGAGTTTTTAACAGCCTGCAAAAAGGAATCTGCCTCCGCCCTGCCATAAAATGCCTCGTTATATGCTAAGTTCAAACAAAGCTGGTCTCGAAAAGTCCACACATGACACACAGATTGTCTATTAATCATATCTAAGCCGCCTGAGATTCGATCGATGCGAATTCCCCGCTCCACAGTTCCCTTTTCTCTCGCTACAAACCTCTCACAAACACCAAAGCTGCTTATGTCCACATCAGTTGATGAAGGGGTGTCCTTCGCCAAACTGCGAAGAAGGTTGCATAGCCCAATAGCGTACTCGCGATGTGCCGAGATATATGATTGACTTAGACCTTTGCGGTACTCGGTATGGTAGGCATTTGCTCGGTCTGACCATGACGACTCGGACGAAACAGGGAACATCCAGCCTGTTGTGAAAATTGTGCTCGCATACGGGCGACCAGAGTATGGCTCTGGTAGGAACGGGCGTAAACTGTAACGTATCGTACTAGTATAGTGTTTGTGCTGATCATCAGCAGTAGCTAGCGTATAGTTGGCTCCGGCAACTGATGCATGTACTGCTGCTGTTACAGAGAGCTTCCGAGCCTTGCAACCTTGTACTACAGCCTTTGTCTCTTGCTCAGTAAGGTGAAGACGGCTAAAGCACGCACCACTTGGGGAAGTCTCGGCTGGCGCGCGAGAGACGATTCCGATGGCCCCAGCGGCATGACCAAAACTTGAAACATACTGTTGGGCTAGTTGTTTATCTTGTTTTTCCCCTGAAGTTCTGAAAATGGACGAGGCTTCCTCAACACACTGCGCTAAGCGGACGGTCTCTTCACCCCATGGTAGGGAGGAAGAATCTATAGCAGACTGCGCGGCTAGGTCAAGAAAGTCGTCCATCAAAATCAAGCTCCCGATGCCATCCGTTCTCCAGTGTTGCCAGCGGCTCAAGAGTTCACCCGTCTTGGGAAAGAAGGTCATAGTAGCATATGGAACACGTGTGGCAGATGCGATGGCTTCATCGACCGTCTTGTCCTCAATCACCTGAAAGGTTTCCGCCGCCCAGTTTTCAAGTGCCGTAAGATCGGGGATATCATAGACATATTTTGTTTCGTCTACGATATAGGCGGCGATCGTAGGGTGACTGAAGCGCAAAGCCTTCCATGCATCGCGAAATAGAGAGGATAGATTGCCCGTGACGAGTGAGCCTAGCGGGGTCACCGATACAATGATGTTAATAGTCCAGTGTTCACGATTGAACGGGCGAGCGGTATCACCAAGGATCTTGATGAACGTTTCATTTTCGCCGAGTGGACGTTGATATCGTTCTTTGCTAACTTTAGACCATGACATGTTGAAAATTGTTCGCCAGAATTTGAGGAAGATTCCAAGGTTAAATTGCAATAGGGGGAAATGGGGCAGACCGGGGGGAGGGGTTACGTGACGAGTCTGACGACGTAGTCGGGCGTAAAATCGGAAGTGGTAAAACTAACCATAACAGGCAATGTAAAGGTCTATAGTTCGATTTAAGGCGACCCAGCTCAAATGGTCGATCAGCGCTAAGGGCTTGGCAGTGGGACTACGAAAAAAGTCAGTGTATATTTGTGAAGGCATTTCATTCGAACTTCGTGCGATCAGGCGTCCAATGCTCATTTGTGCCGGCAAAGCGATAAACGTCATCCCGGGAATCATCGAACCTCTATCTTCCCATCAAATTCACAACTCTTCCAATTGCTCTGTTTTGTATGTAAAATTCTGTTCTCAAGGACCCTAATTATCTCAGAGAACACAAGCACCAGGGAACATGGAAATTCTCATTGTGGGCGCAGGTCTTGGTGGCCTCGCAGCAGCGTGCTGCTTTGCCAAGGATGGTCACCATGTCCAAGTAGCAGACCCCCTGCCGAAACATGCTTTCCGTCTGATACTAAAATAATATATAGGTTTTTGAGCAGCGAGATAAATTGTCGCCAAAGGGAAGTGGGCTGATGATCCGCCCTGGTGCGTCCCGCATTCTTCAATCTTGGGGCCTTGGAGATGCCATTGAACACGGAGCGGACACCTGTCTTCCGTTCTCCATCCGAGATCTGAAGACTGATGAGGATAAGATACAGGCTTTACCAGCTTCACTTACCAAATACCCGGATTGGGGCATTCACCGACCCATTTTACAAGATATCTTATACCAGAATGCCATACAGGCTGGCGCCGAAATTATCTTCAGCAGTGTCGTGGAAGACTTCTCGGATGAACCAGACAGAAGGCCAAGTCTACAAATTCGAGGGGGTAAAACAATAACTGCGGATCTTATTCTTATTGCTGACGGTATTCGATCACGCTTGCGCTCCAAAGTTTTGTGTGACATATCTGCCGGTTGGTCGGTGGATCCCAAAATCAGCGAGTCGGTATTCTATGGTGTAACAGTGCCACGGCAACAACTAGAATCCGATAATGATGCCGCGTTATTACTACAGCAAGAGGAGGCATGTGTTTGGGTCGACAATGAGCGCTTTGTTGTTGGTCGGAAGCCCAGAAAGCTTGAATACTGGAGCGGATTGTTCGGTCTCAATTATGACGATGGCCAAGCTAGTATGTGGAATGAAGTATGCTTTTTTTTAGCCCTTATGCAAGCTATCTGATAGCCTAACAATCACCAAGGACGGCGATATCGCCTTTGTGAGGCAAAATTTTGAAGGCATGTGCCGATCTCTCTCTGCGGTTCTCAAATTGGCGTCGAAGTGTGACAGATGGAAGATTGCCGAAATGCCAAATCTTCCTCGTTGGACGAGCAAAACTGGCAAGACCATCCTATTGGGAGATTCAGCTCATGCAATGGAGCCCAACGCGGCACAGGTTCGTCGCACTTCAAGACTTTCACGGATGAACTGGAGATATATGCAAATTAGAGTCTTGTGTTAATTTTTCTCTCAACAGGGATTATCCCAGATCATTGAGGATATAGGAGTATTGCAGACTTTATTTTTGTCATACCCTTGTTTGGATATTTCCACGACTACTATATTCTGGGAATATATTCGAAAACCTCGAGTTGAACGGATCAAGACCTACGCTGCTTGGAACACGCGAATGTTCCTTGGGAAAAAAGACCGTGTTGGCCTGCATTCGAAATATGCTGATACCGACTGGGAGTGGATCAAATATATCGAACCTAATTCTGCTGCAGATTTCAATAGCCCTGCATTTTTTAAGTGGGTTCACGACTATGATGCCATTGAAGAAGTAAGTCTGCCACTCGGCTCGAGTGCATTCCCATCCATAAGAAAAAGAGCGGAGAATCAATATGATGTGAATTTCTAACAAGTGACCAGACCCACAAATACTTAGAGAAAGCCAACAAAACAAGAGCGAGATTTTAATGACTATCTGATGAGGAATACTCTATATCCAATGGATATACATGCGCAGAGCATAAGTATAGTCTGAAATGGAGCATCACTGTACAGTCTAGTACTCAGGCTGTAATAAATATTTGCAATCATAGTACGAATGGATAACGTTCCGCGAAAGGCACTGCAATGTACATTGAATTACTACCCTAATTCTTCCAGCAGTGCATGATATACCATGTTACCAGTCTCTTCGGTGGGATTTCTGCATTGGAATAAAGATCTAATTTTTTCTTTTTTCTTTTTGATAATGATGCCAACAGTTTCTGCCGACTGGATCTATGGGGCCAAACTTCCTCGTATGCTTCCTCGCCGGGTTACTATTTGGATTTTGAGTTCGTACCATCTGTCTACGGGTCACCCAGCACCGAGAAAACACTTAATGAATGTTCATATCCCCTCCTTGCATCTATCAGTCCAGCGTATTGATTGTTCTGCCTGTAGAGCTATGTTCAAGAAAGTCTCTGAAATGTATCTACCATATCGTTTTCATCCCTTCGACATAGACTATAAACTATTTGGGACGTTGCTCACAAATTGTGATGAACGGAGAAAATATACCCGCCAAAAACAGTTTATGACCCTTCATATCATGTACAGCGACCGTTGAGCTGGGAAGGCTATTGGCATCTCTATCCTCCGCCAATTTTGTGACTTTGACATTCTTTCCAGAAGTCTTCAACTGCTCCGCAATTTCATTGATCATGAGCACAGTGGCAGGGGCAAAAACATTGTAAGGATCCACACTGGATTTCACAAAGGCAATTGTATCAGGGAATGCAGCTGCAATGAGGTTGCCATCTGCATCAAGCCACAAGTTATCCATCGGGTACCCTGTATTGATCGATTCAACCATGATCAATTCTTTATTGACGAGTTTATGAACGGTGATGTCGCCAGACCCAGAGTTAGCGACGTAATAGTAGCCATTCTTGTCGTGGGCTATTCCATTAGGTATGGAGAGTCCCTTGTCAGCAGCTATATGGCATTTACCAGTGTCAGATCGACAGTATGCGAGACTTCCGCCTCCAGATAGCATTTCCAGACCACGGAAAGTTCCAGTCTTGGTGTTGTGGTCGTTTGTGACCACGAATCCCAGGCCATCTTCTTCCACTGCCAAGCCATTGGGCGTGAGAATCGCCTCGCTGGCCACAGTCTTAAAATGACCAAGCGTGTTCGAGGTCTCATCCAGATCAAATATCTCAACGGTAGAATTTGCCCCGACGACTAGAGCCTCAAGGAATTCTCCAGTGACATGGTCAACGGGAGGTCTGTGGTTGATTAACCAGAACCGAAGCCGACCGTCAACCTTGCGGACATCAAATCCATGCAAGTCAAGATCATCCTGATATCCGCCGATATTGAGGTGGCATAGACCGTACAGTCCATTTGAGCCAGGTTGGTCAACATCGATAACAGCGATGTGATCCGTGCGGGATCTCGCCGAGATGTTGTAAAGGCTACCTCCAGGCGACCAACCTTTACGGGAGTTTAGGTTGTTGCATGCTGCGTATAGCTTTCGGTCCTGTTCATCGAGCCACAGGTCTTCACAGCCCTCCAAGAGGGAGTGGCTGATGCGTGTACAGGTCCATGGGAAGTCCTCGATTGGTTGGATCTCACGTCCAATACCCAGTGTGAGGAAGATGAAGTTGTGTATGTATGTTCTGTAAATAACACTTGTGGCGAGGACGATAAAGGACCAGAAGATAGCCCGATTACCCAGAATTCCAGCCATGTCGAGATGCAGTAAGCAGTGGAAGGGCGTGGGAGATTGTAATCTAATGCGCAGCCCGCGTTTGAACGTCCTTCCGAGCCTCGTTAGGCGGTTAGTGATGGCAATACTTGTTAGGCAGAAACAACAGTTTTCTTTTGCTACCTCGTGCTCTCTCTTGATTGTTACCTTAAAAAGCCTCTTTCGCTGCTCCTGGGACGAGTCGATGCAAAAAAGAAAAAAGATTTACTGGATGCAACTACATTCTCGTGCTACATGAATTTTTTGAAACACCGCAGTCTTGCACTTGCATTTCCATAAACATCCGTCTTAACATGCTATTCACGACTCCAACGTCGAGAAAGGAGTACCTGAAAGTGACCAACCAAATCGATATAGCAATATCTCCTCAGCTTTGACATTGAACCGGTAATGTCATTTTTCCTCGGAGAAGATTGAGATAAGCGAATATCTATGTGCAATTACTTCAGCTCGGTATTATGAATCGTGCGGCTGGCCTGGTGATCAGACATCAAAATAAGCACAGACCATCGGGTGTTTACCCGTTAAGTGTATGGTGGTGATTTGAGATCGACAAAGACTAGGGACGGAGCAACTAGGGCCACCGAACTAGATCAAGGTGTACTAGCTCGTGACAAGAAAGCCAGATATGGCCGCCTGAACTCTTTTTGGAAGACAAGCAATGTACGTAAATTCCTCGCTTGGTTGCCTGATAGCCCCATGTCTCCGCAAGTGACTCCTATTACTTGTGATTTGTGCTCTATTGCATGCCAAGCGAGGCTGCAGGGCAACGTGGAGGCATGCGCACTGACGAACAGGAGCGGGTGTCATTAAAGCATATCCGATTGGCCATTTCGACTAATATTGTCATCATCAGCTGAGAAAAGCCCTACCATTTCCACTAATTGGCCAATTTTCTCTTGTCAAAAGTCTTATGTTCACTCCTACACGAGCTCTAGATTATGATATTTTCCCCTTTCAATGTGACGGTATCTTTTACCCCGAGTGAGATGCTTAGTCAAATGCCAATGAAAAAGGCCCCCTTTTCACCTCAAGAGCATTTACCGTGAAATCTCTCATGTCGATCTTCACCAGAATAGGCAGACGGCGGAACGCCTAACGTGCTTGGCTAAAATGATCAGCAAGCCACTCAAAATAGATATAAATGGTGAACAATCCGTAAAGGTTAGCATATTCAAGTTGTTGATATCCTGTAACACGGTTAGCAAAACAATGTTTAGTTCAAACCGCGGCATTGCCCGCACCCTTTTTCTAGTGGCTATATGTTTTGCTAATACCACATTGGCAGTCTACGATACACTTTATCATTGGCAATACCCCAATGAAGTTGATGGTTATAATCGTGTCATACAACTTTCGCACGCAGGCGACTCTAACGGCAGACTCATTGCCACTTTTGAGCACTCCAACAACAGCAACCCGAGTAGCTTCATCATTCGACAGAGCAATGACTCTGGGACATCATGGCATCCGTTAGCAACGGTTCTCGCCCCTGAGGGTGCCCCGAATAAGCATTTCTGGCAGCCCTCCCTTTTTGAGTTTCCCAAGCAGCTCGGCATATACCCTGAAGGCACTATTCTACTGGTTGGGAACTTATACAATGATAATGCCACCGAATTTCATTCCTGGCACTCAACGAATCATGGCGAGTCGTGGAAATCTACAGGGAAGTGGCAGTCTGCGTATGCCAATGTTACGGATCCCGCTACGGGCAAATGGACGCGCGCGGGTATCTGGGAACCTTTTGTGTTCATGGACAGCAAGGACCGACTTGTCGCCGTGTTTTCGGACGAGCGCAACTACACTCATCATTCTCAGATGATTGCACATGTCACTTCTGAGGATGGTGGTGTCAGTTGGGGTGATTTTACTCTGGATGTCGCCGACGATAACCAAGCATCCCGTCCTGGCATGGCCAGCGTCGCGAAAATGGACAATGGAGAATATTTCATGAGCTATGAGTGGTGTGATATCCACACATACCCAGGCCATCCCTGCGCAGTTAACGGAAAAGTTTCTACAGATGGCGTGACATGGAATCCGAAGGATAATGGTTCCGCTGTGACCACGCCCGATCATGTTCAGGCCGACGGAAGCCCTTATTCCATTTGGGATTCTGTAGGGAAGCAGCTGATTGTTTCCAGCGGAAGCAAGCGGCAATACAAAGTGTTCCCCTCGGCGATTGGGCCCAAGGCCCCCTTTGTGCCCGAAGATGGGAAAATCGTCCACATTAATACGAACAGAGGCAGAGGTGATTGGCACTGGGCTTCAGCTCCTTTTTACAGTCCGGCAGGCGATGGCAGCTGTAAGAATGTCAATTACAGCCCAAATTTGCTAGCACTATCGAATAGCAGTATTCTCTTTACAGTGAAAAGGCAAATTAAGGAAGGAGAGTGCATTGAGAGTACAGGTGCATCTTCCATTGGAATCTTGCCATACACATCCAACTTCTCAGTTTCTCAGGATGCTGGATGGATTCAATTCAACGGAACTTGGTCTATCTCGGGTGATCAATTCAATTTCGAACCCTTTACTGAGCCAGCAACCCTCGCTCTCACAGGCTCTTCTGGATGGACTGATTACCAAATCAGTGCAGATGCTATTATCAGAGCAAATCTGGTGTTATAGGCCTCCTGCTACGAGCCTCCAACTCGGCAACTGCTCCTAATCATTTCACAAGATATACCGCTGCCATTGACAGTAATCGTGGAACTCTGAACCTATACCAAGTGGCAGAGCAGAAGACAACAACACTGCGTTCAGTTCCTATTTCTGGTGGAGTTGAAGCAAATCAAGAATACCACCTGTCTCTTTCTGCGACATCTAATAAGCTCGTGGCTACTTTGACTGGCAGCGGAGGAAAGAAGACCACACTAAACGCCACTGATGGTGGATTGCTACGTGGTGCAGCTGGATTGTATGGGGCCGAAGGCAGTGGCGGCTTCCGTAATGTGCATATCACAGCATTATGATGAGGAGAGAATGCGTAGACCAAATGGATAGAATGTCATAGGTTGGCACGCCTGTAATATTCTGCCACTGTAAAATCTCGCGAAATCTTAAACCTCGTCAGGCTCTCATCCCCATCTGCTGGCTCCTTGTGGTCATCCCCATCTTGCCCTTTTAGCTACAGTCGGATGTTCTATCCGATCTACCTGCCATGTACCGTCTCTTACAGCCGAGTCTCTTGCTATAATACAAACAAACAAACAAACAATTCATTAACGCCCGGCGGCTGGGCCGAAAGGGCAACTATCATTGGTCTACTGTACATGTCCATGTGTGTATGCTGTGTCTCCTGAAAGCCCATACATAATGCCGTATAACATACGACAATTCCAAAAAGCAGTGTCGCAGCGAGTTTCTCGTGGGTTAGTGAATGGGTTAGTAGGCTGGCTTGAAGGCGCTTCTCCAAGTTTTCAACATCCTATCTTCGCCAGTTGAGGCGCGTCTGCCATCTGTGGCACGAGGTGGTGGGTGAGTAGGGTTGGAAGAAGAGGGTGGGTAGTTATGTTGGCCGATATGTTCAAGTAGCCTCGAATCGGCCCGTCGCGATGGCAAAACGTATCGAGGCCCGTACTGCCTCATGGATTGTTTCCGCTCTGACAAATACTAGATATCAATGATAAGCTTCTTTATTTATTCTTATGTACAAGGGAAAAAAACATAGATCGTTTAAAACCCTAAGAAACATCTCACCCAAACCTCTTTCATTTACTCCGGCTAGCATAGAGAATTCTGTTGGCAAATTCGGCTAAACGGCCTGTTGTAATGAATCGTCCAATCACCTTGACATTTTAGAACCACTCTTTCGTGGAATCCAACTCCCCTGAAATCATAATCATACAGAGTATCACCACCATCGTACAGCAAAGCAATAGATTTCAGTGATGATAATTTGTGACTTAGAAGAGCCAAGTGGCTAAGAAGATCCCATCTAAGAGGCTCTCGTAAATTAAGCTTTAAGACCTTAAGGGATTCAGGTAGTGAAGCGTCGCTAGATAATATACATTGGTTCACCCAGAGTTCCCTTAGACAGGAGAAGTTAGTAAGTGGACCAAGGTACTGATCAGGGTCAGCGTCGGTATTGGCGTCATGATTGAGAGAGTCATATTGGCAAGGAGAGCCTAAAGCGAGTAATTGGAGACTGTCTCTGCATGGATGAAGAGCCCGGGTGATCTGAGCCGGATCAAAAGGAATCCTTTTCTGAAGTTTCCTAGACACAAGCAGCGAAGAGATAGGTCGGATATATTCAAAAGTTTGCAGATATGGGCAGCTCATTAAAAGTTTGCGGACAGATTTGTCGTCTAAGCGACTATTTTCAAGCCTTATATTGCGAATATTTGAGGCTTTTTTGAGTATCGACCCTAGCTGACGTGCAGCTTCGGCCCTCCTTGGGCTTTCTGCAACGAAATCGGAGATATCGATGGTATAAATCGCATGATAAAGAGATGGCTGGTTCTTGAGAGCAGTTCCAAATGATTGCAGCCGAGTCAAAGTTTCCTGTGGCTCGAGACTTCCTTGGAATTCTCTGAACAGATGGGGTTGTGTGCAAAGTCGGAAGGGTTGGGAGACTAGACAAAGAGATAGAAGAGCAGGAAGATCGAGATAAATAATTATTATCGATATAATCTCGGGCGGCAGCGACTCTAATGAGATCATTTCAAAATGTTCAATTGAAGAGCGGAACACTGATGATTGTAGAAGAACTTCAAGATATGGAGAATGGATGTGGGCAGTGCAAATCTAAATAAATAACTCTATTCCCTCCGAAACGACTGCGAGGCGGATCTGCAAGTCTGCCTCGGAAAAAGTCCTGGCTAAGTTAGAAACAGGATGAAGGATTGGAAGCGATAAGTTCCTGATGGCTGGAATCAGTAGATAAGATTATAAGGGCGAAGGCGTGCTTGGAGCTGGCTGTACGTGACTGGCTGGTTGCTGTATGTAATGTGTGGTCTGGGTTTAGCCCGGATTGAGGTGTTCCTGGGAATTGACCTGAGTCACCGTGCCAACCCGGTTCTCTTCACCTGAATGCCCTGAACACCACTATTTTGCACCTGAACACCCTGCACGTGCCTGAAGTGCTGACGTGGCCCTTCTCTTTAACATGCTTAATTCTACGCCCATATGAGTTCTTCTGATCACTACGGCGGAACCGGGCAAATTTCTGCCTTGGCGTACTCTACAATGGAGGTTCTTCCATATATTGTATATTCAATTACATTTGCTTCATTATATTATAGCAGACGAAAATAGGCGACTCGGTCTTATCACTATCCCTAGGAGGTCAACAGGAATAAGAAAAATTGGGTTTTCGATAATGTTTAATACCTATTGTCCGTAGCGAATACTCTGATTCTAGTTATACGTCTCTTTGGCTAATAGTTTAAGTGTTGGATATTACAAAGCAAGTATCAAGCTTGTTTCTGCCGTGAAAAGGAAACGCTCCGTTTTTCAAAAAATTCGAGTCGGCATATTTCAGATAGGCTTGCCTCAGGAAGTGAAAGCTCCATCACTACCGGGCTCGGCTCTCCTATTTATCGAGTATTTGATGTCCACACCCCACCCGAACAAGGTGTTGCAGAGTTTCGGGCGACCTAAAACCAAGGCAGAGGCTATTCTGCGGAAGCGTATTAACGGGACCAGATCAGGTATCAAAGTTCACGCGGAGATAAAACTTCTTTTCTACTATGAGATCAATCCATGCGCAAAGAAGCCTAGAGTAATATGTGCTAACAAGGATCCGTGCTTTTTATGCGATTTGTTCTTCAAGACTCATGATCAATTTCAGCTTTTGAGAACGTTCGGGAAGCTCAATGAGAGATGGGTGCTGCCGGATTGGTTAGAAGGTATACCGGAGGCCCACCACTGCCAATTAATGACTGTGACAAGGCAGTACATTCAATCTCTTGACTCCCAGATTCAGATTCTCACGAAGCCCCGGGTTCGAGGACCGGATCCCGCGCAAAGTACGTTATGCCTGTCTGCAAACTGGTCATATGATGGAAATTCCTCCTGTCGGACAATATTCGACAAACGCAGCTGGATATTTGAGCGGGGATTGGCTAAAATTCAACCAATCCCCTTTGACGACAAATCCTTTAGGATTGAATTCCGAGGTTCGTAATTACCATTCTGACTGCCTCTTTAATCCGACTTATATGATATATGACTTATGATAGAACCGAGGGCTACCGTACAAAGAGTCCTCTGTTTCAATAACTGAAACTTCGCTGTCTCTCGAGCAATTCTCTGGTACTTCTGGGATATTAAGGCTAGGCTCGTGCATCCAATTTAAACTGCACGGTGGAAGCTCATTTTTAATAAGTATCAAAAAGACTCGTGTCATGTTTTATTTGGGTGAAAAGCAAAATTCTCCATCTGAAAGCAATATAGATTTGCTGATGGAAATCTCTTTGCTTACATTTGACATTTCGTACTCGGCGAATTGAAAGGGCATATAGGCACCGCCATTATCTTAACTTAGAGATGATAATGGCCTGGCTTTGGTGACAGCTTGATGCAACTTTCAAGCAATCGAGTTCGTCTTGAGTCACTGGAGATGGGCTGCAGTCGTCATGCGCAGTATCTGCATTGTCAGCATAATACCACATCACTCTGACTGAGAGAACTTTCACCTCGGAAAGCCTCCCGCTTGTATCCAGAAAAAGTATCTGAACAGACACGTGAAAGTCAGTAACGCCAACAATGTAGAGGTCAGGGGCCTTGCTTCAAAGCAGCGACAATGAATTCATCCAAGAGAACAACTGTAGCAGGACTTTTCACTCTCGATTACATCAGGACGTCGTCCTCGCTGCATGTGAAGCTACCTATCAAGCCAGAAATTGTCTCCGGGTGCTCCCTTGCTATTCCATAGCATGAGAGACAGAGCCCTTCATTGTCTCGAACGTGAACCTAGATTATTACTCGCACCTTTTCGAACGGTGATCCCCAGTGGTGTTCAACCTGGTCTGTTTTAAAGTCTTCGGGTAGTTCCTTGCGCATCCCAAGTAGAACGAGATGGCAACGGATTAAACTTGTGGGGATAAGTTCCTCGGTTTGATTAGGCCCATTCTCGTTACGATGATGCATGTACTCAATGCGAATGTTTGGTTCATTCCTTGAGCGCCCTCAAGCCGGGGGGCGGGGTCCCCCAGAGGCCCCCTTTACGGGGGTCGACGAGGCAATTTCCAATTGCCGGGGGTGCCCCCCAAGGCGACGGGCAAGATTCGCCGGTCATTCTCGATTTGTCCTCATCTCTCATGCTTCTACGCGGAGCATCTATCACGCGTCCAGCAGTCACATTGGCGCCCTGTTCCTCAACCTCCTACTCATCAAGGCACCTGAAGCCAAGTCGCATATCAGCTTTTCAGTCTGTCCTGTAGCCATCCTTATTGTTGTGCCCGAGCGATTTCATTCAATATATGGGAAGTTGGAGACTGAGCCTAAGCATTCTATCATCCTGAAGATGCCCTAGGACCTAGTCTCTATCCCCGGTTCCGTCGTCTTCTTGTACCCGACTATTCGAAGGGATGTCGGGGCTCCACTCTAACTTCTCGGTACGATATCAAAGACTTGTGACGTGTAGACGCCGGTATCGATCCTAGCTGTGTGCAAGCAGATGATCGAGGAAGGGCCTTAGTCTTCCGCTCGCTGACCCATCGCTGTCAAGGTCGCATCATCCCCAGGATTTGAACATTGATAACCAAGAATCTTTCAGAGGCACAAGAGGAAATTGCGTTGCTGATTCCGAAGTGGAGCATTCATTGTTGAGAGCTTGATAGGTGATGTGAAGTGTCTGAATTAACTTGGCTGCATGGCTGAGGCCAAAGGCTACTGTTGTCTATTGACCAGCCACCAGTACGGGAAGGCGACTGGTCGACAAATCTGTAGCTGAAGGGCGTATGCTCTTGAATTCTATGCGCTGCGCAAATTGATGATCGCTGGATACTAGATGTAATGGTATGCAGTG